GCGTGGTGACATTTAATCAAACAACCTCCTCCTCCCCCGTCCCCATCCTCATTATCCTCCTCCTGAACAAACACGATCACATGCTCGCTTACAGTCTCCAGGACAGAGTCAGAACCCTGGCTGATATCCACCACGTTTACCTGTTTGTTGCTTTGAGATGATCCCACACTGCTTCTCCCCTACAATGTCCCGCTGTCTGAATTATTTTTTGTTAGAATAGTTATTAGATTGGAAGCTTTCGTGACTGCAGGAATCACTCTTTGGTTCTTTCGGTAAACAAACCTGTTTGTCTTGGCGTGTGTCTCTCTCTGCGTGTGTGTCTGCCTATGCTGTTACCGTGTCTGTGTTTTATCATTCATTCTTACTTGATGATGGTTGCTTGTGTTGCAACCGAAACGTCGTATTCTATTATTATTTTATTTTCTACGTGACTTTACCGAAGGAACCAAAGAGTAGAATAGTATTCACGAACAAAAAAACTCTAAGGGGCCATCCATAAATGACGTCACACACCTAGGGGGTGGGGGGGGGTCAGACATTTGTGACGATGTGTGACGAGGCGGGGGGGTGAGAAATGTGACGTCACATCAAAATGCGCAACTGTAAATAAATATAGACAACACGTTCTACTTAATTAAATATACTTTTTAATAAATGTTTTCTACAACATCAGAGTGCAGCGCCACATTAAATACGCACTACAATGACAATAGTTGAAAGCGATTTGAAGTATGTTTTATTTGGGGTGGGGGCGCAGAGCTTTGTGACGTCATATTTGAGGGGGGGGGGGGTCTGACTTTTTGTGACGCCGTGTGACGATGGGGGGGGAGGAGGTCAAAAATCGCGTGACGTCATTTATGGACGGCCCCTAAACACCTTTCCTGCAATGTTCAGTAAGGTATTCCTCCAGGGTCACCACCTACTTGTGTGCCTCGCCTCTTACGCAACGGGACAATGACGGCCTCTTCCAATCCTGTGCTCGCTGTTCGCCACTCCATGTGGCTGTGATGATCTCACGCAGCTCCCACAGCAGCATGCGACCAACTTGTTTGAAAGGCTCAGCGGTAAGACCGCTCACCCCTGCTGCTGTCTCAGCTATTCCAACGCTCTTCTTGGTTCTTTCGGTAAAGTCACGTAGAATGGAAATAATAAAATAATAAAAATAAAACATAATAAAATAATTCTCACGACGTTTCGGCCACAACGCAAGTAGCCGTCCTCAGGTGGAGAACAGGTCTGTCGAGGAGACTTCAGACTTCAGACTTCAGACGCTGTCTCCTCGACAGACCTGTTCTCCACATGAGGACGGCTACTTGCGTTGTGGCCGAAACGTCGTGAAAATTATTTTATTATGTTTTATTTTTATTATTTTATTATTTCCATTCTACGTGACTTTACCGAAAGAACCAAGAAGATAAATCCCTGCAGTCACGAAAGCTTTAAATCGAAATTTATTCCAACGCTGTTTCGAACCCACTGTCGCGTTGACAGCCACAACAACAAAAACTCCAACACATTCGTCAATGACCCTGTGGCCTTAAGGCGGAGAAATAAATAATAGGTGACTTTTTCGGCAATGGCCCTTCTTCGTAGCGCATGAATATGCGCTGTGTGTGGATGGGCTATGAGGAAGGGCTGCTGCCAGAAACGTGGGTATCTGAAGCGCAGTCGACCGAAGCAGCCACCGCATGAGGAAACCCGACGCGGTTTGAGCGAAGGATCTTCTTGTCAGATGTCAGATGTTTATTGGCCGAGTAAAGCCAATTGAGCCACGAGGCTGTTTGTCGAGGGCGACTTGCCCTGCATATGTTGGTGTTAAATTGAGTCATAAAGAGTCTCAAGCCATCGGTGAGTAGCTTTGTGGGTCATAATTAAATCAGTACGATGGCACGTGTAATAATAGTACCTTTGAAAACGTGATAAAGTTTTCGGGTGTTGGAGGATTAATTACAAGAATTTTGGCATAAAACTACGACGTGGCCTAACACAAAAAAAAAGTTAATTGGACCTAATTGAATTTGTTTGTTCAGGAACGCCTCCCTCGGTCTCCCCAGAGTCTTATTAACAAGGGCTCTGCACTGGGGTCCTTCATCAGTTCAATTGTACGGAGTATGTTGCGTGTCTCAAGAAATGGACAACACAGTCGCCAGAAATTGTACTCGGGCAAGACAAATTAATGGTTTCAGTGCTCTAACTGCTGCGCCACTGCTTCCCACATCTAACTAACAACGATGAAGATTCCCCAGTTTTAGCCTTGACAGACTTTTAGGGCAAGTGCTGGCCAGCACCATGCCCTTGCCTCCCCAGTGGTGACCAGTGGTGATGTTTAAACATCACACCAAGTACTATTTGAGGCTGAGTCGTTCTAGGGGAGGCCCACGGCTGGTTCAGATAATTGCGATTGATTTTGGCCGTGTGCGGGAATCGGAGTCGGGACGCCGGGTTCTACGACGCTACCGCTCCCCATATCTAACAACACACACGTGCAGGGGGAAATGCCCTTGTGTGTATGTCGAGGGCACGCGTGATGGTGTCGTCGTCGTTGTTGCGCGCCGTGCGTGAGCGACGGTACGAGGCCTGCAAGTGGCGGCCGACAGTAGCGGTCTTCTCCGGAGATCGGGCTGATCGATCGGCGATTGCCCCGCGCGGCACGGCTTATCTCCGCCATGCGCTCGCTGCTGTGGCGTCCCCCCCCCCCCCGCCGGCCCCCGCCGCCCTCATTAGCGTCCCTAAACAGGCACGGCGAGTAAACCAAATCCCCTCTTAATTGCACACGTTCATCATTGCCGAGTAACCTTCCATGCCTTGTGAAAAATTGGCGCTCGTGTTGTCATGCACTGGCGGTGTGCTCGCTGTTATTTCGTATTAGGTGACGGATGGGGTCTTGGTCCTCGTAGCAATTGCAATTAGGGCCTGGTTCATGACCCCTGCTACGGGGTCGTCTGTTTTGTCCCACACGCCACAGTCAATGTGGCCCGTTCACTTTGCTCGTGACTGTCCCGAGTTTGGTCCGTGCAAGCGACATTCAAGTGTGTCTGAAGGATGTGCCTTTTTCAATCGGTGCGTATTGTTTGTTGTGACACGTGGATCGGATACATGAAACACGATGAAGAACATTTAACTGAAGCTGAAAGTGGCACAAAAGCTTGGAGAAATGCATATTTTGAATTCTCTTCTTGCGTATGTCTTTGTGGATATCAACTTACGTGTCTATATCAAAGATTGAACACCACACGACAGCTTCAGGTGAGGCTAAATTAATTGCTTCTATACCTCCGTTGAATTTCTGAAGTTTGCAGTGGATGATGAGCAACTAGCTGCACGTTTGTAACTAAACTTCAGAGACAAAAAGAGCAACATGTGGATTATAGAACATATTGCAGGTTGGAGATATCCTGTTAGCTGCCAATAAAATAAAGTGGGCTTGGGCAGGACATGTTGCCAGAAGGGACGGTGGCCGGTGGTCAAGACTGGTGACAGAGTGGCAGCCAAGAAATGGGATGCGTAGCTGGGAGGGCATGCACCGTAAATAATGGAGCGATGAAATCGGCTCACCTGCAGGTGATGGGCGGTTTACGGTGCAGCGGTTAGCAAACTGCGCTACAAACCTGACCACCCGAGTTCGATTCCCGCTCTCGGCCAACACCAGCAACGATTGTCTGAACTGGTCCTGGGCCTCCCCTTGATCGACGCAGCCTCAAATGAGTACCTGGTGCGGTGTGTAAACATCTCCACGAGGAAAATAAAGGTGGCCGGTCGTGGTGCTGGCCACCCACCCTCCTCGTGTGCTGTGCCGGCTCTCATAGGTGCTCGCTAGCAGCACTTGCCCCAACAGTCTGTTGAGGCTATACAGGGGGGGGATCTTTATCTTTGTTGTATCGAGAGATGGTGATGACTTGCTGTGACCATCCAGCAGTGGATTTATTGGTCTGAGCCGATGGCAAGTAATAGGGTCAGATTCACATTTGCGCAAAACAGCCGAAACACGTCGCCCTTGGTGAATCACCGCATTGCCGATTGATGGAAACGCAAATTAACGTTTCCACGTAAAAGTATCTTGACTAAATTGAGCATTTGTCAACATGAGATGCTGGTGCACTCTGTTGAGTACAGGCATTCTAAATCAGAAAACCCTGTTACCTGCACTCACATAACCTATTGTAGATGTATTCATAAACACGCGAGTCTGAATAATTGTAATTTTCTGTAAATGCATAAGAAATTAGTCTTCCACTTTCGGTTGTAGCCACAGATACTGCTTTGCTTTGAAAAAACATTGTTAGTGTTCTCCCCGTGTCAATGGGTTCATAGCCGTGCTGTATTTTTAAACCAGCCAACAGGCTACTCATTACCGTGCCCGCTATATATTATGTTCGTCAATCCAAGGACACTTTTCAATGTTTTCGCAAGAAAAAAGTCACTAAACCAACCTGCTATCAAACTTATCGCACAGCTTACTCATATTAATGCCCACGTTTAACAATGTTTTTGTCCAAGATTGGCAATGTAATACTTTATCAAAGAGAAAAATAATTTTGACGTACATCATGTCAGTGTGATTAGCACATGTGCGTTTAAGCACATGGGTGTAAGCGTGCATGCCTAATGCGTGCGTCTCTTTGTATGTGTTCTTGGGTGTCTGCCTGCGTCTATTTCTTAGTACGCCTATGAACAAATCACCCGCAATGTATCTTATCTCTTCAGATCTCGGAAGCTAAGCCTGGGCATTGCTTGAATGGGTTACTGCCCCATGTATTTGTGTCTATGTTTGTTTTGCTGTGTATGTGTGTTCCTGCGTTTCTGTGTTGTGTCATCCTTTTTATGCCTATTGTGTTTTGTCGTGTCACTGCTTGTGTTTTTTACGCACGGGAAAGTGTTGTGTCATGTCCGTGCTCGTGCGTTCCCCGCACATGCGGTGTCGCCGTGTTTCCTTGCGTCGCTGCGTGCTTTGTGCCCCCAGGCTTCATTGCAGTCTCCGTGCGTGCGTTGTGTCTCAACAGCCGTGAAGTTGCCATTCCCCTGCGCTGCAGCTGCCCCATCGATTTTGAGTTCCAGGTGTCCATCACGCAGCCCAACCCGGCGATCACGGTCACGCCCAGCTCAGGTGACAAACTCTTTCCCGTGTACAGATGCTCGCCAATGGGGTGTGGTGCAGCCTATCACAGTGACATTGGGCAGGTCCTTTACAGCGGCCGTACTCAGACGCTGTGTGTCTTACCCTGCCTCCCGTGTGTCTCACCCGGCCCCGGGTGTCTCACCCTGCCACGTGTGAGTCTCACCCAGGCCACGCGTATCTCACCCTGTGTGTATCCCCTTCTCTAGGAACAGCACTGGGGCCCATACCCACCAATAGGCGCAAGGTCTCCGTGTGCATGTACTAGGCACAGTGCTTTTGACAATCCACTGCTGGATGAGGGTGTCCCCATGCTATAGGGTAATTTGTGTTAATTGAACACGATTGAACATGCTGGTCAGTGAGGCTTGGTAAAGCAGCAGCAGCAGCCTACAGCATCTGCTTAAAACGTGGTGATTACTCATCCAAGCACTCTCCATGCTCACATCTGTTTAGCCTCTGAGATTTGAGCAGATTGATCGAATTCTGGGTCATTTGGCCATAAGCAAAGGTCCACATGTCCAAAATATAAATAGGAGTCTGTGGTCTTATTAACGTTTGTGCTCTGTCCCTCTCCTCTGACTACTCATACCGCCCACACTTTGGCCTACTGATCACACCGGGAACCAGGGCACGCCTTTGCCTGGCAAATATGTAGGCCGGAATGTGTGGACGGTGGCCTAAAAGCTGCCATAAATAAAAGGCGCTTGTAGATACGTGCCTTGACTGGATGTCCTGGGCCGTCTATCACGAGTTGAAAGTTTTGTTAATGGGGGAAAAAAAATAGACCATTTTAAAATCAAGGTCAGGCTATTTTTGCACTCCAGTAATTTTGCTGGGACATCACTTCCACAGTTTATAATGCAGCATTAACTGGACTTCTGTATTGAAGCACTCGGCTGTGATTTTAAAGTGTATTTGTTCATTAACCAAGCTTTAAAATCACGTGAGACAGCCTCGGACACGCGGACTACAATTTAAGTGTTTTTTTTTGCATTGTATCTTTCCTTAAATGAAGCTTAATGTAAGTGTAGATTAGGTTAGGCTGCATTCAGAGGTCTTTTGTCACCATTTGTACGTACGGATGCACCCTTGTTGCGAGCCCTCCAGCCTTGGTTGCACCCACAGGACGTTTCAAGAGATGGCTTGACACGAGCTGCCCGGTGCAAACCGTGAATGGAGGTTTGGTCCCAAAGCCTCTCGGGTCCCATATGTTCCTGCCTTCTTCACAATGAATCTACACCAGATGACCAAACATATGTATTTAATGGGTTTGGGTCAGGTCCACATTTAGGTCGTGCAACCATCCTCCACCTGACAGCCATAATAATTTGGTCAGATCATTATGTGGCCTAACATAAAATCTATTTAGATTTGAAGTTTTCGTGACTGCAGGGATCTATACTCTTTGGTTCTTTCGGTAAAGTCACGTGGGTATAAAATAAAATAAATGAAATCACGACGTTTCGGGGGCAACACAAGCGTCCGTCATCAGGTGGGACAACCACAGCAAGAAACAATCGCTGAAGTGGGCAATTTCTTGCTGTGCTTGTCCCACCTATTATGATTCATAATAGGCAACAAACTACAATTTGTTAAGTTCTTATTGAATGTTGAGGGGCCATAGTGCCCGCTGTGTTGGTGGCTATTAGAAGAGGTCACTGATCCGGCTATGCTTGGCAACCGACAAGAGCCTCAATGTGAAGTTGAAGAACTCAAAGTGCCGGCCCAATTGTTCATAATTCTCAAGGTGGCACTCCGCCAAGGTTATTGGTTGGCAAAGCGATTGAGATTCATTGAAGAATGCGGTCCGCGAGATTGGATTGTTAGCTCCCCCCGGACAGGTCCCAGTACCGATGGGGAGCGCAACCGGAATGCCGATCCAATTCTTTCTCATCGCCGATGCCGCCATTTATCTTCCTGCCACGCTGGTCACGGGCCTTGCTCAGCAGGTTCTCTACCGGCCAGGGTTCGCGTGCAGCCAACCTCCAAGCCTGGGGCCAACGGGATGTGGTCAGCGACACACCGGGTCGCACATTATCGACGAGTGGCCCCTGGCCGGACTTGACGGTGGTCTCGAGGCCCTCCCTCTGCACCGATGATGAAGCGGCAGTTACCCGCCTGGCTCGGCAAGACGAGCATACAATAATAATGATACATAGGAAGAGGTGCTGTGGTGTAACGGCGCTCTGCTTTGCCTGCGTTGAGGAGGGTGCAGCAGCGTCTTGACGCGGGACGTGTGTTGCGTGTGCGCGCCGTTGCATCGTAGGGTTGATCCCGGCCCACGGGGAGACGCGCTTGGCGGTGCGGTTCTCCCCGCGCGAGTTCTGCACGGCCCGCGCCACGCTCTCACTGCTCGTGTCGCAGTTCAACGCCAAGCCGCTCGAGTGCACCGTGACAGGGACGAGCACGCCCGGAACGCACGCGCGGTGAGAGACGCGCGTAATGAGTGAAAGATCTGAAAATGTTTCAGAACACGCACACCTTTCGCGAAGCAGATGTATTGTTCAGTTGGCAAACTCGGAGGCACCGAGCCAAGACCCAGTACACCCTTTTCTTGCTCACCTGCTGGTACCACTCACATGCTCAGAAATGTATCGTGACGTATTTCATCACGCACACCTATGTAGTGTTTTACTAAGGTTGGCTCTTCCTTTCAAAAGGCTGCATTTGAATGCGTCCATGGTGTAATGGTTAGCACGCTGGACAAGCAACAGCAATTTATAATGCACATACGTTCTGAATTGGGCGCATTGTTCGCTTGAGAATTTGGAGGTGTGGAGCCAAAACTCAAAGCTCCTCACATGTCAGCCTGAAGAGGTGAGAGCCTGAAGAAGTAAACCTTGAGCTGCTGCTAAAAAGTGGATGAAGCTTTGATGCAACAAATGTGCAGTGGGAGAGAGAGCGTTCCAGACAGCTGCTGTTGCCGGTGCAGCTACCCAGAAACACCGCTAAGCCAGGCCGGTACTGGTTCTGGGTACAATGAGCCGGCTATTAGATGTGCTCCGTAGGATGCGCCGATTTTCCATGGTCAGTAGAGTGAGAGGGGTGGAGTGGTATGACCTTGGAAGATAACTCAGTGTCACAGGATAGTGATGTTGTACACTGTATCCATGGTGCATTGGAATCTACGGATGAAACGCACCTTACAAATAAAAATTATTATAAATGAGCACCTAACACCCAGGACAACGCAAGACAGGTCGCTTTGAAGCCGCCGTAGTTTCTTGAGATATTTTCACCCACGTTCCAGTCAGGGTGGCGTTGCAATAATCGAGACATGTGCCTAGCATGCTACAAGCCAGAGTGTTTCCTTTGGCCATGGCGCAGCAGGTAAGAAGAGACAATCGGCAAGTTGGAGGCCCTTCTGCTAAGAGTGGCGTGAGCACGAAATACATTAATCCTTTACCGTGCCCCGGGATGAATGCCGTATCGTGTATGTGTAGTCGTGTGCGGGCAGCCAAGGAGGATCGGAGCAGCAAAGCTATTCCCAGCCCAACCGCTTCCCAGGGTCCACAGGCACGGAGAACTCGCCGCCTCGGTCAACTCTCCTCCCAGCCCAGCGTACGTCATACCACCCCAGCGAACACTCGGGCACATGTACAAAACAAAGACAAAGATCCCCCGTAGAGCCTTTTCAAACTTTTGGGGTAAGTGCTGAGCACCTAAGAAGGCTGGCATGAATCACGTAGATTTATGGGATGTCCAGGCACTTTGGTTTAATTTCACGTGAAAAAATATTGTTAAAAAAAGGAATTTGCTTGACTTGGCAATCGCACGACTCTCCTGAAAATAGTCTTGAGACTCAATGGGTTTTTTTCTGTACAAAAAAACCAGTGACGATATTACCATTGTAAGCAATCAATTCAAGGTCTCATTTCCTCGTTTCAAAAGACTTGGTTATACGTTCTAATAATGCCCTTATAACAAAAGTGCCATCCTAATGAAGTTAAATAACCTTGCGTGTCACATTTCCATTTGCTACACAACTCTTACCTTGCAATATGTATATGTCGGACGACCAAGGACATTGGAGTGTCGTGCAGGTTATTTATAAGAAGCTGTATGCCGTTCATATTCTTGGTTCTTTTGGTAAAGTCACATGGATAGAAACAAATAAATGAAAATTTAAAATAAATTGAAAGTAATGAAAGCAAAAAACCCACGACGTTTCGATCACAACACAAGCGGTGATTGTGACATTGAGCAGTGACACTGAGCCTGTTTGTGTGTGTGTGACATAACATCAGCAGCTGCTAAAGCCCAGATCTCCCTATAGCGTTTGTGCATTGGTATACCGTTTCGTTATTACAGGTGTCGAAACAAAAGAAGAATTTAGATATATTTAGCATCTTAATACCTGAAGCATCTATAGGAAAATCTACTCATGTAAAGTAATGCGGAAGAATACATTAAATGTCATGAAAACTTGCGACAGCGACTCAGAACTGATAACAGTAAAACATCAAATAAAATTAGGTTTTTATTCATGTTATTATTCTAGTTGTTTACCTAGGCGAACCTCACTGAGTCTCATGAGTTTTTTTTTTATCAGGAGGGTCCTGCCAGGTTTTTACAGTTGCTGTGTATAATCCCAATTGAGCAATTTACGGATTACTTGTTGACAAATTTTGATCATGGCGCTGCCACACAATGGCCTACTCTCTTGCGAATTACGTCACGGGACCATTAAACGTTCACTGTGAGCGACGGAGATGGCTCGTAGTATGTTCACGGTTCATAACACCCGAGGTGTTAATGAGGGTGGCCGCTGGATTGGAACAGAGAAACTCTGCAACATGTAAAGAACTCGCTGCCGTTAGACCATGCCACCTCCCCTACGGGTCAGGTTAAAATTCGACAAAATATTATCATCAACAAACACTCCTAGTTTACCATTGAAGGTGAACATGTAAAAATAAATAGATAGCTTTATGTATTTAGGAAGTAATATGCATACTACAGAGGGTTGTGAGAATGTGGTCAAGAGATGTATTTTGTTGGAAAAGTGTTGTTTTGATGGGCTGTATAAACAATGTTGTAAGAGTGGAGAGGTTAGCATCAATGTTAAGTGTTTGAGGCTGGAGTCACTTTGGGCCAGAGAACTGGACTTCTTCAAAGCGACTGGAAAATAAGCTGTTGACATGGGTGTATGCGGAGGATGTTAGGAATTTTATGAAAGGATACGATAAATTAGTGCGAGGTTCACTCCAGCAAGTGAAAAGAGAGTATTGCAGATATCAGGACTCAGGAGGTTGCAATGGCCAAAGTGTATGTGCTTGAAGGAGGAGGGCAGATTACCAAGTGAGGCATTGGAGTGGCACCCAAATGCCTGCCACCGGCAGAAGACATTAAACCAGATTGTAGCGTGGTAGGACTAATGTAAGAGCAAAATGGCTGCAGGTCAGGTACCGACTGTGCAACAGCTGTGCGAGTTACTAGAAAAGGAGGAAAGCAATGATGGGGTGCGGTGGAATTAATGGAATTGACTTCTTCTTTCGTATGGCAAGATGAAATTAGCAATGTTACCTGTGGATATCGAGGTTATTTGAGCCTTTCAGTATCCTCTGTGGAGGCCTGGTGGATGTCGGTGATATTGGTTGTCATGACCGCTTGATCTTGTCACTTCATACAGTTAAGATATACTTCAACAGCTACACCGGAAGGGCTGCCCTGCATGAGCTCTTGAGTTTAATTAAAAACGAGGGCTTATTCGTCTGCAGAAAGAAACAAGGAAGTGACAATATAGTGTGGTAGCATCATCAGCATCTGCCACGATGACCTCTTGACCTTACTTGCTGTGGAGAGTGCGGCTCGCTTAGATGCAGTGGTCCCACGTCGTTCATGCCCTGCCTGCCGGCAGATCAGAGCTGCGTGTGTGCGTGAGACGTTGCAGGGAGCGGTGAGTGGGATGGTTGCAGGAGGAGCGAGTCTGGGCGTGCCGCCGCGCCTGGACACCGTGTTCGCTGTGAGTCGCATCCTTTGTGAGAAGCCCGACCGATCCCATGCAAGAGATCTCCGAGATGGTACGCACCTGACGACCAAACAGTAACCAAACCAGCACATTTAACATATCCATAATTTTATAGACTGCCACCTATCCCTCATCTACCGCTGTTCCAGATCACCACATACCACTCATCTCTTTCTCGAGAAGAATATCACATTTCACTCATTCATCGCTGTTGTAGATCATACACCACTCAAATAATTACTATTCTAGGCTACCACCTATCAAGCATCTGCAGTGATTCTCGACCATCACTCTTGCACACCACCACATGCTCCCAGTATTCATTCAAAGCCCATCACACTTCACATATTGTTTGCCGTATAATCAGCCATCATACCTATTATATCAGACAGTCACCCATCCCACACATCACACACTTAATTTATGATCAAATGGACTCTAATACTTTTCTCGTCGTATAATCACATACAATATACAGTACACCAGAAGACCAATACTCTACTCGATCATCACAACCTTGTCAATCAGGAATAACACACCACCTGAAACGTATCGCTAATCACCCATCGTCTATCCTACACACTCACATCTACACATAACCACAGTATACCATACTCCATGGATTACAAGACACTCTGCAAAGCAAGATGCACCCAAAACTTTGGATAAATAATTTTAGTTTGAATCCATAAATGTCCACATCCAAGAATAATGGGAAGCACGTGTGTAGAATCTAAAGAAACGGAATATGGAGTGGACACTGAGAATAAAAGGCTGTTTTATAATCGTCAGAGGCATCTTCCCAAGAGGATTATGGATGTGTTGCTTTAAAGTCAGGATCAATATCTTCTGGAAGATGATTATGAATCGATGCTGGTGGCCTTCCATCCTGTGGGTGAGCATGTTTCTCTATGGAAAACCACCTTTCGCAAGATGATTCTGAACAACCAAATCACCTCGTGGAGTTGCAATGATCATGAGAACGGTGAGGAATCAGCCCAGAACTACACGGGAGGATCTTGTCAATGATCTCAAGGCAGCTGGGACCATAGTCACCAAGAAAACAGTTGGTAACACACTACGCCGTGAAGGACTGAAATCCTGCAGCGCCCGCAAGGTCCCCCTGCTCAAAGCACATATACATGCCCGTCTGAAGTTGGCCAATGAACATCTGAATGATTCAGAGGACAACTGGGTGAAAGTGCTGTGGTCAGATGAGACCAAAATGGAACTCTTTGGCATCAACTCAACTCGCTGTGTTTGGAGGAGGAGGAATGCTGCCTATGACCCCAAGAACACCATCCCCACCGTCAAACATAGAGGTGGAAACATTATGCTTTGGGGGTGTTTTTCTGCCAAGGGGACAGGACAACTTCACCGCATCAAAGGGACGATGGACGGAGCCATGTACCGTCAAATCTTGGGTGAGAACCTCCTTCCCTCAGCCAGGGCATTGAAAATGGGTCGTGGATGGGTATTCCAGCATGACAATGACCCAAAACACACGGCCAAGGCAACAAAGGAGTGGCTCAAGAAGAAGCACATTAAGGTCCTGGAGTGGCCTAGCCAGTCTCCAGACCTTAAGCCCATAGAAAATCTGTGGAGGAAGCTGAAGGTTTGAGTTGCCAAACGTCAGCCTCGAAACCTTAATGACTTGGAGAATATCTGCAAAGAGGAGTGCGACAAAATCCCTCCTGAGATGTGTGCAAACCTGGTGGCCAACTACAAGAAACGTCTGACCTCTGTGATTGCCAACAAGGGTTTTGCCACCAAGTACGAAGTCATGTTTTGCAGAGGGGTCAAATACTTATTTCCCTCATTAAAATGCAAATCAATTTATACAATTTTTGACATGCGTTTTTCTGGATTTTGTTGTTGTTATTCTGTCTCTCACTGTTCAAATAAACCTACCATTAAAATTATAGACTGATCATTTATTTCGGTAAAGTCACGTAGGTAAAAGTAATTAAAATTATAAAATAAATAAGATTTTTTTATTAATTTCAAATTAATTTTTTACCTACGTGACTTTACCGAAAAAACTAAGAGTATGAATCCTTGCAGTCACGAAAGCTTCAAATATAGAATTGATCATTTATTTGTCAGTGGGCAAACGTACAAAATCAGCAGGGGATCAAATACTTTTTTCCCTCACTGTACGTATCACCCACAATGTGTCACGCATATGCTCGTGGAATACTCATCACTTCGCTCACGCCCAACTCACTCACGTGTAGGTTCACTCGCCAAATTAATCATCCATCCACCCACTTACATACAAGCTAATTCTTCTGATGCCAACACCCACCCACTCGTAGACTTAATCTCTCACCTGCTAATCCAGGCACCCTCCGACCCACGGGACCTCTTCCCTCTTGTTCAGTATTGAGATAGAGTTGCCCGAAAGAGCCTCTGTGAGTCAACTCGCAGCGTCGCGCCGAATCGGTGACAAAGGTGCAGGGGACTCGACCTCACGGCGCACTCCGCGTCGCACGACGCGCATCTGAGCAAGCGAGACGCACCAAGCACGTCCGTTAATCCTGCGCCAGCCATTTATAATGTCACTCAACCGGTCGTAAAATCACATTTCGGGAAGTTCTGCGCCGCAATTTACGGGAACATTTAGTGCAGGAGTTTGTTACAGATGTCAGATTGTTTTCCAACGTGAATACCAGGCAGAAGCAAAACGTCCAGAATAAACCTGGATCAATGACAAGCAAACTGTAGGCCATTTTGGACGTAGATCGTGCTTGTATGGAACCAATGCCGCTCAAACTACGTGCCCCCAGAATGCCTTGTGTTTGTTAGGAGTGGAAAAATGTGGAGGGACAGATATGTGAGGGAGATATATTGTCTCCTCATTTATTGTGTTACTTACACAGTGTTCTCCAAACTGACGCCTGTATGATTGTCTTGTGTCACGTACATCGAAGTCCGTTGAATATTTCTGTTTGTGAGACAGCCTGCCTCGCTCTTCTCCCTCCCGCCCCGCGGTTCCAGCGGAGCGAGGAGGAGGAGGCAGAGGAGGAGGCGGGCAGGGGTCTCGGCATGCGGCCGAAGCGCTCTTCCTGCAGAAAGTAGCGAGATTCACCAAGGAGGAGCGAGCCAACATGCTGCGCTGGTGAGCGTTCCACCCCCCTCTCAGGGCATCGTCCACCAGCCTGGGGACATCACCAACAGAGCCCACAGCCACCTTTACCCGGGCGGTGGTGGCGGTGGTGGCGGTGGTGGTGGCTATGCACGTGACGGTGGGTCACCGCACATATGTTGTGGGCATCAAGAAGGCAGTACAGCAAACATGTGGACCCCACCTGTTCCATATGAATGGGATAGAGTGTCTCCCCTCGCACCCATGTGGGTTTTCCTCGGGTGCTCCGGTCTCCTGCCACGTGTAAACACTTATTGGCCGATAACACCATCACACATCGAGGACTGCACCTCTCATTTGTTCTGTCTCTACGAGAGTGAGCGAATACTCTGCGCGTTACGAGCTGAAATTATCAGAAAAATTATTTCAGTGATCTCCCACTTGGCAGACCATGGGGATTAATAATAACAATGCACAATGTATTATGTGCAAACTCCTGCAACGGAGAGACAAAAGGTCGCCCGGAATATTGCTTGCCGCATTAAACTACTCTCCCTCCTCCCCCCATATGCTGTCCTGGACTTAACGGGTACTCGCTAACAGCTCTTGCCCCACAGTCGGCATGTATGTTGAACTTCTTTCACACCGTACGTAGCTAACCGTTCTAATCGGAGGTGCGGGATAGGACAACAAACTATACACAAAAAGTAGTTCTAAACAAACGGCCACACGGTACCTCTGCACGTGGTGCGCGTGTGTCTGCGCGTGTGTCTGCGCATGTGCAGGCAGGTTCACCTGGGCAGCGAGCCGCTGTCATCTCGGGAGAAATGGGAACTCGTGGAGGCATGGCGAGTGGCGGTGCTGGAGTACCAGGTGAGGTGTGTCCAATCCTTGAAGCGCCACCGGTGTCTCACGGCGGTTGCACTCCTGAGCGATTGGTTTGCGCAGCAATGTTCCAGTCGTTAGGAAGTGTCTGCGTGTGTCTTTTGTCTTCGTAGTTTGTTCTGGTAATTGCGATGACTGGCTCTCGTGGCGCTGCCAGGTCTATTAATCAATCGCTGAATTAATTTCCGATGGTGTTGTAATGCACAAGAATCCTGGGAGCATTCTCTTGTTGTTATTGGTGATTATATTCTTGTGAATGTGTTGCCTCTTTACAACGGGAAATTAAACCGCACCAGGATTGGTAACGACCAATCATAGCCTTGTGGCATGTGTTTAAATATGTTGCTAGAAATCGCTGAGCAGAATCCGTCTCTGCTGTGAGCAACCGGTTGCGCAATAGTTTGCAACTGGTTGCAGAGACGTCCACATGTAAGCGATTGAGTTGCTTGCAACCAAGTTGCCCAACTGCTCGCTCATTTGTGGACCCACCTGAAGGGAAGTGCCTAGATGCTGAAGAAGGCTCACCTGCCAATGCCAAGCGAGCCTCGTGACGTCGATAAGCCCTCCGTTCTGTACCACCCGCTATAGGATTGATATCACCGCCGCATTCCGCGCCACCTCTTTTGCTGCCGGTGCGAGGTCAAGGCCGGGACACGGGATTCACGGGAAGCCCTGCGCCGCAGGCCTCGTTTAGCGCACGCGACCGCCGCGGGCGGACGGTCGTGCCCCTTGCGTCCTCTGGTCACGAGGGGGACGTGGCGCCACCACGTAGGCGGTGGGGTGACGGTGAGCCGCGATTTGCGGCTTGGCCAATGAGCCGCGAAGTCCCCCCTCTATCCCCGTGCTGTGATGGCGCATCCGCTCTACAATTCCCGTGATCTCTCAAGATCAGGGTGTCATCATCTCCAAAGCCATTAATGCCACAGAACCTCATTACCTCTAACCCCTGTCATGTCTCCTCTGACCCTTATTGTCTAACCTCTGAACCCGCCGCACTTTGACCCTCATCCCGCGTTCTGCTTCCTTTCTCCCCCCAGCGGAGCCGAGGGGAGCATGTCGGTGTGCTCGCGCAACCAGGCGTCGAGACGGTGTTGACCTCGCACCGTTCCTGCCGCCTCATCTCGCAGGTGCCATCGCTCACGGTTCTAGGACAAAGACTCCCAGCTGCTTGAAGGGTGGTTAGGATCGTGGGACTGTGGGGCGGCTGTGTGGCTCAGGGGACTAACACCCTGGGTTCATATCGGTGTTTCAGCGGCCCGTGATTACATTTGGTTTCTAAAGTGCAGTGAGTTGATGGTTTATTTTGTGTTTCAGTTGAATCAAAATACTTCAGTTCCCCCCAGTTCTACCACAATGTCACCTTACTTCCCTATCTGACCTGTATAATTCTATCTATCATTTGAAAAACCCCTTCTTCCTACTCTCTACATGGGCATGTCTCGCTGTTTTTGTACCACATCTAGAGATGTAGTAAAATTTACATGCTTTAAGGATGCTGCTGCCACGGTGTAACAGTTAGCGCACCGCACTTGCAATCCAGGGGTTTGCCGGTCCAGTTAGATCTCTCGGCTAGTTTATTTAATTCCCCCCCTACTCTGTCCGTCCAGCAGTATTTACCGGTACACCACGGTAAGTCGATCAGCAGGCCACGTGTGGTGGGGTAAAGTGTGGGTACTCCCACCTTTTCCACGACGTCTGGCCGACATGGAAGAGTAGGCCAAATACTCTCCGGAGGGGGGGGATATTTGAGCTCGCTCGATTGGATGCCCTTCGACAAGCAGCGGCGTAGGCAAGCGGTTGCAGGGCTGCCCTTTTCCACCCCAACCTTTTATTGCAAACCGTCCAACTTGCATTGCGCTCTCCGTGCAGGAGCTGCCTGTTCCACCCGGCATGGATGTCCTCGCGAACGACCCTTGGCTTCTCCGCCAGCGCGCGCTGGGGCGGCTGCAACAAGCGGCCCGCAAGGTCAGGCACGGTACAGGGAGAGAGACACATGGCGAGTGGAGGGGAACGTGCCGGGCAGTGCGCTGTAGTCAAGGCTGACATTGCATAGCTTGCCCAATGTGTGGTTCAGGTTTCACCACGCGTTGTTTAGAACACCGTACGTGGTACAACCCCGGGAAACACAACGGAGAGCCGATACGTACGGCACAACCGCGACAGCCTACGCAGCAGTGCTGATGCGTAGAACTCGTCAAAATAATCATGTTAATTTCTTTATCTCGGAAAGCCTCAGTAACGAGTCTCTCGTCTCTTGCTGACCAGTTTGCTGCATTGAGATGTTTGGCCAATTCAATTTTAAGGGTTCTCTTTACGCGGGCAATGATTAATCCATCGCCCCTCCCCTCCACCCGCGTTTCCCTGGTGATGTGATGAATCGTCACAATTTGTAGTCACGACTCAATTTAAGAATGAATACATTTTTTGTCTCATTTTTATTGTATTTTTTGTTTCTTTCGCTTAAATGTACATTGTATTGCAGTGTTGTAATTTTTTATCAGCTTATATTTTGCATGTAATATTCATATATTGTAAAGCTATTCTTACATGTACAGTTAATTGCACATGTATCACGAGCATGTGATTTGACGTAAATTCATCAACAATTGGTTTATTCGCAATTATTGCAGTACGTGGGGAATAATGAGCAGGGCCCGGTGGTGTTATTAGCACAATTAACCGCTCCACGCTGGCCCTGGCTTGTGAGGGGTTTTCCTGCCTTCAGGAGGATGGATGTAGGGGCCTCGGTAATTGACGAAAGAAAAATCGACAAATAAAATTACAATTTTGAGTCAATTGTTTGACTTGAATACGCGAGCCGTCCCGGTAGTACATAACATTGTGGCGGTGGCGGTGGTGGTGGTGGTGGTGGTGTCGTCAATACAGGTGATAGTGAGAGCAAGGCTCATGACACGACTGGCCCGCCTCAAGGCCCTGCCTGCTCAAGAAGACCGCGTTCAACCGCACACAGGTAGCGCGGGGTCCCGTGGGAATCCCATGCAATGAAGATAAAATAAGGATACTATAAATGGATGAGTAGGCAAATGTTAAATCTTCATTTGTCATTGAACAAATCGTCTGTTGTTGCCGCTGCTGTGAATTAATGAATCACTCCGTATGCCCTGGCCAGCCGTCAACTCTCACCGTGATAATAACGAGCAACGGCAAGGTGCACGCGCGGTTTTATCTCCTCGCCTCGTTACGACCCCCCGCGTCCCGGCACTAATCACAATGATGCTGCGTTGTGTGTTTTCAGTATCCGCTAGCGAGCATAGTTTGTGTCATAAACTTCACCCCTTTGAAAGGTTGACTCTGTCAAGGTGGACTAACTCTGGCCTCTGGCAGCAGCAAAAGGTTTGCTATACTTTAATTTTTTCACGATCCATGCTGTTGGTGGATTTTTGTTCGTGGCCGATTCGAGTCATCGAATGGACTGCTCTTGCCTTTACGACAGTTCTCCAATTTCTTCTCATGTGCAGCAGTGCACTTCTCTACGTAGACATTGGCCAAACTCTGCAATGCTGGGTTTTCTTGAATTCTTGAGACTCCGTGAGGCTTTCCTGGCATGACTATTGTCATGATGTACAGCCAATTGTCAATTCGCTGCTGGATAAATACAGCCTTCCCACGCCTGACCGTACTTCAGCATTCTGGCCAGTGCAGGTTAGTAAACTATTTTAAAATTAAAAACAATGTTTTATTTTACCAAGTAATGCCCACTGAGCTATATAGCTTTTTTTCAAGTGACCTGGCCACAAATGATAGGTCAACGAAGTGGCTTATCACGTGGAAATTTATAGCAGCCAAATAGTCTCAACGCATGTTTCTAATGTGAAGGGAAAAACCGGAGGACCCGGAGAAAAAAATCCACGCGACCACGGGGAGAACACGCAAACTCCAAATATGCAGGCGTCAGGGTCGGGATCGAACCCACGACCTCCTGTATACCAGGCGAGGCAGTTAACATCTCGCCACCGTGGTGCCCGTGAAGAGGAGATGACTTTGAAGTGGTTCAGATATCACATGCTATGGGTGTTAGCCATGGGCAGAAATCAAACTCAGGTCACAATACAGTGCGCAAACCACTGCATCAGTTCAGACATCACTCGCCACCGATGTTAACCGTGGCGCGGAATCGAATGCAGGTCGGCAGATTAATAGCACGCAGCAGCGCACCGTTACTCCTATTACGAATACGTAAATTGCATTGCTACTATTACGTTTTAAATGTATTGATAGAGTAAAAACATTTTTTACCTGGGAGATGATTAAAATGTAGCTTCGTTTCAGCTTATGGATAAAGAAAGGCTGTAATTACGGCTGTCGGGCCCTGACGGGGGAGAGTGTGCCGTGCCTTTTGTTGCGATTGCGGTTTGAAGCTGTCACGAGGAGGCGTGGGAGCGTGCAGGAGCCACCGCCTCATGCGGGCGGTGGGGACCGCAATCCAGGCTGCACACCCCCAGGACACAAAGCGCTGCGTGCATTATTAACACGGCGAGATGTAACTAGTGCATGCCAAGATGTAACTAGCACACGGCAAGTAGCGAACACATACGCACACCGCCTTCTCTTGCTTGTACGCAAATGTACACGCTTGCTACGGACGCTAAATAATCACAATAAGAAGTAATGATACCCTTTATTTGCCCGCGAAAGCCTCGCTGAGTTGATTTGTGATTTTCAGATGGATCCCGCATTGGGATGTTCAGCTAATTACGTTAATGGGCTGAAGGAAACTACAGGACCTGGAGGAAACCCACGCATTGCGAGAGGATAGCACTAAACGCTCCTTACGGATAGATCAAATGTTCCACTGCTGTAGTGTCATCTCCTGACACACTACAACCCAAGCATACAAGATGTGCTATTCATTCCCACGCAGTCGACCATTGAAGTACTAACCCTGCTTTGGCGGCAATGTCTGATGAGCTAGCATGTATACAGGCTGCGTTATCACAACTGGGTGCCGGTTGTATGTGCTTGTGTGTGCTTGTGTGTGCCCGTGTGTGCTCTTGTGTGCCCGTGTGTGTCCATGTGCGCTCATGTGTCGTGAGCAGGGCACGTGTCGGCGGAGAGGGAAGCGACGTGGAGTGGAGATGAGTCAGAGGAAGAAGAGGAGAGGCTTTTGAAAATCTCCATAGAGAGGATCCTTCCAGTGTCATTCAAGCCCGTGGCAGTGGGCAGGCTTTTTGAGGACAATGTGAGTCGGGGCAGGCTATCTGAGGACACTGGCAAGTGGTAGGGAATGGCTGCGTGACGATGCTGTTAGGGAGTGGGGTTAAGCTGCGCGAGGGTGCAATGAGTCGTGAAGGTGCGTGTGCGTGTGTGAGTGCCGCGGTTAGCAAGCCGCGCTACGAACCCGGCAACCCGAGCTCGATTCCCGCTCACAGCCAACATCAGTGACGATTATCTGAACCGGTCCTGGGCCCTCCCCTAGGTCGACTCAGTGTCGCCACGAACGAGACAAAGGCGGCCGAGCGTGGTGCTAGTAACACCCATCCTTTGTATGCCATGCCGGCCATAATCGCTGCTCGCTAATAACACTTGCCCGAATAGTCTGTTAAGGCTATACAGGGGATATTCGTTTTTGACGGTCGCGAACAGGCTGTGTGAGGATCCTATGATTATTAGGTTCAAGCTGTGTGAGGATGCTATGAGCGGAGGGTCTGGCTCTGGTGAGGATGCAACACAAGTGCTAGCTGTGTGAGGATGTTGTGTGATCAGGGTCTGGTTGTGTGAGAAAGCTATGAATCATAGGAACTGGCTGTGTGGAGATGCTATGGTCGGTGAAGGCAAGCTATTTCAGGATGCTATGACCAAAGGGTCTGGTTGTGTGCAGGTTGTATGAGGGGTTGGGATTGGTTATTTGAGAAGACTGAGTGGGGCCAGGCTGTATGAGAATGCTGAGATGGGCAGGTGCTGGCTGTCTTGAGTTAAGATGCAATGCGTTGCTATAGGCAGGCTGTGTGAGGATTCCATCAGTGGTGGCCACAGCCTGCCAAGATGTTACGAGCACATGCAGACCGAGGGTGCTATGAATGGCTTAGAGGAGACGGTTGAAGTTGATATCCATGGCGGGGAATGCACGTGTGAGGATGCTACGTGGACTGAACGCAGGCCGCATGAGGATGCTATTGAGCGGAGTGAGAATGCTGCTGAGTGCGAGGGAGTTGTGCGGTGAGAGGAAAAGTGTCCCGTTGTGACTGTTCAGTATTAGCAGGGCCTGTTGTGTGCCCTGCATTGCACACGCAGCCTCCTGCGAGCCACCATTACCAACGTCCATTGTGCACCTTACATGACAACAGTGACAACTCGCCCCCTGGTATGTGAGATATGCATTGATTAGAGTCCTATAAGGACGTTTAACATGCACGGTTTATCCAAATACTTGCAATTTTTATTGGCATTCTTTACGAGCACATCGCAGAGATTAAAATCTATTACTGAAAAGGGGAATTGGCCAAGAATGCGTCAAGATAAGATTTACGTGCGTGTGAACGTGGGTTTGGGACCGGTAGTGTAGCGATTAGCGCGCTGCGCTACGAATGCAGCGGCCCGGGTTCGATTCTCGCTCACGGCCAACACCAGTGACGGTTATCTGAACCGGTCCTGGGCCTCTACTAGGTCCACTCAGCCTCAAATAAGTACCTGGTGTGGTGTGTAAACATCGCTACTAGGGAGACAAAGGCAGCCGGGCGTGGTGCTGGCCACCCACCCCCTCGTGTGCCATGCCGGTCTTCATAGGTCCTCGTGAACAGCACTTGCCCCAACAGTCTATTCAGGCTATACGGGGGGATCTTTGTCTTTGGGTGTGTGTGTGTGTGGGAAGTGTTCTGCGTACCTGTTGCAGATATGATGCTTTCTCACAAACACCATCCTGTAGTTTTGACTACACGGTGGTCCAGAAAGGTTGGGAACCACTGCTCTACTGCTCAAAGCCATCGCTTTCTCAAACACCAATCGAGTTCTGTACGGTGACAGGTCGCTCCTTCTCCTGCGCCGATAGTCAGGATGGGTATCAGCCCCCCCACCACCCCCCCACCAACTGCCTGTGTTGGGACTCACTCTGTGGTCTTAGCCCCCCACCACCCCCCACCAACTGCCTGTGTTGGGACTCACTCTGTGGTCTTAGCCCCCCAACACCCCCCACCAACTGCCTGTGTTGGGACTCACTCTGTGGTCTTAGCCCCCCACCACCCCCCACCAACTGCCTGTGTTGGGACTCACTCTGTGGTCTTAGCCCCCCACCACCCCCCACCAACTGCCTGTGTTGGGACTCACTCTGCGGTATCAGCCCCCTGCAATGCTGGATTGGGACTCACTCTGTGCGGATCTACAGAATCATTCTCTCCAACAATCGTCATGGGGAAAAAACAAAGTCTTAAGACTCTATCATAAGGATCTCTCGTGGAGAGAGACCTCTGATTAGCACGGATGGCTACATACGGTGCGAAAGAAGTTCAACATAAATACTGGGCGATGCTGGAACTCGCCAGGTTGCTCAGCGGTAGAGCGAGCGGCTTGCAATCGATATGCTGTGAGTTCAAACCCTGGTTGGAGGTTGACTTAGCCCATCATTCCTCTGGGGGTCGATTAAATATTGAAATAAACATTTTGTAACATGCGCAATTTTTCAAGCGGGCAAAGTTCAAACCGCTTTGTGGGGAAGTCAGTTGTGGTTTCCCTGTGGATAGGCTGGCCTCCACCATAGGAATGTGGAATTTCCACCAATGGCTGTGGGCTCTAAACACGTGATGAGCACAACCTCAATGCCAATTTCAGCAGGAAATCACTTGGACAATTATTAGGGCGAGGCGCTGCGATGATTCATCCACCTCGCAATTCCGTGAATTGTCACTTTAGGGTCACGATTGGATTTACAAAATGGGTTATTTTTAAACATTGCGGTGAATTTGTCATCATCATCATCATTAGTTACTCGATATATCGCACAAGTACAAGTCCCGAAGCGCCAGTAGGATTTAGGAAATACAATTGAGCAAAGAGGGCACTGCACATGGGAAGGCACGTGTGGGCATTAGCCACTTGCTCATGGCTGCTGGGATCATCTCAGCCCACTACATACAACATATATGTGAATCAAACATCCATTGTTTCACATCCAAATAAATGCGTGTAATAATTGATTCATCGATATATTTTACACCTTTGTGTTCAGTATAATACCAGTATTAATGAGCATGCAGTCACAGTACCTACCCTGTTTAAATTAATTAAAATTAGTCTCGTGTTTATTTAACATTTTAAATATTGCACCCATTTCCATTTCACTACTTGGATGAAGGCCATCCCCATTTCCTTGTTGAGCAAAAGGGGGCTTGTTTGATCATACTTCACCATGCTGGTGAGTCTTGGTTTTGGTTAAAGGGTTCACATGGCACCGGTTCAGATATCAATCACAGTTGGTGTTATCCATGACCGGGAGTCGAACTCCGGTCACCAGGTTTGTAACGCAGTGCACTCACCACTGCGCCACCACTCATATACCCTATTATTTATTATAATTATAAATTGAATTCGTCGGAAGAGCCGTGAAAGTGATAACAGGAACGCATTCTTCATTTGCAGGACCCCTCTTCCGCAGCAGCAGTTACTCTAAAACCTGGCAACCTTGCAACTGGTTTCATTCAGATTGTATTGGGCAGCCCAGTTAGTTGCGTACAAATTCGTCGCAGTCTTGCAGCACGCGTGGCGTGTTTTGAACGTCGGTGGGAGAACATGCAATGGGGCAGTCTGCGAGGGGGCAATCGGATGGTGCACGCTCTTTGTTTGGCAATGTTCTGGGCCGTGCCTTTCTTGATATTGCGATGCATTCTTGGCCAGTTCTGCTGCGCTTGAGATGGTAATCTCCGCGTGACTTACCCGTTAAATAAAGGTCAACGTTACCAGCATGCGTGAACACGTGCCTGCTTACGGTACGCATGGTACATCGTTTGACCTGAGACCGTGGCGAGTATGCATTCTAAATAATATAATGTAGTGGATTAAACATGCGAATGATAGATAGCCCTAATGTTATTTTTCTCATCTCTCCTCAATTCCTAATTCTTTTCCTTGATGGATTTTTTTCTTTCCGTATCTCCCAACCTTTTTGTCTCTTCCTCTCTCTCATCATTCTCTCCCCATTCTCCCAGCTCATCCTTCATTTCTTCTCCCAACTGCTATCTTTTCTCCTCTCTTCCCATTCATCCCTTCCTTCTCCCTCATTCTCTCATCACATATAATCTTCTCCCATCATTGCTTCTCTCATGTCTCTTCTCATTCTCCTATCCCATCTCTCCCTTCCTGTCTTCTCCCTCTCATCACTCATATTCCTCTCCCATCTCCTTTCACCTTCATAAATTCTCCCATTTCCACTCCCTCTCATCTCATCGCTGTTTTCCCATCTACTCTCATCATTTCTTTTCTCATCTCCCATCACCACTCATTCTTCTGTCTCACATCCCCTCCAATCCCATCCCCTCTGCATTCTCTCACGTTCTCCGAATCTCTCCGATCAACTCTCCTTTCTCATTTCCTCCCGTCATCCACTCCCATCTCGTTTCACTCCTCCGATCTGTATATCTCTCCCATCGCCTCTCCATTTGTCCTCCCACCGCCCACCCCGCAGGCTTCTCGACCCTCACAGCCACAACTCCTCGAGCCAACGGAGGTGCGGATTCCCATCGAGGTGCCGTACCTACCCCTGAAGGTACGGCGCGCAACTCTGCTCCCCCATTTTATTCTGCCCGCGTTGTCAGTCCGTGCGTGTGTCTCAGCCTCTCAAGACGCGGCCGCATTGAGAGACGCCGCACAGATTCAAATGGTCTTGTTTTCTTGGAAGTGTTGCCATGGCGATAAGCTCCATGCACTATTATTTCAGCGGCACAGCTTCAACGTGTACAACCGCGAGCCAGCGCGTTTGATTGGTGGCCCATTCGTCTCTTCTAAACCTGACCGTGGCCTCCCCCAGAAAAGCTCACCATTACGAACAACACTTGCCCCCACGGTCTAAGGAGACAAAAGGAGAGGCCCTTGTTCGCTTGTGCGTGAGTGCGTGCGTGCGTGCCCGCTTGCTTGTACTCGTGTGTGCACAAGGGGGGTGGAGTGGTCAGCGTAGTGGCCAGCGCACTAGACCACGAACTAGGCAACCGGAGTGCGATTCCCCGGCCACGGCTAACATCGGTGTCGATTATCCGAATTGATCCTCAGTCCTCACCTAGATCGTGTGTATGTACGTGTGTGTGCGCTTGTATGGGGAGCGGTGGCGCAGTGGTTGGTGTGTTGCGCTAAGAACTTCGCGACCTGAATTTGATACCTGCTCATGGCCAATAACAGTGGCGATTATCTGAACTGGTACTGGGCCTCTCCTAGGTCGACTCAGCTTTAAATAAGTAGCTGGTGCAGTGTGTAAACATCAGCACTGGGGAGACAAAGGTAGCCGGGTGCAGTGTTGGCCATCAACCCCCTCGTGTGCCGTGCCGGCCTTCATAAGTGCTCACTCGCAGCACTTGCCCTAACAGTCTGTTAATGCTATTCAGGGAATCTTTGTCTTTGTGTGCATTTGTAGAGAGTAGTGGTGCAGTGGTTATAGCGCTATGCTATAACCCGTACTTCTTTTGCACAGTACGTAGCCAACCGTGCTCATCAACGGCGCTAACATGAGTTCAGTTCCCTGCCACAGTTAACATCGGTGGCAAAGAATATTTGAATCTGCGCCTTCTCTGCCATCTCGGCCATAAATAAGTGGCTGCTGCAACGTGGGAACATCAGTCAGGACAACGGAGCACGATGCTGGCTCCTGGTGCGCCCGTGGGTGCCGTTCCAGCCTTACTGCTCAGTTGCACGGAGAGGGGGTGGGGCAGCTTTTCTGAGTTGCGGATTAACCCTCTTCGTTGAAAACGACAATCTTCACATCCACGTTGGTTTGACTATTAAACGCTCCTCACTCGTGGAGGGTCAGTGATGCAGTACCCTTGCACAAACTTGTCGGCAAGCACACAGGTTACGTAAAGAAACAATACGATCAGACATCACACTTCTTGAGCACCACTCCTATGCAGCTAAGCAATAAATATGTTGCCAAGCTTAATGTACCTGTCGCAATTGGAATTAATGTTTGAATTGAAAGTGGGTGTTTGATATAACTGTGGGTGGGTCCACAGCAATCTCGCACCTTCTGCAGGTGTTAAGATTTTGAGAAGAGTTTAATTATCCCCCCCCCCCACCGCCCAGCCCCAACAATATCCAGAAATCAAAAGAATCAATTAACATGCCAACAGTGTGTGCTTAGGAAAATAGCAATAATCAAAGGCATCACAGCAACATTTTTCTTACAGGAGGGATAATTAGCTGGTTGTTGGTGGTGGTGGTGCATGCCTGAAATCCGTCACTGAAGGCGAGGGTTGGTGGAACGCACGAATGTCGTGAAACTCCCTTTCTGGGGCCATTAGGGAAGTGCCGTGGCCTTGCTCGCCAGGAGAAGGCGGTACAGCAATGTAGACTCCGCCCCTCCCGTCTGGATGGGATAGTGTCTCCTCCTCGCACATGTGGGTTTTCTCCGGGTGATGAGTTTTCCTCCCACGTGTAAATGCTCATTAATTGGCTGACAATATTTTTCGATTTAAAGCTTTCGTGACTGCAGGGATTCATATTCTTGGTTCTTTCGGTAAAGTCACGTAGAAGGGAAATAATAAAATAATTAAAATAAAACAATAAAATGTTCACGACGTTTCGGCCACAACGCAAGCAGCCGTCCTCAGGTGAAGAACAGAGCTGTCGGAAAGACACCTGAGGTCGGCTGCTTGCGTTGTGGCCGAAACGTCGTGAGAATTTTATCATGTTTTATTTTTATTATTTTTCCCTTCTACTGTGACTTTACCGAAAGACCCAAGAATATGGCTGACAATACCTTCATATATAGAGAACCGCAGAGCTTGGGCAATTGTTGACACCCGCTCACCACGTGGCTACCTTCCTGCTTGTATGTAGTTCCTCGTCGCGCCTCTCGAGCCGTTCGAGAGAAAGCGAAATACCGTGCGGCGCATTACGAGTTGAAGTGGTTTTTAATCAGCCATTTCGAAAAAGTTGCAGGATTGTTTTCCTACATCTTGACTTGAAGCTTTCGGGACTGCAGGAATTCATATTCTTTGGTTCTTTCGGTAAAGTCACGTAGATATAAATAATTAAAAGGTAAAAAAAAACCACGACGTTTCGATCGCAACACAAGCGATCATCCTCAGGTGAACAAACACAGCTGGTGGACCATTGAGAGAAATATAGCGAGAGAGCTGTTTGAGCCAAATGCAGAGCCACTGCAACCTAAGGTCACATATGCTGGGAGTAGGCGGGGCTAGAGATGGAATCTTCCTGTCACCACCACCTCATCAGTTCTACACAGTTGCACATTTAACCATAGACCGATGACACGGGCAAGGTTAAACCATAGACCGATGACACGGGCAAGGTTAAACCATAGACCGATGACACGGGCAAGGTTAAACCATAGACCGATGACACGGGCAAGGTTAAACCATAGACCGATGACACGGGCAAGGTTAAACCATAGACCGATGACACGGGCAAGGTTAAACCATAGACCGATGACACGGGCAAGGTTAAACCATAGACCGATGACACGGGCAAGGTTAAACCATAGACCGATGACACGGGCGAGGTTAAACTGTGCTCCGCGCGATCTCCTCGTCCTTAGTTCTGAGTATTCGTACGATTCGCATTCATCTGTATAGCCACGGATACCCGAGCGTCGACTGGGAGGTGCCCATTGGCGCCCCCTATCGCCCCAACAGCCTACGCGGCGAGTCGGGAGATCTCTCTGTCTACGTGTGCTTGTGCTCGGAGCAGGTGAACCTGGACTCGCAGCAGCTGGGCAGGTACCGTCCCGTGTCGGTGCACGATGCGTTCCTCACCTACAGCCGCTCGGCCCTCCCGATCGGGCCCCGCAGCCTGCCACCCAGGCCCCAGGTGACTCGGCTCCGTCTGCACTCACTCATGCCCCACATTCATCAACCGATCGATCAATCAAATATTTATTAACTTAAAGGCACCTTTCATCAGTCAGGTTCCCCGTACGTAAATATATTATTCTACAATTAAACTTTAAAACCGTGCAATTGGAATAATTCGGCGAATATAAATTCATACATTTCATGGCACATCCATGATTGTACCTACATATATATATATGCTCACAAACCGAATACGTAAAGCGTTTATAACAACTTCTTGGTTCTTTCGGTAAAGTCACGTAGAAGGGAAGTAATACAATTATAAAAATAAAACATAATACAATTATTATGTTTTTTTATTTGTATTATTTTATTACTTCCCTTCTACGTGACTTTACCGAAAGAACCAAGAAGATGAATCCCTGCAGTCACGAAAGCTTTAAATCGTTTATAACAAGTTAAGATCCCATTGAGACAAACGCCACTTTTGCAAAGAAGACCTGGGGGGCGTGAGCCATGATTTTATTTTCGACACAGTCGCTAAACACAGGCCCGAAGATCCACAACGTCAAACAGGCCAGCAAGCAACAACACCATCAACGTTGTAGAAGAGAAAACAAACTATAACACATTTCCTGAATTGAGCAAAGTTATCATTATTATTATTGTAAGAGCTTGGGGAGCAGAGACGATGATGGGAGGAGGGAATTCCAGAATGGAGCAGTGCGTAGAGAAGAAGAAGCAGACAGAGAAGTATTGTCACATGAAGTGTGGTGAGTGGGTGGCTGAGTGTGTGGGTGAGTGAGTGGGTGGCTGAGTGTGTGGGTGAGTGAGTGGGTGGGTGAGTGGGTGGCTGAGTGTGTGGGTGAGTGAGTGGGTGGCTGAGTGTGTGGGTGACTGAGTGGGTGGGTGAGTGTGTGGGTGACTGAGTGGGTGGGTGAGTGGGTGGCTGAGTGTGTGGGTGACTGAGTGGGTGGGTGAGTGTGTGGGTGAGTGAGTGGGTGGCTGAGTGTGTGGGTGAGTGAGTGGGTGGGTGAGTGTGTGGGACCTGCAGTGTCGTGTACAAGATGTTAGTGCAGGTAAACGACAACACATTAAAACATTTCCCAAAAATTAGCAAAGTTCAGCAAGCACAACGATAAAAATACACCTTCAGCGACGCATACAGGGTCAGTGCTCTGAAATAACAGCAGTCACCCAAACTACCAAGCCACCCACAAGGTTAAGCCATTCATTATTTGCCTGACATTTAAAGTAGTTGCTGTGCCATAGTTGACTGCACTATGAATTCACGAAACACATCGACATTCATTCTTGATTGCCATCGAGTAAACAAATTATTCGGTGATGCTGCTGCGGCTGCGTTGGCAGTGGTGCACAAGCACAGTTAACAACAACACCACACTCATAATAGAGGTTTTTTTTAGTTAGATCGTGTAAATATAAATGTGTCGTTAAACCCGCCACCACCCGACGCATCCAATTGGTAAGGTTTGTCACGTAAATAGAGCGTGCCAATTCGTTACTAGTACAGCACTAACCGGTGTGTTGGAGAGCAAATCCACAACATTTACAATTTGAGTACGACGTTTCGAAGCGAATTACAACTAGCATCATCAGGTGACAGCCAGATTCAATCTGACCTGTATAATTGGCTGTCGGGTGGTGGTGGATTTAAGGACACATTTATATTTACGCGATCTAACACAAAACACCTCTATTCTGGATATTGGTCGCGAAAGCCTGTGTGTTAAATGAACAACATGCACGTCAACAACACTGGCCTTGAAATAAAAAATTCATCCTCGACGTTTTAGGCAAATGGCCCTTCTATACGTTATGAAGAAGAGCTATTAAGAAGGGCCATTGGCCCAAAACGTCGCTGATTATACATTTTTTTTGTTTTTTTAAAGGCCACACAGTGTTGTTGCTGAGCGTGTTGAGTGTTTTTTTTCCCTCAAAATAAAGACGTTGCTATTTTTAGTCGTGTCGATTGAGTGCCTCCCCGTTTTCTAAAATGTAAACGCATAAACAGATACAATGACTTGCCATCATTGCTTTTTTATTACCATTACCGATGTATTTTGCGTACGTGCTGCTTTGGTTTATGCGGATTGTGTGGTGCATTGGACATGTATGGTCTGCTATTGTGTAATTGGTCTATTTGTAGTGTTTTGGTGGAGTTTGCCTTGCGTTGGTGTACGTGTGTGGTGCGGGTCTTATGTATATTAACGCAGGGGCTTTATGGGTCACAGCCCGGGGGCCTGAGATTTATTTGGGTTTAATGCATTTGGGAGATCCTAACAACAGCAAAATGTATGCAAATTGTTTCCATTTCCATTGCGCTTGTCACACTTTCTTTGTTTAATCAAATAGTTTTTGTTCGGATTAACACTTGCAATGGCAACACAGCCATTCTGTGTGGGGAGCAGCATGGCGCAGTGGTTCACACATTGTGCTACAAACCAGGTCACCTGGGTTCGGTTTCCAGCCCATGCACAGGGACAGTGGTGTATGATCAAAATAACCCACACGACCCGCATGGCATTGGGACGCCCTAATATAGCAGTGGATTGACAGAAGGACCCTCCCCTAGGTTGACTCAGCCTTAAATGAACCAACCAGGACCTAATGTGGTGTGTAAACACAAACTTTGGGGGCGACAAAGTCGTCGAGGCATGGCGCTGGCAACGCCTTGCCCCATTGCAGCTTTGAGATGTGCTCGCTAACAGCACTTTGTCCTCCAATGTTATGAAAGCTTAACAAAGCATGATTTGTCTTGTTGGCTTCGTCTTGTCTACAGGAGGAGCAGCAGCAGCAGCTGAGTGGGTACCCGGCTGTCGGTGCTCTGGGGAAGTCGGAACAGGCGGAGCGAGGACGTGAGACGACCCAAGACCCTGATGGCGGTCCCAAGCTGATGTCACCACCCGCCGCACTGCTCCTCACCCCCCCACACCCCTCGCCGCTTCTCTTCGTAAGGGTCGCTGCCACACGACAGTGCGTGTGTGTGTGGTGATGATGTGGGCAGCGGTGGCAGTGGTCTGTGCTCTGCGCTACGAACCCGGCGATCCGAGTTTGATTTTTTGCTCACGAACAATGAATATCAGTGACAGATATTTGAATCTGTCTTGGGCCTCCCCTAGGTCGACTCAACCTCAAATGAGTACCTGGTGCGGTTAGTGAACATCACCACTGGGGAGACAAAGGCGGCTGGGCGTGATGTTGACCACCAATCCCCTCGTATGCCGTGCCAGCCTTTATAGGTGCTCGTGAATAGCACTTGCCCCAACAGTCTGTTAAGGCTATGTGGAGGGCCTTTGGCTTTGGTGATGATGTGCCGTGACAAGGGTGGTTTGGTGTGTCGAGTGAGGTTATTATGAAACTGCCCTTTGCTCTAAAAGGTAAAGGTGCAGCGCTTACACAAGAAGGAGCTCTGGAGGAGCTGACCCTAATGGGCATTTGGCCTACTCTTGGTTTGCCATGTTGACTAGAGCTATGTTGAGTTTGTACTCTGCTATGTTGATGTTGCGTAGCGCCGCTGTATGAGCTGCACGCTCCCGTGTTGCCAATGGTGCAGAGCGCAGTGCCCAGCCTTCAGGCCCGTGTCTCAATGCTGCCTTACGTGGACGTCCATCTTGACTCCACGCTTCCCAGTGGCGGGGTGACATGGGGCCCAGGGGCTGTTGCGAGGAGGCCCCGGACCCAACGCAGGGCCTTCGCAAGCAGGGTAAGGCCACCAGCGATGCGACCTGACCACCACGCTCAGTCTCTGCTACGAACCGTCGGCAGCACTGGCATAGCCGTCGAGCGTGCTGGTAGTGCCGCTGCACCAGGGCAGCGCAGGCAGGAGGAGACGGCATTTTCAGGCCTGGGGACCCTGGCACTGCCGGCTTTAGGCAACGTAGGCGTCCGTCCAGGGCGGCAGTGTCAAAGTCTGCAGTAGTGTGGCTGTGATCGATGGGTGTTGTGTCACGTGATCTGCAGACGTGGCACGAAGACGCCTCGGCCTCTATCCTTGGAGACGCGCGTGTGTGAAACGTGCTCCGGTGAGAGGGGACAGCGATCGAACGCTGGGGGCCCCGTTCCATTCCTCTCATCGGGGGCGCAAGCCACAGCTGCCCTCTCATGCGCCGTGCTGGCCTTGATCGCTTCAAGCCCTTTCCCTAACAGTCTGTTAAAGGCTACACGGGGGATCTTCGTCTTTGTTTTGGTGTGTGGTCTTTACACGAGTGCGTTGTGCACGTTGAGTTGGCGGAGTGATCACGTGTGCCGCCGCGTGGGTTCAGGACGCAGGGAGGGGTGCGATGGAGTGGCAGAGGTTCCTGCCGCCGGGCCTCCTCTTCTTCACCTCTTCTTCACAGGCCAACTCCACCACGCCCAGCTGGTACCGCTCACCTTCACACAACGCCCTCACCACCAGCACATGCACACACGCTGCTGTGAAAGGACTCCTCGTGAGATTTGTTGCGCTTGTTAGAAGCCCCGCGTGGATCTCGCACCGGTGCGTGGTCGCGATCTAGCTGCAGGCGGTTACACCTCATGGCACGGTGAGCCGGGTAAGTGTGCTGGCGTTAAGCTCCAGTGGTGTTCTGTGTGCAGATGTGTGCTGTGCAGAGGCCTTTAAACCCCACTCCCCCCACCCCCTGCTGATTATGCAAGTGTAGCCTTTTTACACTGGGTATGCCTCTATGGGTGTAGGTGTTCACGCTACTTATATGTAATAGGACTGTCGCTTATGTGTCCAAAAAGGCTTGATTGAGTGTTGACTATGCAGACGCAGTTTTCCTGCACTGGCCATGGTGGTGTTTTTCATGAGACGATGTTCACGCTGCATGCTGGCTTGCATCACACAAGCTGTTATTCTAGTGGACGTGTTCACACTGGGTATGCCTATACGGGTCTCTGTTATTATTTGTTATTTTTATTTATTTATTAATCTTCCTTTTATGATGCTTGTTTACCAAGGAAAGCCTCACTCGGTCTCAAGATTTCTTTTTTTGGAGGCTCCTGTAAAGTTTTAGCTGTAGGGGGCCTATGTTGCTGCTGTGTGTGATCCCAATTGATAATTTTCAGGTTTTTTTTTTGCTTTGGGATGTTTGGCCAATACCAGTTACATTGTGTGTATGTTTGTGTTTTAGCTATGGGAGGAAATATAGGGAACCCAGAGGAATCCCATGTAGAACAGGTGAAGAGCATACAGACTCCACGCAAGAAGGCACCCGAGTTGAGAATCAAACCCAATCCCTCCTTGCTGCGATACACAAGTGTCACCACAGCACCGCCCTGACGCCCCGAGCTGTTCACACGAGTTGTATAATAACAATAATAATTAGTTATTCATTTCCATATTCGTTCTCGGTAAAGTCACATAGATAGGTTCAAAGAAAACAACAAAAAACCACGACGTTTCGATCGCAACACCAGCGATCGTCATCAGGTGGGGAAGATGACGACCGCTGGTGTTGCGATCGAAACGTCGTAGTTTTTTGTTGTTCTCTTTGAACCTATCTTCGTGACTTTACAGAAAAAGAATATGAATCCCTGCAGTCACGAAAGCTTTGAGTCAAGATTTAGTTATTCATTTATCTAAAAACTCCTCACTCAGTTTCAAGAACCGTCTTCAGGAGGGTCCTGCATTGGAAAAGGAATATTTGTTCTTTTTTTTGTTAAAGCAAAGTTTCACGTGTGGGAGGAAACCAGAGCAGCTGGAGAACACCTCCCACACACCTCTGGCACACGGATGGGCGGATTAACACCCCAAGAGCCACACAAGCACCGTTACACAGCCACCTGCCGCCTCCACGCCACCACGCCACCTCGAAGCCCAGCGGCTCTCAGGGTTTCACCAACGAGCAGCATCCACCAAACCACGTGCCCACGAAGTGCTGGATCATCGCACCTGTGCGCCCACCGCCACTACGCACTCGTTCCCGTGTTTACACGGGGGATGCTAAATGAAGCACGGTCTGTTTGTGCTTTGCCCAATTTTATTTCGTTTGGCGGCGTGCCATGCGATGAAATGCCTTGTCCGCATTAGAGAAAGGCCCGCAGAGGGTGATATTGCAGAACTACTTCTGATACATCTTCTGGTGACCTCTTATCTAGTAGAAGGCACCAGATAATTTCATGCACTTTATTGCAAAGATGTTACTCACGTGGCAGTGAAATAGATGGGGTTTTTATTCTCTGGTGGGATTTTTTACCAAAGCAAGCAAAACACTTTTTTTTTTTGCAGTCATTGGTGAGTGGGTTGAGATCATCACTACAAACTTGATTTAAAGTTTTCGTGACTGCAGGAATTACTCTTTGGTTCTTTCGGTAAAGTCACGTAGAAAGAAAATAAATTAAATAATAGAATACGACGTTTCGATTGCAACACAAGCAACCGTCATCAGGTATAACTAAATATGAGAGAGAGACAAAACACAGACACGGAGACACACAGACACACACAGAGAGAGAGACACAACATAGACACACAGACAGACACACGAGCAGAGAGAGAGAACACAGAGACACACAGAGAGAGACAACACAACATCACTACACATGTAGTGAGGACTGAGAACTTCTCGCTACACTAATCACAAGTGGCTGCCCCCAAATTCAAACCCAGGATCTCAGTGGTGCCATCTCATTCCTCTGACCCCTGACCTGCCCGGCCACATTGAAGCATACCAATCGCTAGTCAATGTAACTGTGGGTCGTACCGCATGCTGTTTGGCTTGATGTCCGACGTTTCGTTCCACGTGCTCCTGAAAAAGCCTATGAGCGCGTGGAACGTAACGTCAGACATGGTGCCGGACAAAACGCGGTACGACCCAAAATAACGTCGAGAGCCGTACAACAAAGACAAAGATCCCCCTTATATATAGCCTTCAGATACTTTTGGGACAAGTGCTGCTAGCGAGAACACCTATAAAGGCCAGCATGGGTGGCCACCATCAAGCCCGACCACCTTTGTCTACCCAGTGGCGATGCTTATACACAGCACCAGGTACTAATTCGAGGCTGAGTCGACCTAGCGGAGGCCCAGGACTGGTTCAGATAATCGTCACTCGCTGTGACCGTGAGCGGGAATCGAACTCGGGTCACCCCGGTTTCGTAGCGCAGCCGTACAACACAGCCGCGAACACCTCCACGACAGCGTGCTCCTTGACGAAGTTCGCGTCCGCTGTGAAGTCCGCTTGCTCTGGACGAGTTGCCGCCGTGACCTGCAGCTGACCCCACCGTGTCGCGTACAGGACGATGTTCGCGGGCGCACCGACGATGCTACTGGGCGAAGCGCTGGTGCTCCAGCGAGCTCTGTCGCCCGAGGACCAGGAGAGCATTGGAGGGGGCGCCCCAGGGATAGCGCTCACTCCCAGCATGGTGGCAGCAACGTTCGTGCTGCCGGACAGCGGCTCGGGCCCACGGGTGTGACGGGTGAATCGATGCTCACGCGCTCCTCCTGCCCTGACCGTAACCCTTCGCCTCCGTTACCTGCATGTGCCCAGACGCTGGGTTGGACCCACGTCCAACGTTTACGCAGAATGTTCTCCGTTAGTTTTGAGTAGTGTTACACCCTGCACCCCTGCAACCAATTGGCCAAAAATGCACCCCATCTCATCAGGTATCAGATGTACTTGTATTGGTGACCACCATGCATTGCAGGTTGTCATAGGCTGCTCGCACTGCTATGCTCCCCATCTTCACCAACCCACACTGGCCAGCGTGGTGAAGTATGGTGAAATATCCTTCAAGATCCACTCGGCCTTGGCAGGCCCTCAATCCAGCAGTGGATTGGCAGAGGGTTGTACATTTGCAACATCCTGCACACGCTGTTTTCTTGCTACTGCAACCCAGGCGAATGTTGGTCTGGCTAATTATCACCAGGCTTACCACCACACTACACCCACTTATTATACACCCACTTAATGATAATCATCACGAATGAATGTATTCATCCAGGAAAGCCTCACTGCATTTCTGCATTCTTTATCAGGGGAGTCTTTCTTCGGTACGTTTCCTTGTAGCCTTCAAATGTAATGCTTTGCAAGTGAAAGAAAATATCGAGCACAAGGACAAAGAAATCACCACGCACAAGGGGGAATAACATTCAAAGATTAGCACAAATGGTTCCACGAACCCACTAACCACTTCACTGCCTGGCGGATTTGGCAAGGATACCGTGCAGGAGAATTTGCGAATAAAGGGCTTGGTAGCCTCCTATAGTTGGGGTAATGCTGCGCCACTGCACTACATCATACAAGTTTGAGGCACATATGGAGTTTTTATTTTTTATCATCAGAGAGACATCCCAACACATGCAGTATGCAATCTCTCCTAAACTTTTGAACTACACCCACAGCAGCTGCCACCATTTTACATTTCAACCTACGATGGGTTTTTTTTTGCCTCTTGGCCAAAACTGGCTCCAGGGAATAATAATTTGCACAGAGGTGCCTCATTGAAAGAGGTGACAGCCAATTCCCAAAAATGCCTTTGTATTTGAAGCCAGTGGACATTCATGTTTAATATTAACCGTTAGGAAAAGCAAGCATCCACGGCAGGGACGCGTCGCGAGAAGGGACGATGGTGCGTGGTCAGGGACTGGCGACGGAGTGGCAACCGAGGGAGGGAGCGGCCATTCTGTTGGAGCAGCTCCTGTGCACCGATAGACATCGCTAAGCGCCATGAGTGGGGCTGGGGACAGGGGGGCGTGGGGAGCGATTTGTTTTTATTGGGCCACCTCCGAGATCCAAACCCTTGCACCGTGAGCGCCAGGCATCGCGCGAACGCCAGGCCCTCCTCGCTGGAGTGCTGCGAGCACCGCTGTGAAGGATGGGATGAGAGCAGCCCGAGTGGTGCTGCAAGTGAATGGCTGCTCTGATTGAATCCACGAGGCTCTTGGCGATGTGGACGTTGTTGGTGTTTGTGGGTGGACCGAGGAGCACCTGCAATTGCTGTGGGTAATAGCCGAGCGAGCGTGCTGTGCCGAGCATTATAACTGTGCATGCGTGTACGTTGCGCTGGACGTTATAACCAGGTGAAGGTGCTCGAGGGTGTTATGACTTGGTGTGTGTGTGTGCTGCGCTGGGCAATGTAAACGGACATTGGTTGGGTCATGTGCATCCTACTTCACAAGAGAGACCCCATTCCCGGGCCACATGACCCTCAGTGCCTGTGTCTTCAGCCTTTGTTGTCACCGGGATTGATTTTTTTGTGGAATCAGGGCGCGCTTGTAAAACTGTGTTAGATGCGCGAATGCGCTCTTATACTCGCTCTCAAAGAATCGCTGCTCTCCCCAGAGTCTGTGCTCCCACTGGATCATCGCCGTCTTATTCACCCATCCCACAGCCTGGACGATGATTGCGGTGCATCTACGCCACGCCTGCGCGTGCACTCAAATTAATCACAGTCGTGCTGGTTTGGCTCCAGACATATCTTTGATTCCAGCATCTGTAGTCTATGGGCTCTGAGTGTCATCGCTCATGTGCGGTGGAATGGAGATTCGCACGAAAGGGGGCACTTTCCGTTGTGGTGGTGGCGGAATCGTGCGGTGATTGCCCGTGGCATCTTGGGCAACAGACACAAAATTGCGTGCAGTGCTGAAGCATAAACCTAGTCGTGACCTCACCACACGTCCTTAAGCCTCCTTACACGCCCTCACCACCCCTCAAACCATTGACCGCGTTCACACACCACTGCCCGATTCGATCATTCACCAGCAGCGTTTCATATATTTACCACGAAACGACCCCTGAGGTCGTCCACCGGCTCACTCGCCAACCTTCACATGAACATGCAAACGTAACCTGATCAAGTCCCCACCATAGAAAAGGAGACCACCGTTTCACCACACGGTCATATGCGTGACCTCGCCCACCACGTTGTCACGCTCAAGCCTGTGCGAATGGCACCAGGGTGAAGCACTGAGTAACCGAGGTGCAAGAGGGAGCGCAGTTGAGTGGGCGGAGGGTCAAACCGCTTCCGGTTACGTGGCTGGGTGGAGGTCGTGTGGACGAAGGGGCTAAGGGAATGCTGTTTGCACGCCAGCGACGTGGCCGGCTAAAATGGGATTGGTGCAGCGAGCGGAGAGGTTTGTTTTACCACATTACGCTTCTCTTCACATCACACGCCACCCCTCTGTGCTTGGGATATTCTCGTTTGCTTCAACATGGGATCTCCGATTCTGGCCAAGATCTACAATAGTGCTCAGCTGCTACCGTTATTGTTGGGCTTACACAATCGTGTACAAGTGTGCATGTGTGTGCTGGTGTATAGGTGCCGTAGTGGTTTACACACTGCGCTACGAACCCGGCGATTTGGGTTTGATTCCAGGCCAGGGCTGACAAATGTTGCAAGTGATAACTTAATATGTCCTGGGCTTTGCCTAGGTTGTCTCCGCCTTAGGTAATTATATGTTGAGGTGTATAAACATCAGCTCAGGGGAGATAAATGCGGCCAGGCATGGTGCTAGTCACACCACTCTCTCGTGTGCTATAGGTGCTCGCTAACAGCCCCAGCAGTCAATACAGAGGGGTCTCTGTCTCTGTGCATATGGAGGAAGGTGTATGCGGCTGCATTTTCTCCATGTTTGGCCAATTTGTCGTAATTTCCCCCATTCACATCTGCTGCCGTATGCACACTGCGCTCCACTGGCCCCATGTAGATAACAGCGTCGCATCCCCAATTCATCACGGGCTACTTCCATAGCCTCGCTCGTGTGCACGCGCTACACAGCTCCCCCCTCCTCCCTGCGTTACACTCACTTCTCTCTCCACCCTCGATCCGCCATCTCCTCTCTCCCAACCTCCACTCCACCCATCCATTCTCTTCCCTCGTTCCTCTGCCACCTCTGTCCTCCAATCCACTAATTTCCTCATACCCCACCCCTCCCTCCCGCCCTCTCCCCTCCTTTCCCACCTCCCCTGGGTAGGGTGAGATTTGGTGGAGAGAAGCATAATGTGGAAATATGGAGTGTGACGAGACACACTATAGGTAGTATGACATTGCTCATCATTTTTGTCAATTTCTTCGCTAAAAATTAAATGCATGAATTCATGGTTTTCATATAATATTTATCATCCAACAACAGAACCAAGCGCACTCTCGCACGCAGCCTCGCTCGCGTATTATCACGCGCGCGCGCGCATACACACACGTGCGCGCATACACACACGTGTTGCTCAGTGACATAGTAACACCTTGTGCTCAAGGCACAGGGCTGCTTGAGCATCTGAAGAGGAAGAGAGTGAAAAATCAGATATCTGTCTGTCTCCCCGTCACCTGCCCTGCAGCCAACGGGCAGAGCACATGCGGTCCATATCGCTTCCACAGAGTGCCTGAAGGGGAAAACGTGCAAACTGTTCCATCAATTAAAACTCCATTTGTACGCTCATAGGTACTCGCATCAAAAGTCTCTAATAAATGGATGATTAACTACGCATGATGGTAGAACCATCTAAGCGAAGCAACAAGGCAAACACGTCAAAACAAGACCAAACAGAACACATGGGACAGCGCAGATGGCTGTATCAAATGGGACGGAACAAAAGAATGGATTTTTCAATTGAATCGTGTCACCGAATCACGACGATTCATTGAATAGCCGAAGGCGATAGTGAATTGTTCATTGCCTCTTAATGTGATCCCTCCCACAATGCACAGACTGCATAGCATTACACCCACCGCCACATCTCGCAGCTCGAAAAGACAGCACTAAGACAAGCCATTGCATCACACGGCGTCACACAGCATCACACAGCGTGCCAAAACAACGCCGCTTGCAGCACACCGTCACACGTGAACGCACGGCAATACGCACAGCAAGGTGATAGCGTCATGTGTTTATTTTACATCGCCACTTTTGACAAATCGCAAAATGTAATTGTAATTAAATGTACTTACAAATGTATAGTATGCTTATTAAATACACTCTGTGGACTATCGTTTGAAACCTATGAATATGTTTTAGGGATAACTAGTAAAAAAAAAAACATTTTGTAGAGGAGGAGGTATTTCTAAAGTGATTTACCATTGCATGTACAGTATAAAGTCCTGATCTATAATCTCCTTGCTCTGAGCCTCACTGCATCCCAGCATCTCTAAAGGGGCAGTGCTGCTACTGCTGCTGCTGCAGCACCGATTGTCTCGCACGTTACGATGAACAGTGGCACACACAGCCAGGGGTGGTAACACCGCCGGTGCTACAAGAAGATCACTCCCTGAGGCCGGAGGTGACCTATGCCGCCGGCTGATGGAGCAGCGTCTCCAGCCGGGATACCTCATCCTCGTCCGGGGTGGACAATTTGGAAGACAGCTGATGAACCTCGACAGCTCCACCTTCCTTGGCAAGGACCAGGCCCGATGGGAGGCCTGGCTTCTCCGGGTCTCCAAACGCAGCCATCGCCACCACCCTGCCACACCGTAGGAAGTACAGGTCCCGCATGTAGCTTCAAACACTGCTGATGCTGGTGCCGTTCGGTGGAGCACATGTATATAGGCTAGGCTGACACAACACACGAAGGGCTGGTTTGGCCAGTAGTAAGCATGTACGCCTTTTGTTTATAAGTGCTGTGGTTTGCGCACCACACCAAGTACTCGTTTAAGGCTGAGTATATTGAGTGCAGGTTGGGTTTCCACCTATCCTAGGATCATGTTTTTGAGGGAGCTGATCTGCAACATCTGTAAGTCTTCCCTGGACATTAAAAACTTCAGTTTTCGTCAGTTTCATAGCAATACACCACTCAAGAAGATGCACTCACCATGCAGTCATCCCCTCTTCCATTACTAGGGAAAATATTCCCATAATGTGTTCCAGTTTTTTTTTTACTTCATAGGTAGCAACCCTAAGTGGAGACCTAGAACAATTTTGGATGCCATGTGTCACAGATGTTATTCACGGCTGCTGAGAATCAAACTCGTGTTGCCCGGATTGGAGCAGCAGTACCACAGCTCACAATGCGAGAGAACACGTTTAAACACACGGCAGACGCTTGATATGGACACATTCATTCAGAAACATTCAAACAACCCAGATAACACTCATCATTCAACAAAACCCAGATGACCACAAACCACAGCATCGCTGATATATGTTGTGCTGATTTGTCCGATTGTTTATGCCTCTGGAATGTTAGGTTTACTTCTGGTGAATTGAGGAGTCATCAAAGAGGCTAACAAGTGCGAGGTGGCCACGTGGCTTAGGTGACTCACGCCAAAGTCAAAGCACGGCTGTCAATACTGAGCGTGGGTTTCAAATTTTGGCAACCGTCACTAAACCAGGTTTCTCCATCTTCTTGGTTCTTTCGGTAAAGTCACGTAGAAGGGAAATAATAAAATAATAAAAATATTAAACAATAAAATACAAATTCTCACGACGTTTCGACCACAACGCAAGCAGCCGTCCTCAGGTGAAGAACAGACGCTGTCTTTCCGACAGACCTGTTCTTCACCTGAGGACGGCTGCTTGCGTTGTGGCCGAAACGTCGTGAGAATTATTTTATTTTGTTTTATTATTTTATTATTTCCCTTCTACGTGACTTTACCAAAAGAACCAAGAAGATGAATCCCTGCAGTCACGAAAGCTTTAAATCAGGTTTCTCCAGTCTATCACATTCATGGGTCACTCGCCAATGACTGCACAGAACAAGCAACTTCCATTTTATTCCCCACTTCATTTGTCATATTCCAGCTTCTGACGACTACACGACGTTTGCTTTGATTGCCATTCGACAAGCACCTCGCCAGTCGGGGCATGTGAGACCGTGCACTACCTGGTGGGTGAACGAGGCAATTGAAAGGACCCTGGAAGCTTTGCGATTGAAATCGAAATGTTAAGTGGACAGTTGCGGTGGTACGCAATCAGAAATAACATTTAAAATATCACCCTTTTCATCATGAACCCTGCGTGACAGTTGAGGATATATATATAAAATGCACTTTGAAGAGGGGCCAATACCCAACATGTTTGTAGTTCTTTGACGTCATCTTCCGCACGGTACTTGCTCTAACGCTGCACAATGCGCTGCATTTCTGTTACAGTCATATTCTTAGGTTTTTTCGGTAAAGTCACGTAGGTAAAAAATGTAAATTAATAAAAGTAAAATAAAACAAAATAAAAATAACGGAAATTTTTCCAGCTCGTGACGTGACACTAAAAGTAAAATTGGAACATAATTGTGAGAAAAAATAAACTGTGTTTTTTTTTAAGGATAGCAAAGTGTTAATGCTGAACACTAAACATTTAACGATCCATCAAATCAGCAATTATAATTGATTTTCAAGCTTGTGACACATGCATCAAATCACGTGTGTAAGAACAAATATTTTACGATTTCTACAAATTACAGTACACTGACGCATATCCGACTCGCAGATAAGGTTACTGGACCAAAGCAAGGCACAGATGGCGCTTTAAACATGGGGAAATATTTGACTGCTGTTGAGAAGTGAGCAAATTAATGTGAGATTACTGTGTGTGGGGTGTCGCAGTGGCGAGATGCTATCTCCTGGGTTCGATCCCGATCCTGAAACCTGTATATTGGGCTATCATTTGTGGCCAGGTCACTTCTAAAAAATATTTCTATAGCTCAGTTGGCCTTACCTAGTAAAATAAATAGTTTAGTTTGATTGTCGAAAAGTCAAAGAGTTGTGAACGTCAATAAAAAAATGTGTGTCAAATCGTGCACCAATACTGCACTGGATGTAGGTGATTAATCACTCGATACGGATATGTGATGGTTGGGGATGCGACGTTGTATCGTGTTTGCATGTCGTATGTACCGTATGTAAATGGTACTGTAACCTTAAAGAGATAGCTCAAATGAACAAAAAAAATAAAACACAATGAGACAACACTGCACAAAATAGTGCCAATTTTTGTATAGAACTGTGCCTGAGGATCGTGGCAATGGCTGTGATGGGTGTGGAGGAGGGCGAGTCGCCAAACGCCACCCTCGACGCGCTGCGTGACGCACCGGAGCCTAAAGGCCTTGGGCCGCAGTCAGTGGCCACTCCAAGCCACTAAATAGCGTCTCGACCAGTGGCCTTTAAAGGAGTTTGCAACAGGTGACAGTATGCATGGAAAACGTACGCTACATAACGGTATTCGAGTGCATTTAATATGCTCGGTAATGGTATTATGGTGGATTTAATATCCTACGTAATGGTATTCTAGTGCATTTCATAAACAAGGTATGCTAGGTAACAGTTTTGTAGTGCAATTAATATCCATGGTATATGCGGTCAGGGTATTCTAGACGATTTAAATGTGCTCGCCTCACGAATATTTCGGCATTACACCTCGATTTCACGCAAAATGCCGTCGCACGCCGTGCACACGCGAGGCGTGCGTACGGCGTGATTTTATTTCTCTATGGGCAGGATCTCTTCGTGCCCCATTTCTTTCTGACCGGCACACACACACACCCCGGCGCGTAATGCTCCACTTTAACCGCCGGCGAGCAGCGCGGCGCAGGCCCGGACAGGGGGTGGAGCAGGGGAGGAGGGGGCGACCGTACCCACGTGTCGGCTTCTCCAAGCTGAGCGCCCCGCCGCGGCTCCGCAGGAGGTCCCACGATCGGACCTGCCCCGCGCCGTCCAGCACGAAGAACACGGCCGGGCGCGACAGCGACCACTGCACGGCACGGGGGGCCCGGCTCTCCGCGAGGCCCTCCTGCTCCCCAGGCCAGCTCTCCAGGGGCTCCTCGTGCCCGAGCGAGTGCAGGCGTATCCCACCGTCGCCGCTGCCCATCTGCACAGCACGGGGAACACGCAGGGAGATGCAGCACGCTTGCAGTGTTTCCACTGCACCAGAGAAGGTTCTTCTGTATCAGCGGTTCACTGCATTAGACATGTTGGTTATCAGTGGTGCACAATACCAAGGAGTGCACACCATCAAGGATAGACAATGTCACACTGTGAGAACGCGGAAGACCAACGCAGCCAAGGGCACGGGTTGCCCGACTGCATCAGTCTACCACGTGCTGTACGAGTGGTGACCTCGCGCTCTCTCCAAGTCCGGCTTCACGCGGTTTGACTCTGTGGGCCATGTTAGAATGCTAGAGCTGGTGAATAGGTTTTGGGGGACCAAGTCCTGTTAGCCCTCAGCCACCAGCCGCCTGTGCTTCTGTGTTCCACTCACGAGGAACAGGGGCAGCCCGAAGGGAGAGATGGAGCAGGTGCTCGCGTGCCGGGAGAGTGGGCAGCCGGCGCCAGGGCTGGGATGGTAGCAGCGGTTGGAGGAGCGGTACCCGGGGCGCGCACAACGGAGCACGTACGCCTGCCTCGCGCACGCACACACACACGCACGGGAACCCGCATACACACGTGTGTGCCCATGGGTGCCAAAAGCAGTGAGAAGTTGGAGCAGTGAGCGGGTGAAGCAGTGAGCGGCTGGAGCAGTGAGCTCAATGTGGTGTGGGCTGACGGTGCGGCGAGCATTGCTCACCGTGTCCGTAATGATGAGGTAGTGGGCAGGGTCGCACGGAAGAAAGTGCAGGCCCAACGTTACGGGCTGCACCACAGGAGCACGGCTCTTCCCAAACAGCCTGCCCAGCGCAGCAACAGAACCCAGCAGCAATCGGATACAGCAACTTGATACAGAAGCTTCACACAGTGGCAGCATCACACGATACAGAAGCAGCATAACACAGCAGCGTCGAGCAGACCTCACAACGTGCGGTGAGGTGTGTTGGGGGGCATGGTGAGATGCGGTGAGATGCGGTCAGGTGTTAAGGTGTCGTGTGAGGGATGTCGAGGCGTAACGAGTTGTGCCGAGTTTAGTGTGATTTGTTGAGGCGTGCCGAGTCGTGGTGAGGTGCAGACTGTGCTCACGTTGGATGCAGCTGTATCCTGGAGCTGTGGAGTAGCTTGACTCGGCCACCCGGCATCAGTCCTGGCACGTGGGGTAGCAGGTGGCAGAGTGCACGGTCAGTGCTCGGCCAACTTACCCGGCCGACACCCGGTCAACTCATCCAGCCGACTCATCGAGATGACTCAATTCGGCAACTATATATTGTAGCATAATATAGTACAACAATGGATGGTTGCTGCACTGCACTCTGCTGACAATGCACAGACACATAACACGTGGAAAAACATGTGGCTCCTAAACTGCCAACCCTCACACATTATTTGCAACATCTGAAACCGCTCCGTGGATCACTTCCCGCGTGCTTGCGGACCAGCAATCGTCCGTGGACTACAGGTTGGGTACCGCTGGTAAGAAACCACTTGTGGTCTGCTGCGTGAGTGTGGGACTAACGTCACGGTGGCGAGGTGTTAACTACCTCGCCTGATATACAGGTCGTGGGCTTGATCCCGACCCTTAAGCCAGTTGTCGTTTTTAGTTTGCGTATTCTCCCCCTGATTGCGTGGATTTTTCTCCAGGTCCTCTGGTTTTTCCATCCACATTTAGAAACGTGCGTTAAGAGTATTTGGATTTAAAGCTTTCGTGACTGCAGGGATTCATATTCTTGGTTCTTTCGGTAAAGTCAAGTAGAAGGAAATAATATAAATATAAAACAATAAAAATTCTCACGACGTTTCGACTGCAACACAAGCAATCATCATCAGGTGTGAAATCAACAGCAAGAAAATTTGAAAAAAAAAATATTGCTGTGGATTTCACACCTGATGATGATTGTTTGTGTTGCAGTCGAAACGTCGTGAGCATTTTTATTGTTTTATATTTATATTATTTTATTATTTCCTTCTATGTGACTTTACCGAAAGAACCAAGAATATAGAGTATTTGGTTTCTAGAAAATTCCATGTGATAAGCTACTTCGTTGAGCTATCATTTGTGGCCAGGTCGTTTAAAAAAATTAGCTATATGGCTTAGTGGGCCTTACCTGGTAATATATCAATAGTTTTAGTAATTTTAATGAAAGCTGAAATTTGGCAGATTTAAAATCGAGTATATGCTTATACAGTAACTAAAAAATATATAAATCCATTAACCAGTTTTAATTTGGGTCCCCAAACCTTTATGGCTTAGATGTTGATTGGTTTCACTGACAGGGCAGGTTCCGTATAACTTTATGGAGAGCTTCAAATCTAACCCGAATCGCTTGCAAAGTACGTGTACGATCTTCATAATCGGTGAACCAAGTAATTTGCTTTCCATGGAGTGTGACACTCAGGCTGATAGAGAGAAGAGAAAGTCGACTTACTACCAGTTACCGGTGTCAAAACATTCCCCCCATCATCCTCAGAATACAGTTATAATTAACTTTTAATTTACAGAACGTCTAAATACCACTTCTCAAGACAAAAGGTTAAAGTGATTTCCTGCTCCAATGAGCATTGAGAGGCATCGGTGCTCATCTCCTGTTTACAGCCCTGCAGAGCCAGTGGTGGTAAATTCCACATTCCCATGGCGGGGGCGAGTCTTCTAACAACCACTGTTGACTTCCGAGCAAAATGGTACGTATTTTTATCGACACCCAGATGATAGAGTCAACCCCAACATAGATTTAACTGGAAATCTCCCAATCGCGAGCCGCTCACTCTGATGTTGTGCCAACTGGGCAGATGCTAAATAAAAAGACATACGGACCAGGGTGACAAGCAGAGAACCAGGGTTGGGTTTTATTCTTACTACTATTATAATAAAAGATCAGCCACGTCAGAGTACCTCAATGAAGCTCAGTGAGGCACAGCTGTGCGTGCAAAAAACCCCAAACACTGCCGTGTCAATGTACAATAGCAACCAGCACTGCCTGAATCTACTTCACGGAATTGTTCGGAGGCTGTTAGAGTGAGTGCTGACACTGACGCTGGCACGCTGGCCACATTCACTGCACATAAAGCTGCCCCCACAAGCTTGGCTGAATGCAGCAATAGTCATCACACAGACAATGATGCCCTGTGTAGCCAAGCACAGCATTTTAGGGCAAGTGCTGTTAGCGAGGACCTATTGTCATTGTATTACATTTGTTTCATCAGGAAAGCCTCACTGAGTCTCAAGAATCTTTTTCAGGTGGGTCCTGCCAAGTTTCCTCAGTAGAGGGCGTTGAATTCTACGCATATTTTAGTGGGTAATCTTTCAAATTTGGCCCAGGACTCCAGCACACAATGTCCCCACACTCTTGCGAATGACGTCACGGGATCTTGAAAGTCCACGGTGAAGCGTGCGGCGCCTATTCTTACGATGAACACACCAGCCAATGTATTCATCAGCACGCTCGTTGGTTTCGAATCTTGAACATCTGCAACAATAGGCGAATGTGCTACCATGTCCGCTAGGTCAGGTCACCGCCCCTGCTCCATTGAGGCCAGAAGGGCACAATGGGGCCTGTTTGTGGCCAGTACCACGCACCTGGCCACCTTTGTCTCCCTAGTGCTTGTGAGTACGCACTGCGCCAGGCTCTTATTTAAGGCCGAGTCGGCGCAGGGGAGGCCCAGAATAGGTTGAGATATTGCTCGCCACTGATGTCGGCCATGGCTTGCAATTGAACCCAGGTCGTGGGGGTTCGGAGTGGAGTGCGCAAACTACTGCACCGTTGCTCTCCCCAACAGCCCACACACACACACATGCAGATACAAGATTTTTTTTTAAATAGATGACAACACACACACACACACGCAAACAGTGATGCACTCTAAATTACGCAACGTAAAATGTAAAGAGCTCTTTTCGGTAGATGTGCACAGAGGCTCTGTGTTCCGGTCTGTGTGAAATTAGCTTGAAGCTTCATCGATGACAAACAGAGATTTTAAAGTTACAGTCGTGTGGTTCCATTGTCTCCCAGCGTGACTGTCCCGGAGTGAAGCTCCCTTGGAATCTGAAATTGCCGGTACACGTTGGAGCATTGTCATGGAGACAAAACTGCCAATCTTCCGGGCCAAAAGTGCAGACAATTAGATGTGCTCTCTTTGCGCTTGCTCGTTAATATGAGCCGCACGCAGCCACCATGACAACCAGGAGCCCTGCATCATAATCCAGTCACCATGGTTACCAGAACCCCTGCTTTAGGATCCAGTCACCATGGTAACCAGAACCCTTGCATCAAAACTCAGTTACCATGACTACCAGAACCTCTGCATAAAGCCCAATCACCATGGCTAATAAGACCCCTGTATCGGAACCAAGTTGATGTGGTAACCAGAATCCCTACATCATAACCCCGTTTACATGGCTACAAGGATGCCTATATCAGAAGCCAGCTGTCATGGTTACCAGGATCTGTACATCACAAACCGGTCACCATGGTTACCAGGATCCTTATATCAGAACCCAGTTTCCGGGGTTAACAGAATCCTCGCATCAAAACTGCGTTGCCATGGCCATCGGGGTACCATTGTACGGTCAAACCAACCCAGAATCCGTACCCAGCCAGCCGCTGCACAAGCAGCACATTTGGGCATTCACAGCCTCGCATCGGAACCGGGAGGAGAGGACAAGGTTCTGTCACTGGGAGCAAAGCCCAGTCACGAGGAAGGTTTGCCGAGGCGAGAGGCTGGAAAACCTGTTTGTGACCCGGGATGAAAATTAGCAGCTAATTCATGAGAGCGCAGTTTGAGTGAATTTGAAACAATCGAGGCGCGCTGCCTTGAATATCAATGCTGTGTTCTGCAGGACACTGCGTGCGAGACTGGCAGTGGGGGGAGGGTGGGGAGGTACAGAGGCAATGGAAGATGCGGGGGGAGGGAGGGGGCGGGAGGCCCCCGCGCTTTTCACGCCCATGTTTTCACAGCAACCTCAAACAAAGCAGCTGCTCCTGCAGTCGTGATCCGCGCTCGGCATGCTGATGAGCATCCTCGCGCGCGTGTCGTATATACGTGTTCTATACCACACGCGCACGGTGCACACACACACATACGTGTGTGCGCACATACGGTGCACACACGTGTGTGTGTGTGCCGTGCGGCATTCAGAAGGGCCGTGCACTACCCGCTCGTACCCCAAAAGCGTGCGGTGCGGGCGTTTGAAACGCGCGCACGCTGACACGCGCGCTCTCTCGCGCTGCGCACGAGCGCGGGGTGGCGAGGCGCGGGCGGGCATGCCGATGAGCGGGGCTGTGGAGAAAACAAAGCCGCGAGTGTCCCTGCGAGCGAACGGACACGCACGCGGAATCTTAATGAGAGCGCGTGGCACGTGTGCCGCCCAAGTGCGTGGGGGAGAGGTACCGCACGTGAGGCATGCTAATGACAGCCGCGCGCACAGCCGTGCGTGCGTGCGGACCGCGGGTGCAGCGTGACACCTATGGGTGGGTTGGGAACAGATTTAAAGCGCCCTCGAAATCGCGCCCCCACCCCCCTCCTCTGGCGGCCTTTCGCAGCTCTCTGTGAACGCCGCACACCCCCCCCTGCCGTCGCCCCGCGAGCGATCACAACCCTGTACCCACCCATCTGTAACGACAACGGAGCCTGCGTGCGGTGTGAGTGGACTGGTGGCCACGGGAGGTAATGACAGCAGGGGTATCGGCTGTGAGTGCGAAGGGACTGGTGGCTACGGGAATGTTCGAGAAGGGAGCGCGGAAGAGGGCCGGTGGAGTCGGCCGGTAGAGGGAGCGTCCAGAGTCAGCGAGAAGGATCGAGGAGGGGGCGTGGCCTCGTGTTGGTATATAAAAGGGGGAGATGCGCGGGAGACTCGGGGCTGTTGCAGTGGGGGTCTCCTCCGCCTGATGTCAAGTGAACGCAATGGCGGAGCCAGGATTTTCAGGTGGGGGAGGGGAGGCAACCTCTCCAGCAATGAAAAATGATCGGAGTTGTTAGTAAGGACTTGTCCCTTGCTTTTTATTCGACGCGTGTGCGGCGATGGCGCAGCCATCGATCAAGGGTCGAATTCGAACCGCGTTGTGTGATCGGCATCGCGCTCGCTGAAGGTGTTGATGCCTCAAGGGAAGTCGTGTACTGTATACGCAACTGCGCACAATTCTGTGAGTCACTTGCAACTGCTTTGCCGTTACTTATTGCCAATTGTGGACTCAGACTATTGTCCTATCATCTCATAAAGTCCCTGGCACGTAATAATATGCTACACAGTGGCAGTGGGGGTCGCAAGATGCCGATATATTACTAATAAACCCCAATGATCCGATCGAAATTAGGGAATTCGATCGGATTGGGGGGGGGGGGGTGTGCCACCTCCCCCTACCCCACCTGGCTCCGCCAGTGAGTGAACGTGTCTTCAATAGGGTCCCATCTCAAGAGAAGTGTGTCAAGTTGTCATTACGCATCCATCGTAGTCGTCGGGCGGTATAGCTCCAGCACTCAAACTACCCTCCCGCAGCTCGAACGACGACCACTGTAATTCTCACGTGCGGGTGTATTACTCAACGGTTATCTGATGAAAACCGAAGTACACAATACCTCATTAGGTATTTTCCGGCAAAAGCCTGAAATGAGAGAAGAGTCAGGTGAGAAAATATAAAAAAAAGAGGAGAGGTAAGAGACAGAGACTCTGTGTTATACAACAAGAGAGAATGGATTGGTGGTGAGAGAAGATCGTGTAAATGAGATATGCGGTAAGAGGCACAACTGATATACAGACAAGAGAAGGAGACGCAGTGAGATGTCGTCACTCAAACATGTGAGTTCATTAAAATAAAAGCTCTAATTACATTTTGGAATTTCAGGCGTCGAGTGTTAATTGTTCGTCCAGAGCTGATGAGCACAAAAGGGGGCCGGATGTTTGGCTGAAGCTGAATGAGGCCTGTCTTCTTCATCCTGAAACTATGAGCTTCGTTTGATCTATTTATGCTGATAAATAGATCAACTCATAACAGATCACAGCAACACACAACAACACACCCTGAGCAACTCACTCTCTAGAAAACTCACTCTCTAGAAAACTCACTCCCGAGCAACTCTAGTTCCTAGAAACTCACGCCCTAGCAAACAACACCCCAGCAACTCACATCCTGACCAAACTTAGTTCCTAGCAAACTCACACCCTGAGCAACTCACTCCCTAGTAACTCAATCTCTAGCAACTCACACCCTGAGCAACTTAGTTCCTAGCAAACTCACTCCCTAGCAACTAAATTCATAGCAAATCACTCCCTGGAAAACTTACTCCCTCGCAACTCACAACCTGGTAAAACTCACACCCGAGCAAACTCACTTCCTGGCAAACTCCCTGGAAAACTGACTTACCAGCAACTTCCATCTTCGTGACACCCAAGCAAATTGACTCAATGGAAACTACATCCATGCAACTTATACCCTAGCAACTCACATCCTGAGAAACGCATACCCTAGCAACTGACCCACCCTAACAACGCACTCCCTAACACTAACCCTAGCAACTCACATCCTGAGCAACTCATACCCTAGCAACTGACACATCCTAACAACGCACTCCCTAACACCAACCCTAGCAACTCACATCCTGGGCAACTCATACCCTAGCAACTGACACACCCTATAAACGCACTCCCTAACACCAACCCTAGCAACTCACATCCTGGGCAACTCATACCCTAGCAACGGACACACCCTATAAACGCACTCCCTAACACCAACCCTAGCAACTCACATCCTGGGCAACTCATACTCTAGCAACTGACACACCCTAACAACGCACTCCCTAACACCAACCCTAGCAACTCACATCCTGGGCAACTCATACCCGAGCAACTGACACATCCTAACAACGCACTCCCTAACACCAACCCTAGCAACTCACATCCTGGGCAACTCATACCCTAGCAACTGACACACCCTATAAACGCACTCCCTAACACCAACCCTAGCAACTCACATCCTGGGCAACTCATACCCTAGCAACCAGAGGTGTGGACTCGAGTCATGTGACTTGGACTCGAGTCAGACTCGAGTCATGAATTTGATGACTTGAGACTCGACTTGGACTTGCATAACAATGACTTTGTCCCACCTCTGAGGTGTGGACTCGAGTCATGTGACTTGGACTCGAGTCAGACTCGAGTCATGAATTTGATGACTTGAGACTCGACTTGGACTTGCATAACAATGACTTTGTCCCACCTCTGCTAGCAACTGACACACCCTATAAACGCACTCCCTAACACCAACCCTAGCAACTCACATCCTGGGCAACTCATACCCTAGCAACTGACACTTTCACCACGCACTCCGAAAACTCACACGAGGATTGTAATGAATTACACCTTCACTGTGACCCGATTAACTATCGTGATTCACTTCAGGAACGTATCGTTTCATTTGTGCTCATTAGCTACGTCTCGTTTGTACTGGCTGCCATGCGTGTCCTCGTTTGTTCCGTCTTATTCACCATTATCCCGAAGGTAACATTTGTACATAATTAGCATACATTGCAAGTAACCGATTCTCACCCACAAGACTAAAAAAAATCAGGCATCGTGGACGTGAGAATCGATTTGAATTAACAAATCGATTGTCACACCCACGGACAGCACCCCCACCACCACCCCCACCAGTTTGTCTCCCGTGACGACATGCACACAGCCCCCCCACCACTACCACACCCTACCCCCACCACCCCTCCTCCCCAATCTGCCCAGCCCACTGACCCTGATGGTAATGCAGCTCTCATTATCGCCTCGGCAGTCCCCAGCGCCTGCGAGTTAACCACAAGACAATGAGTGCCGACGCCTGGCACGACGCGAGCCGCACGGGGAACCGCTCCGCCGTCACCTCGTGATCGTTTAACAGGTTTTATTCTCCCTGGCCTCGCTAATTGAAATACTTGCAAAGCTGAACGTATCGTTTTTTTATTATTATTATTATTCCGTTCAAGCGCGCATGCGCGTGTGTTTTTAATATATATGCCGAATGTGCCAGGCAATGATAGCCCTGGGCGTGCGGAGCAAACGGGGCATTGCGGAATCTGCCTCCTCACCACGGGGACGCCCACAAGTCACCACCGTCCCGTCGCGGCTAACGAGCGGTCATTAGCCGCGTGTCAGACGGCGCGGCACGGAACGGCGCCGTGCCGAGCCGAGCCATGCCGTGCCGAGCCCCGCGCGGGAAGGACCGGCCCGCATTGAGGAGTCGTCTCCACGGCAACCCGCAGCAGAAAGCCCCACAGCCTCCGGCTGCGCCGGGGAACAAATCGGCAACGCGGCCGCGAACAAACGGAACGGGGAGCGGTCACAGAGTGCGGTCACGCCACAAGCCCCCGGGGGAATGCGGCCCACGGGGGGGGGAGTGCGGTGGGGATTTTTTGACGGGGTCGGGCTGGAACTGGCCACGTGACGGGTTGATTGCTCGTGTGATTAGCGTAATGGGTTAATAATATCATCATTAACAAGCATTTAGCAGGAGCGTCTGGTAACCCAACGGCATTGGCTTACAAGCCCGTCTCTGTCGACGAGACCCGCAAGGTCCTGAGTGTGTTCACTTAAATAAATGCTGCTGGATCATGCTGGTCTGATGGGCCAAATTTGTTTTGTTATATGCCTTCACATCATCAACCGTGAGCCACTTCACGCTGGACAAAAGCATATCCAAGCCGTCGTCGTCGTCGCCGCCTCACGCAGCCCTACGATTTAAAAGTCCACCGAGCACCAGCGCGAGAGCTGATTTCACCGCTCCATCTCCGCAAACGGCCACCCTCTCAGGCGTGTCCTCTCCTTGAGCTGCCACTGTAACTAGTGACGCATCTTTCCCTAGCCCACTTACTCATCTTAATAAGACGTAAAAACGATTTTTTTTTACTTTTTATTTTATCAGGTAAAGCCCACAGAGCTATATAGCTCTTTTTCAGAAGCGACCTGGCCACAAATGATAGCTCAACGAAGTGGCTTATCATGTGAAAATGTATAGTAGCCAAGTACTCCAATCACATATTTCAAACGTGGAGGGAAAAACCAGACCCAGACAAAAATGCATGCGACCACGGGAAGAGCATGCAAACTCCAAATACACAGGCATCAGGTTCGTGATTAAACCCACGACCTCCTGTATACCAGGCGAGGTAGTTAACATCTGATCAGGTGATAGACAACGCGATGGTGTAATAGGTGTACGCGACAGGTTCTGTGGCAGGTCACGTGGCAGCTGTGGCCGAGTGTGATTGGTCGCGACTGGCGATGTGTTATAGGTGCGAGAAGTGCCATGCGAGAACACAACTTGTTCGTGTGATCGGGTGTGACGGATCGTGTGATCGGGTGTGACGGATCTTGTGCAGGCAACGTGACAAATCTTGTGAAAGGTTGTAGCTGGCCGTGTGACGAATAATCGCTCACCTAGGTCGCTCAGGGAGCCAGCCGCATCTGCTGTGGGCATCTCCAACACCACCTGGCACATTCACACCACACACGCGCGCACGCACGTGAATATTATACACACGAGTACGCGCATGCTTATCCACTTACTTACATGCATACATACACTGTCCTTCCTCCACACCTCCAATCAGCATGGCTGGCTACGCGGTGCAAAAGAAGTTCAACATACATTCAAATACACACATAAAGGCATGAATTTTTAAAGGAATGTGCAGATAGCAGGAAACTGGTGTACCTAAAGAAAGCTAAAAACATACGCGGGGATAAAACTAATTCTAGATTTGAAGTTTTTGTGACTGCAAGGATCCATACTCTTTGGTTCTTTTGGTAAAGTCACGTAGGTGAAAATAAAAAATATGAATAAAGAATAAAATATAAATTACTAAATTAAATCACGACGTTTCGGCTAATTTAGTTTTTTGCTGTGGTTGTCCCACCTGATGACAGAAGCTTGTGTTGCTTCCGAAACGTCGTGATTTAATTTAGTTATTTCTATTTTATTCTTTATTTTTATTCTTTATTTTCACCTACATGACTTTACCGAAAGAACCAAAGAGTAGGTATACAACTCAACAAGGTTTTTCTATCGATGGGTTCACAATCCTACATGGCTTACTTGCTGTACCTTCACCTACTGGTCACCTCACATATCCCAGTGGCTCTGAGTTTGAGGACTATCCACGATTCCCCCAAAGTGCACTCTTACGTGCCCAGTCCCCATCACGAATGCACCACGCTGACCGCACATCGTAAGCTCTTCGGAACAACACCGCTTTAGGCCGATACTCTTTGGTTCTTTCGGTAAAGTCACGTAGATGAAAAATAATAATAAAAATAATAAAATGAAAATAACTAAATTAAATCATGACGTTTCGGAGGCAACACAAGCTTCCGTCACCAGGTGGAACAGCTACAGCAAAATTACTGTAGTGAATAGGATAATTTTGCTGTGGCTGTTCCACCTGATGACGGAAACTTGTGTTGCCTCCGAAACGTCGTGATTTAATTGTTATTTTCATTTTATTATTATTTTTTCTTCATCTACGTGACTTTACCAAAAGAACCAAAGAGTATGGATCCTTGCAATCACGAAAACTTCAAATCTAGAATGCTTTTGGCCTGTTGCACAACTGACTCAGACTCAAGGATGGATCCCGAACATTTGCAGGTGACTGGTTCCAGGCCTTCGGGCCGAATACCCCCCTGCACAAGGTTTACGTGAGGGTATAGCAGGCAGCAAGTCACCGTGGGCTGCGGATAGTAGACTCCATCGACTGGGCTCTGTTGAGGCTCGTACACACTGCCCGGTGAGGTAGAACGGAGTGGACTGTTGCAGACAAGTAGGCATCGGTTGCCATTGCTCTTTATTACACGCTTTCATTTAACTCACTCTGCCTGTTGTTGTTGTCGTTGTTGTCGTTGTTGTATCCTCAAATCTTGTAACTCAATTTTAACCCACTTCCCAATGTGGTATCGACTGCAAACTTGGTATACTTATGTCATACTGATGACAATACTATATTCTATCATAAAAAATAAAATGTATATTTTTTTACATTATTTTTATATGTTATGTTTCGGCTTGGGTCTAATTGTCCACGGTCAACTGACGTTGGCTGTAATTGGCCACGGTCCCTTACGCTATGGCAAGCTTCGGGGCCACTTCCTGGAGTCGTGGAGTTCTTCCATTACGAGTACATTTCATAAAAGCGTGTTTAAAAAAAAGTTTTTTCAATATTACCTATTTCTCTAGCAGACTCTTGAGTTACAATGACTCTTGTCCTGCACAATAATGTTTGTCCTATTCCATTAGTGTTTGGCGTGTGGGAGGAAATCCAAGTAACCAGAGAACACCCACCCATAATGAAGGGATAACACAAAAATTTCACAACCATGGATCACCTCCGATTAACACGTTTGGCTACGTTTGGCACGAAAGAAGTTCAACAGACATACATTCCATTTCTCTCATGCCATCTCTTTTACATCTTGCAGCCCAATTACAAACCCATGTTCCACATTGCGCAGGAAACCCAGCTACATCACACGTGGGCTCCTACGCCAGCCGTGTGTGTGCGTGTGCTCAGGCACGCACCACTCACCTCCTATCATAACACATGGCCTGGACGGTGACCTCAAATAATTACCGTTCTCTCACGGAGCTAAGAATGCACTCGGGGAAGGCTTAAGTGATGCCACTCGGAGCGCTGGTGTTGAGTGAGGCGAGGCTTGTGATCTTCGCACCGCGAGGTTGTGTTGGAATGTGGGGGAAAACATTTTTCCCCACTCGTCCAATTGGATTTTAATAGCACGTGTTTGCAAGAGGATGGTTGGATTGTTGCATCGCGGAACTGTGAGGGAGAGCGACAGCTTGTGGAAATCTTCGTCCAGCAGCAGATTGTTCGTGGCTGATGTTGACGCTTCCAATTGCATTCATTCACGTTGTATATATGTATGTTGTCTTGAGATGAGCAGGAGACATTCTCAAGTGCATGACCCCACGAGAGATAATGGCCTTTTTGGAGGTAATATCACTGAATGATGGTGCAGCTCTTCATGGTTGTGCGATGTGTTGTCCAGAACGGGAGCTTCTTCAGGAGTTGTTGAATCGAGATCCAATTCTCCAGTTTCTGAAGAAGCTCGCAGCAGGTGGAGAAAATAATGTTGGACGTCGTGAGGAACAACATACGGTAACATCCCGAAAACGCAATATCGTAGAACTACTTCCGAGGTCTTTCATTCACCTCGCATCAATACGAGGGGCACCAAACCTTCTCACAGGCTAGCTACAGAGGTGTCCATCGGACGTCAATTAAACAGTGGAAATAAGCCCAAGTAAATGACAAATCACGTTCTATATTTCTATGTGATGGGCTTTTTTCATGCAATCATTTGTGACTGGCCTAAGACTATGCAATGCACGAAACTCCAGTGTAAGACTAATCTACAGTGAAGCAGTTTGATCAACAGGTGGCTTTTAGGATTAGAACCCAGGACCTCCGGCAGTGGTACCGGCTCTGAGCTCCGACACCATATGAGACACCATTGGTACCTCATTTGCCAGTAAAAAATATGATAATTGTTTTTTTACCCTTCTATCTGGCAACAAAACTGACACCTTTTTTTCACGAGGAGTCATGTTTGCATAGACCACAATACCTGCAGTCATAATGCAAACAAAAACATAACTCTGATAATGTATGCACTGTCCTTGAAGTTGATTGGTCCACACCCGAGACAGCTTTCCTTAGAGCCTAGTCTCACACGGGTTGGACCAGATAAAAAGGTGTCAGTTTTGTTGCCAGATAAGAGGGTAAAAAACCAATTATCACCATATGAGACCCTTTAGTATTTAAAGTAAATCCGTAGGATTTGCGCGATCTAACCCAAAAATATTGGTTGCGGAAGCCTACATGTTAAACAAACCCTTTGGTATGTATGTATGTTGAATTTCTTTCACACCATTACATAGACAACCATGCTAATCATCGAGCTGCCCTCTCGTGGAATGCTATGTAAAATAAAAGACAGGGAAATTAACTTTCTTCACTGGGCAGGCAGCCAGTGATCAGGGCAAGCAGTGCTTGGCTGTTTGAGCTCACAGTTCACCCATAAATTGTAGAATACGCTTGGTTTGTGAAAGGTGCCCTGCACTGCACCTGCTGCTTTAAGCTTTTCTCCTAAGACTGAACCCCAAAACACTCGCTGCTTTTGTTTGACATTGCAGACTCCGCTAGTGTCCCACACAGGGCCATGGTGGAACACTGGGAGAGATGGATGGGGTGGATCTAGATGTGAGGTTGAGACGTGGCGTGAATCTTACCCAAAACAAAGCCCACAGACACAAACTTGGTTGCACCACTCAAAAACAGGCTCCACTTTAGAATGCAATTACACTCAGCGTCTATATAACATCTGAATGCAAACGCCATCTCAAGGAAATGTAGGCAATACTGGACCACCCTGCCAATAGACAGAAACATTAATTTAAAAAACACGTGAGAAATGCAGGATGCTCAGCCGAAGGAAGGTAGTTGGATGTTGACTAGCGACCAACTTTACCAGGGCATCTAAGTAACCCTTTACAAACCTGCACACCAAGCACAACCAACAAATCTAACACACCCGCTCCCCCTGTACACCTATCTCACCCAACAAACACAGCACACCCCACACACCAACGCATCAGCACAAACAACTCACCCAGTACAATCAACATGCCTTGCACATTCAATGTACCAGCACACATGCCAAACCCTGCACACAGCAACACACCCAGCAAAACCCAACACACCCTGCACACACGACACATTCTCATACACACTCTGCACACTCTGCATTCACAAACACACCCTGAGCAAGGAGTGCACTCGGTACAACCCACACACCCTGCACACCACACACACTCCGCACACCCTGCTGGTTACAAGAGGCGCCCTTGACAGCTCACGATGACCCGAGCCTGCCTCCCGTACAGACACCAAGTGCCACTCGCCATGAACCCCTCTTCCCTTATAAGGTGCCATGTAGTGGACACACTATCTCTAAAGCACTCAAACATTCATTTCCCTTAAACAAACACGTCGCGACAGCCGTGTTTGAGTTTGCAGTCGAAACAAATGATGCTGTCATCTCACGACCACCGGCCGCCCGTACATGAGATCTGGGCCTTGTAACGCGCAATCGTCATCAGCGCCGCATGCGCGCGCGTGCGTTTTTGAGCATTTGTGAAACTATGTGTGCATGTGAGTGAGAGTGGCCACCCGTATGTGCATGCGTACGTGCGTGTTGATGCACAATCTCTCACCCACAGGTTCATGACGCCTCCCTCCTCCAGGGAGGCCAGCTGGTATGACAAGCCAGAACGTTCTGTGTGGGAGGAGATGCACATCATCATTCTCGTCGTCATCGCCGTCGTTATCGTCATTATCAGCACTAAATACATCATCATCAAATGCCACCTTTCTCATAACCAAGTACCGCACCATTGTTAAGTAGCACGACGCCACTGATTCGTCACTATCAACAACATCACCGGCATCTATTTGCACAATAACCACACCATCACCAAACACGGCACCAAGCACCAGTCACATAGTCGTTATAAAGAACACCACCACCATTAGCATCATCAAAAACATCGTCAAAATCATTTTCATCATCAAGCACACCATCGGGCTCATCATTGCACGGTTGGCTATGTACTGTACGAAAGAAGTTCAACATACGTACATCATGAAGCACAACTCAAAACACACCACTACCAGCATCATCCGTTTTAAATACCACAAAACACATCATCATATCTTGATGAAAGTCAACACCATCAGTCCTTCATAAGCAAGCAAGCACATCATCATCATCTTCATCATTGTCTTCAAGCACAGTACCTCCACCACCATCATCATGTACATCATAATCGCCATCATCAAGCATGCCATCAGCACATCAACAACACATTTGCAATGATACACACGTTAACACCATTGGAACCTCCTTTGCCAGTAGCAAAATATGATAATTGTTTTTTTACCCTTTTAACCTGGCAACAAAACTGACTGGCTCTAAGAAAAGCTGTGTCGAGTGTGGACCAATCAATTTCAAGGACAGTGCATACATTATCAGAGTTATGTTTTTTGTTTGCAATCCGACCGCAGGTATTGTGGTCAGATAAAAAAAGGGTAAAAAACCAATTATGATTGGTTTGACTCCATCAGCCTTGGAATTTGAGGACATAATTGAAGCCAGAACCGTTTTCCCTGAGTCAGCCATTTGTTTTAATTTCCAGACTGCATTCTGCCCCCTGTAAGTTGTTGGGTTTTTTTTTTTAACAAGAGGTCTGCTGGGAATCGATACTTCATTTTGCAGGAAGGTAGTAGCCTCAGGAATTCGGCTGCTCGGGTCTCTAGACAATCACTGCATTTCAATAAATGTACCTAGCAAAACCACTTGCGCGGCGAGTGTCACACTGTGGGCCCCAGATTGAGGAGGCTGCAAACTCCACCTCGGTTTTTCCATTCTCAGGTGAAAGCGTGATTGGAATTCACGGCAGTGGCTTCATCAGCAGAGCTTTCTCCGCCACACGCACCCCATGGAGCCTCCCAGGAGGACTGCTCTGGTCGGAGCCCAGCACTGGTGCAGCATCATCACCATCCTCAACATCCTCAACATCCATCATCCTTCACCATCATCCATTGCCATCGCATTCCAATTACCAATTAATCCACCTCTACACATCACCTGCGTATGGAAACTGGATCCATGCGTCACCACTGTTCACGTACCATGCTGTGTAACATCACTGTCCACTGAACTGTGTGTACGACCAGCTGTCTGGCGTGCCGCTTGTGTATACGGCCCATCATCTGGTCTGTGTGTAAAGGGAGCTATCTGATCTGCTGTGGCCACACCTCTATTCCCCTACCATGGAATGCACGTGTGCTCAAAGTCTGAGTTTACACGCAGTCAAGTCCTACGCTAAAGGAATATACAACTCAAAAAGCAAGTAGTTTTTATTTTGCAGATAGGTTCCTCTAATGTACGTTCCAATTTGTCCGAGATGTCTGAAGCTTCGTGAAAGTGGATATGCGTTAAAATCACAGTCCAGCAGTCCATCATAGCACTTGAGTGATGCCACTGCCCAGCCGTTATATTTACAATATTGCGAGTATCATCACAATACATCACTCAACTCCTATAAATATGCACCCAACCTTGACAATCAAGGATTATTTTCTCAACAATGTTGGGACAGCCCAGGACACACAGCCTAGGCATGCATCTACAGGATAAGACATATACATGCTATAACCAAGTAAACAAGCAGACTCCACACAAAATAAGTATAACCCGTAAAAACAAAGTTTTTCACTATAAATCCTTTATATGCGTGGCGGCTAGAGTCTTCTCGTCCTCTGGCTTGAGATGGCTGCCACCTATGGGTCAGATGATTGTCTGCCAGTATTAAGCAATTGGTAATTAAATATTTAATTTGTTTTCCCTAAACAGTGTAAAATTTTAGAAAAAAATTTTCACGAACATTAATTGTCTCGCACAACGAGTCTGTGTGCAAAATGTCAGCTCGATTGGATCACGGGAAGTGGGTTAAAAAACGACCGAAAGATTTGCACGGTCGTAAGCAAGCAAGCAAGCACGCAAGCACGCAATCAAGCAAGCAAGCGAACTTAATATAAAGGATTTAAAAATGCCTTTTTTTTACACATCGCATCAGCCACACAGCCTTCTGGGAGTGATTTCCTTAAGCCACGTTGGTTTAATACAAGTGTAGAGGATGTTCGTAACATCCTCACACACGAACACGACACAACCACAGGTTAAGGGTCAGGGGTCAGGGGTCACGGGAGCACTGTCGTGCACGACACTCAATCCGATGATTGAGTGGGACACTCTGATCGGATTGGTGCGGAGAAGGATTGTAAAAGGGCAGAAAAATCCGAGAATGTGATTGGCGGGAAAGGGGGGAGACCGGCTAGAAAAAGGGATGGAGTTGAAGAGTTCGGGGTTGGCTTTGGATGACGAGTGAAAGTGTGGTGGAAGTTCGCGTTGAAAACAAATATCCTTCTTAACCAGCTCAAGTCTCATCTTCACAAACAAGCATAACTTATTAATAAAATAGGTTTTTGGGTCAGATCGCGTTATTTATAAATGTCGTAACCCTCCACCACCCGACACGGCCAAACAGTAAAAAATGCATCACGTTTTTCAAAGGACAAAATAATTCACTTCTTTAGCCCACCGGTGTGTTGAAGAGAGAATCAACAGCATTTCAAAATTTGAGTCGTACAACGTTTCGCTGATAATTACCATCAGCTTCATCGGGCAAGAATGGTGATGCTCTCCTGTGCTCTGGTCTTAAATAGAGCAGCAGCAGGGCATAACTGAGGTTGTCTTCCTTTAAGCTGATCTGGCAGGCACTGCTTCGGGCATGAACCGCAAACTGCTGCTCTCAGTACCGCTGCGACAAGAAGCCGCTCCTGGCACCACTGGTGTCCCACCAGCCCGGCGCTATGTGGCCTATCGGTGGAGCCCGCCTCATGTGTGAACGCCACGTGGGACAAGGTCGAGGGTGCTGTGGTGTATCCTGTCCAGCGTACCTGGCTCCAGCTGAAAGGCCACATAGCTCTGTTACTCGTCAGCGCCCTCGTGCATGTGCCTCACATCTGTGGCTGCATTTTTGTGATGTGACGCCTTGTTGTCCTCAGCATGGGTTAAAATTTTGGTTTTTGTTAAATCTCTCTTTCTTCCCCCCAATTTTATCCAGAATGTACCGTCAGCGTCGCGTCACGAGACAAAGAATCCATTCGTATCTCTCGCAGAGCAGTGAAACCCTTTGTATTAGAGAACAACAAATGTAAGTGGATATCACAGAGCTACATCTGAGACCCCATCAAGTGACCTCTGTCCCATAGGGTCGGGAGCAGCACTTTCCCACCCGCTCTCCCATTGAGAATAATGTTCATCACGTGAACGTGAAATACATTTATTTCTAAAATCTCAGGGTTGGAACATAGCCAGATTAAGCACAGAACCAAATTTAGCGTTATGCTGTTATTTTATCAAGTAATTGGTGACTGAGCCGTCACCTTTAACTCGCTGCACTTGAGAACCCAGTTGGGACCACAGGTGGCAGCCTGGATTCAAACCCAGCTGTGCCAGCTCTGCACTCTACCTCTTGAGCCACCAGGCCAGCTCAGTGTGGATGAAGGTTGCCCACACGTATGGCCCCGTGCCGATACTGAAATGCAAACCGATGCCCCTGTCTGCGTGGCACTGGGGGCACATAATGTGTCAGAGTGCAGAGCCAAAGACACTGAGGACTTGGGTTTGAATCCAGGTTTCGGCCATGATTAAACCTAATTCTCAAATGTAACGAGTTAATGGTTCCAGCCAGGTCACCAACGACCACATAAAACAAAGTGCCATTCAACAATTCTCTCCTTGATCTTGTCCTGATGATACTTTATGTAGTTTCTCAAGCAAAACATGATATCGAAATTGTACATTCTGTTGTGAGAACTGCTCTTCAACTTACAACATACCCGCGTGCTGAAACAATTGGCACGTTAAACACTTACACACATGACAATAAAAGTTGTTTGGCTTTGTCGGGTGGTGGTGGGGTCTTAAATAGCAAAAATTTGGCCAGAGCATTACTCGGCATGAATAAATAAATACAAATATATTCATCATAAATATTAACGGCAAAAAACCTACTTGTTAAGTTAATGACACACTATTAGGGCAGGGACTATACCGAGGGGTCTATGCATGTTGGTCAGAGCTGGAAAGCAATAGTGGGTGACCTATATCCCAGCGAGCAGAGAACACTGGGTTTGTCCTGCATAACGGTGTCATCCCGCATCCACCGTGGGAACCATGCGCTCGATATGATGAATATTTAAAGTGCCTAAATAATAAACAGTGGCAGCTCACGAACACAGCATCTGTATGCATAATAAATGCATCCGAGCACCCACAAAGAAGCATAATTGAGGACGGTGCTGTCAGCCTCAAGGAGAAAATGGAGCTGACCAGGGAGTGGCATTGTGTTATTTTAGGGCAGCACGGGTGGCAGAGGCGGCGTACAAAAAATACTTAAATAGCGTCTAAATTTTACCGCATCTCAAGACGCCACGCAAAAAACAGTGGGCGTACTTAATCTATAGGAGGGGGGGGGGGGCAGTAAATCACAGGCAAAAGAAAACATGAAACGATTTCAGTCTGGACTTAAACAGGGCCAGGGAATCAACAGCACTGATGGGTGGGGGAAGGAAGTTACATAAAATGGAGACAGCAGAGGAGAATGAGCGATGGAGCAGAGGGTACTTGGAGAGTAACGTGATATGAAAGGAGAGAGGTAGGAGAGTGCGTGGAGGGGAGTAGAGTGAGATGAGATGGGAGAGGTAGGAGAGAGTGCTTAGAGGGGAGTAGAGTGAGATGAGAGGGAAGAGGTAGGAGAGTGCGTGGAGGGGAATAGAGTGAGATGAGAGGTAGGAGAGTGTGTGGAGGGGAGTAGAGTGAGATGAGAGTAGAGAGGTAGGAGAGTCCTTGGAGGGGAGTAGAGTGAGATGAGAAGGGAGAGGTAGGAGAGTGGGTTGAATGGAGTAGAGTGAGATGAGAGTTAGGAGAGTGGGTGGAGGGGAGTAGAGTGAGATTAGAGTGGAGAGTGGGTTGAGGGGAGTAGAGTGAGATGAGAGGTAGGAGACTGCGTAGAGGTGAGTAGAGTGACATGAGAGGGGAGAGGTAGGAGAGTGCGTGGAGGTGAGTACAGTGAGATGAGAGGGGAGAGGCGGGAGAGTGCGTGGAGGGGAGTAGAGTGAGATGAGACAGCAGAGATAAGAGAGTGTGTGGAGAGGAGAGTCGAGTGGCAGTGGCTTTGATGAACCTGACCCACGGGGGTGCCACCTGCTGCTCCTCGGTGTGGTGTAATGACCTGTGGGTGAGCGTGCAGATAGGTGAACGGATGGTGTCGGCACTGGCTCCACGGCACGCACTGGCGTCGAGTGCCCTGTGCCCGAAGCCGCACTCACTGCAAGGCACAGCACAAACAACAGCGCCAGCAGCAATATACGTGGCGAGTCTAAATGGAACATGAACGTAAGTGTTATTTCCTAATTGTTTATGCCTCAAACGTACAGAAAATGGATATTATTCCCCACAATCTTTGCTTTTGTGACCAGGGCAGTGCTATTTTGAAATGTACCTATTCTCAATGAGAAAACGTGTGCATTTGTGTTATTCCTTCACGTAAAATCCTGGTCACAAAAGCAAAGTTTGTGGGGCATAATAGCCATTTTCTATACTTTTGAGGCATAAGCATTAAGAAAATAACACTTACTACCCAGGAGCAAAAACCGTGTTACAAAGTGTAGCTCAAAGTTTTCATTCTAGATTTGAAGCTTTCGTGACTGCAAGGATTCATACTCTTAGTTGTTTTCGGTAAAGTCACGTAGGTAAAAAAATGAAAATAATAAAAAATAAAATAATAATAAAGTTTTTACTTGATCTCGTTCGGGGTCCCAACAGCATCTTTACACAGCCTGCTTACCGGGGGTGGGCGGGGGGCAGCAAGGGAACGTAATACGAGGGGGCTAGCGGGCACGGTTGCCCCGTACCTGTCGAGTAAGTGGGCAGGCGCAGCGGCCAGACGTGCTCGCCGCCGTCCCGCAGTGCGCGGTGCAGGGCGGGTGGCTCCCGCGGGTCCCACAGCAGCAGGCCACCCGCCTCCGTCCCTGCAAACAGCAGCCCGGCGCGATCCAGCCCAAAGCAGCAGCAGGAAACCTTGGAGGACAGGGAGAGAGGATCAGGGTTATGCCTCTCTTTCTCTTCTCCTCCAACCGGTTGTCGCACCAACGTTGAGGACTCGATGCCAATTGTACATAAATAATGATAATATTACATTTAAGACGACTGGAGCGAATAAAACCGAGCAAACTTTTTTTTACACTCGTAAGAAAAAGTGTATTGAATCTTAAAATTAAGCAGGAATCACTAATCATGATAACTAATGAATTTTACGTGGGTTGCCGGTCTGGATACCCACTTGTGATGTGTGTCCTGGGTGGACAGAAGATCGAGCATTGTTAATGAGAAAACAAAAAGCCTGACACAGTAACAGGAAGGCAACCCATTATATCACTCTCCAGTGATGTGAATGTGGCATCACTTCCATACATTTCAATACAACACCAAAGCAGTGATACCGCAAGGGCAATATGACGCAGCACTGTTTAGTAAGCTTCAAACTTGCATTAAACTTCCCAGGAGACACAATATCGGCATTAGCTACTGGTTTTTTGTTGGATCAACCTTTAAAGGAGGGTATGGATGGGATTAAGGGAAGGGTTGGGGCTACGGTTATGATTAATGCCAGTGTTAGAAATAGGGTCGAGTGTTCGAGTTAAATGCAGAGCCGTAGGACTTGAGTTAGTGCCTACGTCTGAGGTTTATAGTGAAGATTAGGGAAACGATTAGTTGTGTGAATGCACAGGGTTAAAATTGGAGTTATGGTTATTATGGACTCGGGGTAAAGATTAAGAAGCTAGGATTAGGATTAGAGTTTTTGGTGCAGCTTGTGTTTACCGCTGGGATTATATCTGAATGGTTGTAAATCTTGAGCCTCGAGTAGCACACTGCCTTGATCCTGCAAACCATGTTTTCTTTCAAATTCCAGTACCAAGATCTACCCGATGTATACTGGGTATTGTCGTTGCCACTTTGTGCATTAAAGTGACAATTCCTGACCGATTCTCTGAGTATTCCCACTGTGACACACATTTACAAAGAGTTCCTTCCAGACGACAGCCAAAGCTGTGACCGGGGTCTGGCATTGGCAGTTTTCGGCACATATATAAATGCCTATTATCAAACAAAACATTTCTAATATCATAATTTGATAATCATAATTTACTTATTTATCCAAGAACGTCATGTTGATTCATATAACTATTTTCAAGAGGTTCGTGCTTTGGGTATTATGTTAGGATGTATTCAGCCAATGAATGATGAGCAATTGTTATACACGTGGGAGGAAACCGCAGCACCCGCATGAACCCATGCCTTGCACGAGGGAGCAACACTCAATCCCCGTATAGATGGATGTAGGCAGATGGCAATTAGTCCACTTGCTGTACCGCCTTCTACTGGCAAGCCAGGGTATGGCACCCCAACGCCCACGGGGGAAGGAAGTTTCGGTTACAAAAAAAATTTGGTTTTATATTGTTACCGGTTTAGTGGTTACCTTTTAACAACATTCGTACATATATGTAGCATATAAAGCAACACAACTTCTCACCTCTGGCTCACTGAGCAGCACCCTCTGTGGTTGAGATGGCTGCCTGAGGTCCCAGACGCACAGTACCACACAGCGGGCGAGCACGGCGTCCACCTGCGCCCCGCTCGGCCCGGGAGGATGGACGCTCAGCAGCATGTGCCTCTGCACTTCAGAGACGTGCAACCTCGACACAGTGCGGCCTGTACACAGTGTGCACACGCACACACAGCATACACACGCACAAAGATAACAATTTCAATGTATAAATGCAACCTGGTGGATCAGCCGTTCACAATCGGAAGGTTGACAGATCAAATTTTGATCATGAGTGCCACTTTTGAAGGAAGTCAACAGCAGTTGTTCTATGGATAGACTATCCCTGTTACAGGGTACATGGAAACTCCGCCACTGGCTTAGGGCAATAATCAGGATGTGACCACGGCCTCCTCAATGCTTATTTAAGCAGGAAATTACTTTGACTGAACTTTAATACGCAACCACACCTTAACATGCACGAGGGACAATATTAGAGAAGAAGGGTGTAATAGGTAGAGAGAAGGGGGGAGGGACCTGGATTCAAACCCAGGCTTTCACCAGCTCTGACAGGGCATTAATTAGCTCCCTGATGCACCAAGCCACCTCCTTGTTTTGAAGCCACTTTCAATCCAAAACCTGTTCATCCAGTGCCCTCTACTGGACACAAAAGCATGGAACAGTGTGTGCGTGTGATGGGGTGGCATATCGAGTACCGTGCAAAAACGGGAGGTCCGTGTGTAGAGGGTAGAAGCTGCTCCCGACTGCGAGGCTGCTGGTGCGTGTCTCGACATTCCTTGAGGCTTCCTTCTCTGTCCACTCCTCCTCCAGCAGCACAGACACCACCTTGGTAGGTAATGATGATGATTTGTTTTTGATAGAGCACACTTTACGCAAGGAAGCCTCAGAGCGCTTTGCACACAAATAAGCAACCTATCACATCACACCTCAAAAAACTGCAAAGGCACCTCCAGCAGATGTACCTGTGTGGCACAAGGTGGCGGAGCACCTATCCTGCAAGCGGGCATTAGTCTGCTGGTAGGGGAAAGAGATTGCTATTTATCATCCCAAATGAGTAATTTGCGGGCAATTTTTTTAATTTTACTAATTTAGACCATGGTCCACTCGATTTGTACTTTAAAGTTAACACACTCGCAGGGTGGCTTGCTGGGTTCGAACCACGAACCTCTGCAAAAAACGGCAAACGCGCTACCGCCGGGCCACGTCACTGCCCCGATGCACTGCAAAAAGCCGAGCCACCATCCAGCACGTGAACATGAAGTATAATTCAGCACACAGGCATGATGATACCATCCAGCAAACAGATGCATCAAACAGGAGATCCAGCACACAGACAAGATACGATCACCTAGCACGGTGCTTCACAAGCTGTGTGCCGCGGCACGCCAGTGTGACACGCAAAGACCCGGATGTGCTGCGGTATTTTTGGAATTATCGGAAAGAACATCGCTGTTCGCAAGCTTGGATAGACGAACTCTCCGTGCCAATTAGTGGCTGTTCCAGGCCCCACCCCCCACGTCCCATTCTCCCCTCTTTATTGGTCACGGCGTAGTACGGTAGATACCCGTCAACCCCCACCCCCGGCCAACTATCCACCCGGGCCCACAGGTATTTTTGGTTTGGTGTGCCGTAAAAATCGAGTATGCTCGAAAGTGTGGTGCGGAGATAAAGAAGTTGAGAGGCACAAACGCATAAGGTGTCATTCAGCACACCAACGGTCGTTTCATCCAATACACAAACCAGACATATCATCTGACACAAAACACACGGGGGTATCATCCAGCACAGACATGGATACCATTCAGCACACAGGACTACCAAGATAAAGAGGTGTAAATTCATCTCAAAATCGGTCATCATTCAGCACAAACACACGTTCTGGGATTTTTCCACAGCACGTCAAATGGTACAGCTACAGCATCAGCAGCCGTAGCAGCTACAGTAGCAGCAACAGCAGCAGCTATAGCAGCAGCAGCAACTACGCGTGCCGTGCCTGGAAGGCGGAGGCCAGGAAGCGCTGGAGGCGTTGCGCGTCGAGCTGCTGCTCCTCCCTTGTTCCCACGCCATCCGCGAGCATCGTCCGCTGGGCCTGCAGACAGAAGCGGAGCGGTCTGAGCAGTGGCGCAGCTATCGAGTGTGCAGGCAATGAAACTGCACCAGGGCCTATGGGCGCCAGGCTATGAAAAATGGGGGGGCGGTGGGAGTGGAAATTGGACAGGGAACCTCACTTTATTCCTTGTACCGGGACACATGCCAGCCACGCTACGCGACCGAATGTGGCGCTCACACAGTCCGCATGGGCCAGATATTAATTATTTAATAATTACGTTTGTTTACCCAGCAAAGCCTCGCCAAGTCTCATGACTCTTTTTTATTCAGGAGGGTCCTGCCAAATGTTTGCAGTGGGGGTGTTGCTGCTCTGTGTCATCCCAATGGATTCACACCTTGAACAACAAGCGGTAAACAAGCTACCGATGGGGCCACAAAGAGCAGGCATTGGGTTCCCCACCCCTGGTGTGTAGGAACAAGGAGATGGATAGGGTTGGGGTTGGAGTTAGGGCTACAGATTTCATCTCCATCCTACAGAGCAGTCGAATTGTGCACGACAGTCCCAACACTTGCTATCCCAACAGCACTGCATATCATGCACCAGATTCACGTCTTGACAAAACGGCCAACATAAATTACTACCCAGGTCGTGATTTGTCCGTCTGTTGAAAATAATTACTTTTACATGAAATAAGTCCAATAGATTTCACTAAACCATTTGTGTGAACTAAATCAAAGTCATTCACTTTAGGAGGGAACGTGCCCAAAACCAGGACATCCACCGAGAATACGGAGTGATGAGAGCCGCTATCGTGCAGGAGAGCGACGGAATTTTGCGTTGCGTGACCACGGGATAGTTGCAGTCTGGGAAGGTCTTTATTGGATCATGGCTGACAATGGCTTCTCAAAATGTAGCAATTATAACCTGTATGTGAAAATGTTGTGTTTGATTTACTATTTATCATTTCATATCCATTCTTAATTGTAATATCATCACCATGCATGACCTATGTAATGTTGGATTAAGCCCTCCTTACCTCATCGCCATCTCTCACGGTGCTACAATCTCACAATCCAGCTCGCCCATGAGCTCATCTCATCACTCCATCTCGGCTTCCCTCTTGGAAGTGCTCTCTCCTTTGACTTCCATTCTGTCACCAGTCTCATCCACAGGCCATCATCCCCTTCCATCGATAGGTCCTGTCCAAGCGACTTCCTTCACTAGTTAACAAGATGTCTCTAATTTGCATGTGTTGTCCTACACATGTGCTTATCTTTCTGTCTCTCGGTGTTACTTCCCAGTACACACTGCCCCATGCTTCACTGTGAATTTTTCAGCAGAAGTTCCCTTTTCTTTTTTCAGTGTTCATGTACTCACTGAGGAGGTAATTGCAAAGTCTGGCTCGCCAGATAAATACGGATGGACATGAAATCCAGCTACCCGGGGTTTTACTGTATATGACGCTGGGATGTGTATATTGAGGAACGTACGTGATATAGGTATATCCTGTGGGGATACTGCGTTGGCAGCGGTGCATAAGCACAAATCACACAAAACTCGATATATTCATCATTAACACTGCGTTAAAATGAAAAGTATGTAAAAGGTGATGTTTGGGACAATGGGCATGTGCTATGAAGAAGAGTCATTGCCTTCATAGGGCCATTGCCCTTCTTCATAGCATATGCCCCAAACGCAAGTGATTATGTACTTTTCCTTTTAAGGGAGTGTTGCAGATGAATGTGTGAAGTTTGTTTGATATCGGTACATGTTGTTGTGGGTGTGTGCACGGTGTAAATACACGCACGTATAGAATACATATCCAGAGTACCAGTGTAGTGTATGATGATAAAACAATGTGTAACAGACTCTGGCCGACCTGCACACACAGTGGGGCCTTCCCCTGGGTGCTGGCTCCACTTCTCCTCCGTCTCAATCTCCTCCGTCTGCACCTCTCGCTCCACATTGTCCTCGCCGCACTGGACATACGCCTGCATAAAACACTCGCATCACCACACTGCACCAAGCCTGCACTTCACTCACCACACTGCACATATGTCGACACGTGGCACTCGCATCACCACACTGGACTATGCCTGCACATCGTCATCATCAGAAACACGTGAGTGACCAAGGCTCGTTGAGTAATTTTTCCTCGCTTTGTACAAGGCCTCTTGCACGGTTAGTGTCACCACACATCTGATGAGACCCACGAGTCCCTTTGGACGACTGGACAGTGCCATGATGAATGTGGTCAATATCACATCACCACATTGCATTGTCTACACACAACACTCATACCACCACACTGCACCTGCACATCACAATGCAAATAATCCTGCATACAGCAATCATATCACGACATTGCACATAACCCCAGCATACAGCACTCACCTGATACATAATGAGGTGGGGCAACTGTGAGGTGAGCTACCTGTGATGCGAGTTATATGTCGGGTGAGTGACCTGTGATGTACCCTTGTCGCGGGGTACCTGCTTGGTGTTGGAACGACCGTAGGCTGAAATATAGGCGTCGTATTCGCTAACTGGGGGCATGTCCAGCAGGTCAAAAGTCACGGTGTCCAGCTGAATCATGCGTAGCACCTCCAGGCCACGCTTGCTGCAACAACAAAAACATCACCATACCTCCGCACTTGGCAACACTACGCCTACTTCATATGCATACATTAGCGCGGTTGGCTACGTACGGTGCAAAAGAAGTTCAACATACGTACATGAACTGTGCAAACAGGTGAGAACCCGTTGCGAAAAAAAGGAGTGTTGAGACCTGGGTAAAAACTATGCAAAACATCTCCGTGCAGAAAAACGAACAGCACAGTGATAAAAAATCAAGACTAGATTTTTTAAAAAGCAAAATAAGTGAAGATTATCAAACAAATGCTGGATGAAGGCCTCCCTAATCCATCGCCATCTCTCTCAGTCCTGCATGCTGTAACATTCCACCTGGCATCCTTCCCACGAGCTGATTTAATCGCTCCATCCTCACTGTGCACAATTCCTCACTTGCCTCTTTTTGCAATCTTGCACATGGTTATAGTGTTTACGAATACACAACAAATTGGCAATACATTTCACAGAAATAAACTACAAAGGACACATAACGTTTTATTTTTCTCATAATAAGATGTTTTTTGGACAAGAAGTTTACATTTTATCCTTCCTATAAATTTTTCAAAGAATGTCTTTTATTAGAAAATGCATTTTAAAGAACAGAACCCATTTTGACAAAGAAGTAAATTTGAAACCCAGTAACTGTAGTTTGCGTCGTAGTTTCATGAGGTGTGCATAGGGGGGTTCCACCTTTGAGTAGTACCGAGTGGTGTATTATTCCGCAACTAGCAAAATCATTTTCACTTAAAATGTCACAGGAAGACTTACGGATGTTCTCATGACAGCTACCACAAAAAGTGGAGGATCCTGGGACAAGGCAGGACCGGCTAGGTGGCAACCCTCGGTGGCCGGTATCACTCACCGCTGTTTGGCCACCACCTTCCGAGTAGCAGTGCGCTCCCCGGCCCCCGTGAAGTCAATAAACGTCTTCCCGCTGCCGCTCCTGCTTGCTCTCGCACTCTGGAGCTCTGCACAGATGGGCGCACGGTGCTGCAGGTAATCCGGGCTGCAGGGGCACGTGGCTGTGCCTTAACGTGTCAGCTAGCTTGCACGGCAAAGGTCTGTGAGGGAACTCTCAATGCCATGATCATTGTACGGCTCTGTTGGGGGAAGGCCTACCCACGCCATGTAAGTCACGTGTGTTTCTTAATGACATTTCACCGATGCCGGTGAGTGCAGGTTTATGAAGGGGATGGGGGAGATAGGATGCCCAGGACCGGTTCAGATATCATTGGATGATTAGCCGTGGCCAGAAATCCAACTCAGGTTTCCATGTTCACAGTGCAGTATACTGACCACTGTGCCACCGCTCCACCTACCGTGACTATAGTATGCAATTGTGACATTAAGAATACTTTACTACGTGTGAAAAGGTCAGTCACACCATGTACAAATACTGCACTGGGTGAGGAAGGTTATTTGGTCAGTACAGATATGTGATGGTCACGTCACATGTGACGCAATACTGTGGGGTCCCGGCAGAATGTGTGCAGGGTGAGGGGACCGAGATGGGTGTGATGAGCATGCGTAAGATGAGCGTGCGTGAGATGAGCGTGCGTGAGACGAGCGTGCGTGAGACGAGCGTGCGTGAGACGAGCGTGCGTGAGACGAGCGTGCGTGAGACGAGCGTGCGTGAGACGAGCGTGCGTGAGACGAGCGTGCGTGAGACGAGCGTGCGTGAGACGAGCGTGCGTGAGACGAGCGTGCGTGAGACGAGTGCGCGTAGAACCTGCAGCTGCTGGGGGCACCTCATCCCCTGGGCTCCAGGATGCAACGCGCTCATTCTCAGCGGCGATGGCCCGGCGCACGGCCTCAAGCTCGCGATTGGAGCCCGGGTGACCTTCGCTGACCTCCCTCGAGGCCTTCACCTCCACCACCTTCTCCTCAGCACTGCCCTCCTCATCCTCAAAGTCATCATCATAATCCTGACACACACACACCAGCGATAAGATAGTGTTGCAGCACATACAGACAATGGTGGAACACATGAGGAACTGAATACTTGGAGTATACAATGACAAAGATTCCCTGTATAGCCTTAATACAATTTTGGGGCAAGTGCTGGTAGCAGACACTTTGGGTGTACACACACATGGTTATTGAAAAACGAATACAAAGTCTATTTATAACAGACACCTGGTTGACCTGAATACTGGGAGACATAGACCTCCCTTTTCTGTAGTCACCATCCATAAACAATGTGTGTGTGCTCATTGGTAGCTGTTTAGTGTTTTTTTGTGTTGGGGTTGTTGGACTGATGGCACATTACATGTTCTCTTTTTCTGCAAATGTTTCATGTGTACGTGTATGTGGCAGTCTTTCTCTGCATTACCATGATAGATGACACGTGTTTAATTATGGCAATTACTAGTGCATTGCCATTCTTAGAATCATTAACATTGTTATTATTATTGTGGGTTTAGAACCGAGCACTTAATCAGGTGGTCAAGAGTCCAGGCATCTACTTTGTTCATCTCATTATCTCCTGTTTGCTGTTACAATATATTTCTTACCCAGGTATCCCTTGTAAAAGTGACTTCTCATCTCAATGGGCTGTTACCTGGTCTAAAGATAAAGGAATTGCATCAGACTTTAAATTACACAAAATATACATTCGTACCTGATTTGATTTGTGCTTTGTGCAGCACTGTCAACAGTCCCTAACTTATTCTATGTTACTATCAGGCTCGTGGTGTCCATCTCAGATAAGCATAAAGAAAATCAGCTCAGTTGGCTTGGACATATCTTCAGAAGAGAAGAAAACTACATCGGGGAAAAAAGCTGATGAACATGAAAGCACCAAGGTGAATACTGGGAGGCAGGCACTTGAAAAGGTAGTTTGGAGTGGTAGGCTAGAATATGAAAGACTGTGTTGAGTGGATGTGAAGATGATCCAAGGACATGAATGAGTGGAGAAAAAAGACCAGGAGGTCAGACCTCACGTGAGTGGAAATGATGTCAAAAGGAAGAAATCTAGACTGTGATTAGATCACCTCAAAGTCGTCCTCGTACTCCGCTGCTGCGTCATCCTGCGGAGATGAAGGCCGGATTGCACCGGCGGCTCCAGGCTGTCGAAGAGAAACACACGACCGTCACAGCCTGCACAACCACTTACTCTTTTACCTGCTCACCCATCTGTCCACCCACCTACCACTCAGCCATCCAGCTACCCATCTACCCCACAACTTAGCAGGCTGCTGTTCGTGCAGAATCAGATGGGCATGGCATAGCCTCGTGGTAAATCCTAACCCAGGTGTAGTCACATACACATCGACACTTTGGTGGTAAGTGGATCATGTAGCATCTAGATTTGAAGTTATCATGAGTATGGATCAGTGTAGATTTGTAAAACTCGGTGACATGACCTAGCGGTGACGCGTTCACCATGAGTTGCAGAGTTTTGAATCCGGCGGTGTATTCACCATAAATATACGAGCCATCTGCTTCACTGTGGACATCAAAGATCCTGTGATGTTATTCGCAAAAGTAGGTCATTGTGTATCAGGCCGTCACTGTCTGAACATGCAAAATTAGAAAAATTACCTGTAAACGAATCAATTGGAATCTACATAGCAAACATCACCCCTACAGGCAAACAAATGGCACAATCGTCTTTAAAAGGAGTCACGAGACTCAGTGAGGCTTTCCTGCCTAAATAAACATAATGATAATCAACCTACTGGGCTGTGATATGGCCAGGAGGTAACAGTACATAAAACAGTGTTCTTCAATCTCCAGTAGACCTACGAGGGTTATTTCATGGTATGCCTCAGTTTTCTCTGATACGATCCATTTCCTCTAACATGCAAAAGCACTCCTGAGTGGACTTGGCCACAATATCCCAAATGCAGGACCTTTAATGAGGCTTTCCTGGATAAATGCATTCATTATTATGAAGAGGAAGACCTTCATAACCACACGTGTTTCTGCTACACAATTTATATGATGACCAAACTCAAGCAGAAGAGTTATGCGCCTCGACCCATTACAGTAAGATACTGCACACACATTGTGTGGCTTTGCTACGTATTTATTTATCTCACAACAGGGAATAGACAATAGCATAGGGCTTTACCAACAGCACTGTGATTACAGGCACGGCTTATGACAGGTGAACCCCTCTTCTTGGTTCTTTCGGTAAAGTCACATAGAAGGGAAATAATAAAATAATAAAAATAAAACATAATAAAATAATTCTCACGACGTTTCGGCCACAACGCAAGCAGCCGTCCTCAGGTGAAGAACAGATCTGTCTTTCCGACAACGCAAGCAGACGTCCTCAGGTAAAGAACAGGTCTGTCGGAAAGCAAGCAGCCGTCCTCAGGTGAAGAACAGGTCTGTCGGAAAGACAGACCTGTTCTTCACCTGAGGACGGCTGCTTGCGTTGTGGCCGAAACGTCGTGATAATTATTTTATTATGTTTTATTTTTATTATTTCCCTTCTACGTGACTTTACCAAAAGAACCAAGAAGATGAATCCCTGCAGTCACGAAAGCTTTAAATTGAAAGCTGAACCCCTGTGCTCCACTACCCACGCGTACGCAGCAGATGCAGCACACACCTGTGAGGGCCTCCCCAGGCCTGTGGAGTCGGCTCCCAGGGCAGATCCTCCTCCGCCACCTGTGGTTGCAGTGCTGTCCCTGTGTCTCCTTCCCGCACTCCCTTCCGCCTCCGCATACCTCACCCTTCTTTTGTCCCTGTTCTCAGCACGACGCGTGTGATCATCTCTGTCCCGCTCCACATCCCTGTCTCTCCCCTCCTTTCGCTCCCTCTCCCGACCTTTGTCTCTGTCTCGTTCTTTATGCCTTTCTCTGTCCCTCTCCTTGTCTCTTTCTTCGTCTTTCTCGCTGACGCTTCGCTTGTCCCTTTCTCTCTTTGTGTGTTTATCCTTGTCTTTGTCTCGGTTTCTTTCTGCATCTCTCTCTTTATCTCTATCTCTGTGTCCCTCTCTGTCTCGATATTTCTCTCTCTCTCTGTGCCTGTCTCTCTCCTTGTCTCGTTCCTTGTCCCCTTCTTTGTCTCTCCTTGTGTCCATTTCTCTCTCCTTGTCCCTGTCTCTCTCCCTGCGTTTCTCTCGGTCTCTCTCCTTATCCTTGTGCCTCTCTCGATCTGCTAATTTCCCTCCATCCCTCTCCACGTCACGATCTCTGTGTGTCTCATGGTTCCTGTGCCTCTCTCTGTCCTTTTCTCGGACTTCTCTGTCACTCACTTGATACCCATCGAGTGTCCCCTTGCCTCTCTCCCTCCGACTGCCCTCATCTCTCTTTGTCAAAGTTTCTTCTTCCTTTCGGCTACTCCTGTGTCTGTCTGCATCACGGTCTCCACCCAACATCCTTTCCTTGTCCCTCCTCTTCTCCTTCTCTCCATCTTGACCTCGCTCTCTCTCTTTCACTCTCTCTTCTTTTCCAGCATCCCTATCTCTCTTGTCTCTACGCTCATGAATGCCCACTGTAGCCCCGTCGGCCTCTTGCTCCCGCTCCCTCCTCCTCTCTTTCTCTTTGTCTCTCTTTGGTTTATCTTCAACACGATCGTGTCTTTCCCTCTGCTCCTGGCGCTCTCTTCTATCCTTCCCTTTTTCTTGTTCTCCCTCTTTTAACCTCTCCCTGTTGCTGTGCCGTGCAGGGTCCTCGTCCCTCTCCCGACGCTTGTCCCTGCTCTTGTCTCCTGCGGTTTCTCCCTGCCGCCTCCTCTCCCCATCCCTTTCACCTCGGACCCTCTCCTCGCCTCTCCCCTCCTCTGCTTGTCGTCGCTGCTCCCTGCGCCTCCTGCGCTCAGCCTCCTCCGCCTCCTTCATGTCGGCATGCACACCCTGCTAGCCGGGACAGGCAATGGCACGCCGCATCAACGTCGCAGCCCATACAAGCGTACAAGCACCACCGGCAGCACAGAGCCACACGTGACGATAAACGGCGCATGCAGTTTTAATCACATGAAAACCTCTTGAAGCTGGACTATTTTTTTTAAATGTATTTCAAGTAATCTATGAACGGAATACACTGTACTTAAATAAGTTAACCATTCATTATGGTTGTATTTATTGTTTGTTTCTTAATTGTATTTTAATTCATTAATGATGACAATGCCACATCCTTCCTTGCGCAGCTTAATTAGTACCCAGTGTTCCGGTCAGAGTTTTTGGTATTTTCTTTACTTTTTAGTTGTTCAGTAGCCTTTCCAGCATACCTTAAATTCCAGCTTACCCCAATTCGGCTTCAAGAGGTTTTACTTTAATTAATTAGACGTGAAGTCAATACGAAATTAGCTCCCACTTTTAGCTGGTTCTTCAAGTCTTCGGATTTCCAAGTGTCTTCTTTGGTCCTTTTCTGAAAAAAAAAATAAAGGACACGTGAAATTTAGTGAGCCAGGTGTGTGCGGCGGTAAAGTTATAAAACAGTTTGCGGTGAGGGGAAACACACACTGTTCACGGCATGCACTCCCATCATGGTCCAGAATAACAACACAAGCACCACCTCTATTTATCGGACCTACGTTGTAAGGTGGCCGACGCCAAGTAAAGTATAACAATAAAGGAAATCTTGATTTAAAGCTTTCATGACTGCAGGGATTAATATAAAACAATATTGTTTAATATTTATTTTATTTTATTGTTTCCCTTTTACGTGACTTTAGCGAAAGAACCAAGAATATAAATAAAGGAAATCGTTATATTTTCTCATTAACTTTATAATTTTTTCCACGTTGTGTTACTTTTAGGCTTGTTTACCCATGAAAGCCTCGTCGAGTCTCATAAGTATTTTTAAGGAGAGTTCTGCCAAGATTTCGCAGTAGGGGGCGATGATTGCTATACTATACATGTATTTCAATTGAATCTTTTTTTATGTAATTTTTTAAACTCTTGGCGTGACGTTGACACACAATGACCTCCTCGTGCAAATGATGTCGCAAGCTCTTGAAACACATGGCGCGTATTTTTGCGGTCAATGCCCCTTCGGTAATAACCAGGGTGACCGCTCGAATTAAATCGTGAAGTCCATAATAGAGGTTTCTTGGGTTAGAGCGCGTAAATATATAAATGTGTCGTTAAACCCGCCACCACCCGACACAGCCAACTAATAAGGGTTGTCACGTAAACAGAACGTGGCCAATTCGTCACTAGTACAGCACACCGGTGTGTTGGAGAGCCAAGCCACAACATTTACGACGTTTCGCCAGTAATTACAACGAGCTTCTTCAGGCGACAACTAGCTTCATCGAGCTATGGCGAGATGTGAACTACCTCGCCAGGTATACAGGAGCTCGTGGGTTTGACCCCGACGCCTGTATATTTGGAGTTTGCATGTTCTCCCTGTGGTCGAGCGGATTTTTCTCCAGGTCCTCCGGCTTTTCCCTCCACATTTGAAATATGAGATTAAAGTATTTGGCTGTCAAAGATTTCTACGCGATAAGCCATTTCGTTGAACTATCATCTGTGGCCAGGTCGCTTCTAAAAAATTGCTATATAGCTCAGTGGGCCTTAACCTAGTAAAATAAAAAAAAGTTTACTTCATAGTTTAGTTTAGTCGTATCTGGGTTATGGTTGGGTCATAGCTGAGTCATATTTGCGGCACATCTGGGTCATGGTTGGGTCATAATTCGGTCATTTTGGGGTAATGGCTGCGTCGTGATTGTGTCAGGTCTGGTTCATTCATATATGGGTCACTGGATGGGTCACATCTGGGTCTTGGTCTTGACTGGGTTATAATGAGGTCACGGACGGATTAGGTTCAATTAAAAGCGGATGGGAGCCCGCTCAATCGGTGGCCGGCTGCAAAATAAAAACCACCTGAAGCAATGTCCCCTCAACTCGCGCTGCTTTAAATGATTAACCACGGGAACTGAATAAATTTTTGCGCAGTAACTACAACTTTAATCCGCACCTCGCCTTCCTTTGCAACAACCCTCGCTCTCTCTCTCCTGCAGTCATGCGCGTGTGTGTGTTTAAACTTGAAAATCACCGGTCTTCGCTTAAACTTTCTTGGATTTTCTGTTTGCACATAGTCACTTTAAGATGTTTTCTTGTTAGTTTTTGTTGTTGTTGCGGTTGCACCCGATTCAAGAGCCGAATGGCTCACAAGGCTACACCTAATAAATTAACTTGAACTTGAAAACGACGGCTGAGTGTGCACACGACCCCCCTAACCGTGTCGACGGGCGCGCCCACCCCGGTAGGCCAGCTCAGGCAAGGCCGATGTCGCACGCTCCGGACTAGGCCCCACGCGGTGCAAACACCCCCCCGGACGCGCGGGAATGCACGGCGAGCCACGGCGGCAGAGACCAGCGTAGGCGGCCCCCGTACCTCGCGTGACGCCATGAGGAGTGCGGCTGTAGGCGACGAAGAGGCCCAAACGAGGTGGTGATGAGAGGCGCGATCTGCCCGTCACACACTCAGCACGCCTGGGCCATCTCCATGGCGACGCCGGTGGTGACTCGAGGGGGGTGTGGTGTGGTAGGGGAGGGGGCGGGGCCTGAGCAAAGTGGACGCTGATTGGCTGCGCTCGCCGTGACGTCAAGTCGTGTGGCTCACCACACCGGAGCGAACCTGTTTGCACCTTGGGGGCCGTACATAAATGACGTCACGCACCTGGGGGGGGGGTTCAGACATTTGTGAGTTGTGACGATGTGTGACGAGCGGGGGGGTGAGAAATGTGACGTCACATCAAAATGCGCAACTTTAAATAAATATAGACAACACGTTCTACTTAATTAAATAGACTTTTTAATAAATGTTTTCTCCTACAACATCAGAGTGCAGCGCCACATTAAATACGCACTACAATGACAATAGTTTAAAGCGATTTGAAGCATGTTTTATTTGGGGGGGGGGGGGCAGAGCTTTGTGACGTCATATTTGAGGGGGGTCTGACTTTTTTGTGACGCCGTGTGACGATGGGGGGGGGGGGGTCAAAAATCGTCCAAAATCGCGTGACGTCATTTATGGACGCCCCCTAAGCACCTGATGAGCTCACAAGTGACACCATCACATTTCTCTGGCTGTCGCTTGATGATGCTCGTTGATTAACACCGTCCGGATAGCTACAGACTCAGTACTGCTTGGAAGCGAATGGTCAAATAACACATTGTTTAAATGCATGCCTATACACACAATCGATAGGCGGTACAAAAACAATGGGCTCGCATAATGTACATGCATAATGTCCATTGATTACCATATAAATAACCCCCACCCCACCTCGCTTAAGAAGGGCTCATAAGTGGTGTCATCACATCTACCCCTCTCAGGAACGAAACAGGAGGATTTCTCCACAAATCTGGCTGTCGCCTGATGAAGCTCGTTGTAATTACTGGCGAAACGTCGTACTCTGAATTGCAAATGTTGTGGATTTACTATCCAACACACCGGTGTGCTGTACTAGTAACGTCTTCATATTCTTGGTTCTTTCGGTAAAGTCACGTAGAAGGGAAACAAATAATACAAATATAAAACAAAAAAATTATCACGTTTCGATTGTAACACAAGCAATCATATTTAATTTAATTGGCATGTTGTTTACGTGACAAACGTTACTAATTGGCTGTCGGATGGTGGCGGGTTTCACGACACATTTATATTTACGCAATCTAACCCAAAAACCTCTATCATGGATATTGGTCGTGAAAGCCTACGTGTTAAACTTCGTGCAACTTTTTTTTCAACTTAGTTGAATGCAACGTGGCTGCAACCAGTTGGGAGCAGTTACGCAAATCGGTTTCTCATAGTAGACTTCTTTCAAGAAAAAACCGCAGAGATGTGTCCACACCTGAGTGATCAGTTGCGAAACTTGGTTGCATGCAAGTTAAGCTTATATTTTGACAATTCTGCAGCAACCATTTTCTGAGCATTCGTGGACTACAATTTAAAACCTGAATGTTCCGTTTACAAAACCCTCGCACCTAAACCGAGAGTTTGCTGTACATATCAATATTCGTGATGATGACGAGTGTGTAAACACATGCATTGTGCAACAATTCAAGTGAGAAACTCGTTTATTTCAATGCGCAAGCTCACTGAGCTACAACACACCTGAACATTTTCTACACAGGTATAAAACATTGCAAATACAGCATTTCCGCAATGGATATTGCATATTAATTTCCTTTAAATATAAGCCTTTTCCCAGCCACCTCTGTGAATGATGGACTCTCCAATGGAGCTGGAGCAATGTCGATTAATCTAAAAATTAACGATGAAAATCAACTACTTATTGTGTAGCATTACTCAGTTCCCTTCAAAAACAGTGGCCACCTCCACACAGGTCATGCCAAGCGTGACAGCCAACATTTCCAGTGACATCACCAAGTCCTGCCCATTACCACCCGTCCAGCGGCACCAGTCGAAACAAAGGCAATACTATTACCGTGCTAATGAGCCAAGTTATGGACTTGGTAATCAGAAGAGTAATACATTACTCAAACATTAGCACGGTTGGCTACGTACGGTGCAAAAGACGTTTAACATGCAAATATACTCTCCAGGATTCAAAAAGCAAGGGTTATTGCTCCCAACCACAAAAATCAAGGCACGCTGTTGATTGCCCCTCTTAGGCATGGTGTATTAAGGAAATAACAAGCTTGTATTTTCTCATTGCATCAACCCATGAGCGTGTTCTTGTCTGGACGGGGATTTCCATCTCAGATCCGCTGACCTTTTCAAGTCTCCCTGTTCAGTCCTCACGACTTGCTTGGATTCAGTTTCCAACAGCCAGTGCATTCATTTTTCAGTAAGAAGCACTGCTGCACCAGGCACGGTCCCACGTGCATCTAATCTAACGCTTTGGAACACAAAGGTTGATGGATAACATGTGCAGATAAACTCTACATTATTGTTAATTAGTAAAGAGGGAAGGCTCGAATAAAACAAAAACTCAGGCCATGAAAACATGTGAATTAGGCTTTTGCATTGCATTTAGTTACTTAGAATGTGTTACCTGATTTTATTTCTGCTTAATCGGTTTACTTGCCGACATGTTGGCGGTTACCGAGTCACTGGCCCCCAACGAGTGAGGACCAGCTAATAATACACGTGTGAAGATACGTTGTTGTTATTTTGTTTTCATTCGCAAGCATGGTAAATCAGCAACTCGGATCACCTGCTCATAGAAATCGAGAGTTAACTGTTTTTGTGAAACTCTCATACTCTCCAAACCATGGCAGTAGAGCAAGTAGGTTCGTGACTCTACTTGTATTTTTCGATTTAAAGCTTTCGTGACTGCAGGGATTCATATTCTTGGTTCTTTCGGTAAAGTCACGTAGAAGGGAAAAAACAATATAATAAAAATATTAAACAATACAATTATCACGTTTCGACTGCAACACAAGCAATCATTATCAGGTGTGAAATCCACAGCAAGAATTTTTTTTCTTGCAGATGATTGCTTGTGTTGCAGTCGAAACGTCGTGAGAATTGTATTGTTTTATATTTTTATTCTTTTATTATTTCCCTTCTACGTGACTTTACCGAAAGAACCAAGAATATAACTCTACTTGTGCATACATTCGACTGTAAATTGCCTTTCTGTGTTGACAAACTGATGGTTTCCTCCCACGTGCAAACCATCCCTTAAAGTGAAATTTTACAAACATTCCAAAACAGATCCTCTTGAAAGAGTATCTTAACAATCGATAAGACTTTTCCTGGATAAATAAATTAAATGACACCTTCATACACAAGCAAAACATTTACATCTCACGTCTCAAATGATATTCCCATACGTTGCTTATTTACATTATTCTAACAATAAAAATGACACGCAAGATGTACTAACAAATATTTCAAGCTTCCTTTTGTCAGAGCAACAAACACAACACGGTTAAATTGTCCGTGGAGATATGTTTATATGCCTCGCCAGGGTGTTGCATTATTGCCGCATGTCACAGAAGACTTTATTATATCCTTTCACTCCAGTGTATTAAAACGTATCATGCCAGGCTCCTCCCAGGGTGTCCCAGCGGTATGCTGCTCATCACACCAGCCTAATTCCCTTAACACACTCGTCGCCAACATGAGAATGGCTAGTGTCAAGACAACCCATCACCTAAACTCCCTCACGACCAATCTCTACAGTTGCAGCATTTAAAACTAAACCGGAGCTAGGACAATTAATCAATTAAGTTCACTAATCAACTAAAATTTAGAAGCGACTAGTTTTGTCATGGTCGACGACGAAGGCTCTTTTAAAAATAGCGACTGCCCAAAAATCCGGAAGGCAAGAATCTCATCCAAGCTATGCACAGCTGATGATTGCATTACCAAGCCCTGCCCATCACCTCACATCCAGTGGCACACGTGGTAACAAAGGTGAGATTTTTTTCCCCCCAACTATTTTCGTGTTATCCAATGAGTCGACCAATTGATCTGATAATCGGTAATCAATAAATGTTGTAAACAAATAGCCCAGCTCTAAAATAAACAGTTCATAATATAGTTTTGAAGGCTTTAAAATAAAACAAATTAATGGACCAATGTCCATTTCCCTACATAAAATATGTTTGAGTTTATCAGTGTCCGCCCTTCAGGCATAATGTTTTCCAGCAATATTTAACCAAATGCCCAATTTAATGTTTGCAACAATGCATTATGATTTTTACAATGTTGCAGTTTTGCACCAAACAGGCCCAATAGCTTAAGTGGATGGTTTTTACCAATACTATCTGGAATACAGCAGCATATGTTAAACAGGCCTGATACAAAGGCAGAAACTAGTCCAAACTAATTTTCCTGCTTTAAACAATTACAGACAAATTATTAGCATGGAAGACTGATTATCAAAAAAATCACACTTACAAGCAGTGAGGCTAACTTATTTTTTCTATTAGCCTTTACACAATTCTATTTTAAACTGCCCTGTCATGCACTACAACCTGATAACGCACGCACAGCCTGCTCGCTTATCGGTGCTCAGGGATACGAAGAGCCAGAAATGGCTCATGAAGTGGTGCTTCATCCTGCTTGATAGTAACTGGTTTCTGGGTCACTAGGCCACGTTCCTGAGTCATTCGGTTATTTATCCTGGGTCGCCAGGCCAAGCTGCTGGGTCACCGAGTGAGGTTGCCAGGCCGTTGGGTAATACTGCTGATCATGCTCAGTGGTCACCGGGTGTGAGGTTTCTGGGCTATTGGGTCATGCGGCTGGGTCACCACGTCTGGTTGTTGGGTCACCAGATCACGCTGTTGGGTCACCGCGCTGTGCCGCTGGCTGTGGTGGTCACCGTGAAGGCCGGCCCCTCGACTCCGCCTTTAACCGTTGAACGGTCGGCAAAATGGCGTCCAGGCTGTCGATCCCTGTGGAGGCGGCAGAGATTTGGTTCCGACCATCCGGCGGCACAAGGAAACTGTTCCTCCCGGCTGGATGCTGCCATCTCATTACACAATCCCATTGTACCATCACGATTACAATCTCACATCACGTTACACCATCGTGTTATACCATCCCATTTACACCATCACGATTTAATATGCCACTTCGTCACACCGTCACATTATTTTAAAGACATGAGAGATAGAATACAAACTTTCAGCCAACTGTTCTCCAAGCCGGTCGGTAGTGCCGGTCTTTCCAAACTGGTACTAGAGATGCGAGAGACAGGAAGACACGCTGGCAGCCATACCCAGAGTATCTTTGAGCTGTTGCACCAGCTGCTGGAATGCTGGGAAAAATTCCTCGTACAGTTCAAGCCAGGCTCTTGTGCTGCAAATGCACAAACACACACCTCCACAATAACTTCTACTTCAGCGATCGCACACCGAGGCCCTACGGCCATATAACGATGTATCGATTCTTACACTCAAGGAAGTACTGTATATATAACAGCCATCTTGTTAATCCACTGGTCGTTAAGGGCCGTGCCACACCTAGGCGAGTCCGAGTCGTGAGGGAGTTATTCGGCCACACTTCACCGTGCGAGTCAATGCGGATTGGTGAAGGCAGGGAGCATAGATGTGGCAGTACAGTACAATAAAATAATGTAATGTGCTCCGCCACCCTCTGCTGCCCACCACACAGCCCTGCAGCAGCACACAGCGGGCTGTGTTCTGCACGGCGCTCGCCGACCCAAGCAGTGTTCCGGCTCAGCACTCACTTAGATTCCCAGATCTGAAGAGATCGTGCGCATTTCGGGTGACTTGGTCAAAGGAGTCTTTCTCTGAGGGAGCTGTGGGAACCTACAGCCCAGTGGGCTTCGTTTCATACGGCCCACAGCTATTAGGCCTACCACTTTAAAATGTCACCCAAATAATACGTTTTCACCCTTACAAGCGTCTTAGTAGCACTACTCAGGTATTAAAGGGGAATATCTTCGACCTAGGCAAGTACACTGTTTAGTGCTCTCAGTCACTCCTGCCACTGCAGGGGCTCTCTTACAGACGGGAATGTGTTAATGTAGTACTGCGAGAGGTATCTGAAAGTTGAATAGATAAGAGTACAAGATGTTTCTTGAAATGACCAAAGTTATAAGACTTGTGAAAAGAGACAACGGGAGGGAATTCCAAAGCAAAAGAAAAGTGTGGTTGTGTACACAGCATGGCTGAGTCTGGTAGACTGAGTTCTCAAAATGTGTGAAGAAATCACCCATCAGTAAAGTTCATTTGGCCAATAACCATGGTCGTAGCGACAGAAGTTTTAAGAAGGCGACTGACCGCCCGATGTGTGCTGTGTAACGAGGCGAGAGGTTAACGCACCAGTTACTCCCCGGTGAGGTCTGAGAAGACCGCTGGCTGCACTGTCAGCTTGCCCGGCATGACGCACAGCCGGCCGACAGCGTCCACCACCGCTCCTACAGGCGCCGCCTCGTCTACACGTCACAAACACGCATCACAGCACTCACGACATCGACTGTAACGTGCAGGCGGGGGCACATGCGGATGTGGTTCAACACCTCTGGGGCCTCGGCAAGGTCTACCAATTCTCCGCGTGACCAATGTCAAGCTTAAGAAAGCTCATCGATATGACCTGTTAGAGCCACTCAGTGGGATTGCGATCCACAGATGGATTGTAAAAGATTTTCTTGTGGATCTCAGTAGAAAAAGAAGAAACACGAACATAAGCACTGAACAATTCTTCCTATGGCTGATGGAAAAAAAATCCCCAACTAAGAATAGCTTACAAAAAATACTTTACCAATGGATGGCGCTGGTAGTTTGTCTCTATAGTGGAGTATAGGACAGGGTTAAATACAGGTAACTGTTGATCGTAGCTTTCTGGTGGATCACGGAGCCCGTTGAGATCCACCGTAATGGATCACAGTGCTTGAGAGCAATTGGCCACCATTGAGACACTACATCAATCCACATTGACAAATTGTCTTGAGTTTAACTCTGTGCTGTCAGAATCTCTCTCTTTCTATCTCTGTCTCCTGGCCATGGCGGCCCCTTCCGTGCCGCTTGCGTACCGAGGGACAGCAGCTGCTTGAGCGTGCGCACGGCGTTGTTCATCTCGCCAAGACGCATGTACATGGTGTGCAGGTGCGGGTACACCCCACCCAGGGAGCGAACTTCAAAGAGCCGCTGCACGGCGCTCACCAGCCCCGCCAGCACCGCACGCGACGCTCCCCACGCAGGGCCCTGCTTTGCCCACAAACGCAGCCACAGAGCAAACGCTGCAACAGCCACAACTACAACCGCCGCATACAATCAGTACGACAGCTACCACAACTCAAATACTGTAAATGCAAGCAAAGCCATTTATGATGATCGGAGACAAAGTGACCACAAAGCAGTACTACCGAACTGGTGATTTCCTGTATAATGCTAAAAGCCCTCTTTACACACAGCGCACATTTTTGTGGGTTTTCGAAAACCACAATAAATACATAGCCACAAATACAACCACAATACAACCGCAGTACAATCTCTACCACAACACCAACCCAATCATGACCACACCTACAACAATGCAATCACTACCACAGTTACAATCACACCACAATCATTACCATCGTCACAACTTTAACCACAACCACATGCATAGCAATGCAATCACTAGCTAATACAAAACCACAACCAGAAGGCAGAATCTGTAAGAGCACCTCTGTTGTGACGCCTCCCGGTGCATCATCTCCCAGTGCGACGCTACCCGGAGGTGGCTGCTGCCACCAGCGGAACGTACCTGCGCTCCTGTCAGGGCCTTGTCTTCCCAGCCGTTCACTGCTGGATGCTCCCCTTCTCCCTCATTCCGTCTCCGTGCGGCGCCGTGAGTCACGGCGGTGCCCTTCCTCTCGTGCGGGGAGGAGCTGCCCCCCCGAGGGTTGCTCCCCCCCTCCAGGACCCGCGGGCGCCGGTTTTGTGTGTGCTCCTTTATCGACGGCCCCTGTGGGCTGCCCAGTTTACTGCTTCTGCCTCTCTCCTGTGCTCGCTCGAGCTTCCGCAGCCGCTCCTCCGCACTCTGCACCCGCGCCTGCTGTGCACGCAGGTCTGCACTGGCAGCATCGGCGGTACGTGCACAACGTGTACGCCATGCACAACACAGACACCACACAGCGCGTACACACACACACACACCACGCGGCGCGTAGACACAAACGCCACGCGGCGTGTACACACACCACACACACGCACAAATTGGACACCCATTCTAGAGCACCAACACAAAGCTTGTAACAATTCATTCCCCCCCCCAACCCTTCCCAGTGATTGGATAAGTTGACAAAATTTAAGGTGGTGATTCGATTCAAGAATCAATGAATATTGTAATTGTCTGCCTCGTTTGAAGGATATTCCAGACAGCAGGGGCACAATCAGAGAAGTATTGACCTTCCATAGAGCAAAAGTTGACTGGGGGGTTTGAAAGACCTCGGTTGCAAGAACAGTGAGAACACAAAAAAGACCTGAATTAAAAATTAGAAGGGGTGGTAGGGTAGGAAATTCCATGGAGGACCTTGAAGACAGTTACGGAGATCTTGTATTTGGTGCTAGATTCAAATCCAATGGAGGCGTCTGGGTATTGAGAAGCCTGTCAGCGTTCCAGGTCATTCGTAGCGTGGAGGTGAAAAATTGGGGAGGCTGTAGAGGACACGGTTATATTTGTAAGGTGGAGAATTGAGAAAAGGCAAGATTAAGAGTCTTCGCAGGACAGGAGAGAGGTGAGCGGGAGAGTCCGTGGAGTATAGAGATGGTGTTGAAGGCGATCTCGTCAAAGCCTCAGTCTTTGAGCCGCGTGCGAGACGTGGGTGCTTCTGGTGCAGTGCGCTCACGTGAGGCGGTTGTTGGTGAGGACCAAGTCCTGGATCAGGTGTTGCCGGCGCTCGGCATCACGAAGCAACGTCTGCAGCGTGCGCCGCAGCTCACACGCATCCAGCACAACGTCATCTGATACAAAGAAAAAAACAAAAAAATCCCCACGTAACCTTAAAGAACTTTTGGGGCAAGTGCTGTAAGTTAGCACCTATGAAGGCTGGCACGGCACAAGACCAGTACTCAACTGTACGTGTGCACACACAAACGTATCCACGGCACACAATATAAAATACTCACACAGCACCACAGTACACATGTACACACATAACATACCACAACGCAGTACATAATGCACACACAGAACATAGACCTCAATCAGCACACACAGAAGATATAACACACATCACACTACACAGTACATGCAGCAAACAACACATACGGCACACCCTACACGGCACATGTAACACACACGTAATATAAGGCATTAGTCGTGCAAACACCATAACGTACACACACCACCCACATCACTCGGCATTGCCCACCAACACCACCGCTCCATGCATGCCGTCTCACCCCCGGCACTGTTGGCGTGTCGCCGGGAGCCCCACACACGCACGGTGCCAAGTCCCTGTCCTCGCAGTAACCGGTTGACCTCCTCCCACTCCTCCTCCACCTGGAAAGGGCGCAGCGTGAGCAGGACCTATCACAGCATTGGTGGCCAATACGAGGATTCAGATCCACGGGTGGATCGCTAAATATGTTCTCGTGGATCTCAGGAAATATCAAAACACGAACATAAGTGTACGAACATTTTTTAGTTCTCGCTAAGAGCAAATACAAATCCCAGACTACAAAACCACACGTACCATTGAAACAAATAACACCTGCCAATACTTAACGCCTGTAGCACCGTATATTACTGGGTTAAATCCGAGTAATTGTTGGTCACAGCTTTCGGGTTGAGATCCAACACATTCTTGCGGAGGGAGCTGGTAGGAACATTGGGTTGCTCGGTCAATGGCCAGGGTCAATGGCGGCGTGGTGTATTCCGCAAATATGACCGACTGTGAGGGTGGGCACAAGCCGGCGTGAGTAGGTTAAACGTTGAGTTTTATAAGGGCACCACGGGGTGACCAGCCCCTCCCCACCGAGCCCCTCCCCACCCAGCCCCTCCCTCCCCACCCAGCCCCTGCCTGCACGATGGACGGACACAATAATCCCCTGTGGGCTGGTGTAACCAGGAGGTTCCTACCAGTACTAAAATGGATCAGTGATTGGTGTATTGGCCACCACTATTTAACAGAGATGTCCTGGCCAGGGTTAGGGCTCCCACACACAGTACCCACAGTACACAGCCTCTGAGCACACACTGGCCAAGCATTGCTCACTCGTCAGAGCACTGGGTTAATCACCACAACGAGTTAACCAACCCTCCGAGAGGTAAAATCCACTTTCCCTCAATGTTATCACTACTGTGCTATCAGCATCATGCCGTGTGACGAGGAATCTATTTGAAAGAATCCACATCTCTCGCACAGTGGCAGGGCAACCATTCGCGTTGTCGAATGGCCCCAAGGAAAGCTGATGCACAGTGGATAGACAATATGAGTTATGATGCATTTGTGTCATCGTTTACGTTTGCAGACATTTATTTTGATGGTGACCTCAGACATAAGGACCTCATTATACGTATTCAGAAATTGCTAAAGATTGTTGCGTGATGCACAGAGGCTGTGTGCTTTTTACAAATATCTGTGTGTTGTTTTAAAATTAAACCCCGAGCATCACTGCCGTGTCTGTGGTGTCACGTATGCATCGATGTGTCCGTCGCTGTACCTCCTCTCCTCCAGCGCAGGCATCTGCAAAACAATGAAAAGGAGCTCAGTGGAGTTCAGTGCGGCTCAGGGCTCACAGTGGCAAAGTCCCATCAGTAGTCCGGTGTCACGTCAGGGCAGTTCTAGAGGTCAGGTACAGGTCAGGTTTTTGGTTCTGGTTAGGGGTCGGGTAACGGGTGAAGTTCTGGGTGGATGAAGGATTTGGGGTCTGGAAAGGGGTTATGGTATAATGTAACGGATTATAAGTTGGATAAGTGGCCGTCCATAAATGACGTCACGCACCTGGGGGGGGGGGGTCAGACATTTGTAACGATGTGCGACGAGGGGGGGGGGGGTGAGAAATGTGACGTCACATCAAAATGCGCAACTTTAAATAAATATAGACAACACGTTCTAGTTAATTAAATATACTTTTTAATACATGTTTTCTCCTACAACATCAGAGTGCAGCGCCACATTAAATACGCACTACAATGACAATAGTTTAAAGCGATTTGAAGCATGTTTTATATATTTTTTGGGGGGGGAAGAGCTTTGTGACGTCATATTTGAGGGGGGGTCTGACTTTTTGTGACGTCGAGTGACGACGGGGGGGTGGGGGGGGGGTCAAAAATCGTCCAAAATCGCGTGACGTCATTTATGGACGGCCCCAAAAGGGTAGAGAAACGGGTAACGGGTAGATGGGGGGGTATAACAGGTTAGGGGTAACTGGTTGATGGTAACGAGAAACGCGTCACCGTCCGGGCTACTGAGTAAACGGGTGAGGGATCGTTACCGGCTCGGAGTCTCTGCCGGCCACGCTCCGCCACCGTGGGAGGGGAGGCGCTCATGACAGCGCTGTAGCTGCTGCTGCTGTTGTTGTTGTGTCCACAGCTGTTGTTGTGTCCACAGCTGTTGTTGTGTCCACAGCTGTTGTTGTGTCCACAGCTGTTGGTGGTTCGCGCTGTCCGAGTAACGACTCCAAATGTCGCAGCTGAACGCTGTTTGCCCGTATTGCGGTTTCTGGCATGTTATTAGTAGCTGTGATAGTAGTGTAGCAGCTCTAGTAACTATTGTAGTTGTAGCTGTTGTTGTTGTTGTCGTTGCTGTTGTTAGTAGTTGTTGTTAGTAGTTGTTTGTTGTTGATGTAGTTGCAGGGAGTCGGTTTCTCGCAGTCGCTCACACCGGAAGCGGAAGCGTCGCGTTCAAATGCCTCGCGCCCCGCGCGTCGACCAATGGGAGTCGCGCCTCGCTACGCCCCTCCCCCTCTCGCAGCGCACACGCCTAGCGACACATCACCGCAGCAACGCACCGTCGTAACCTAGCAACGGGTAACCATAGTAACTGCTTCGGACAATCGTAGAAGTTACCTAACTGAGCATTTTTCACAACGGCGGTGCCTAGCAACGAAGTTCCATCCAACAACCATCCCCTTGGAACAATAAAAAAACACACTTATTAGGCGCCTTTCACAATGTCCCGAGGCGTTAACGCAAACGTGTAACACCCTCGGAGAGCACCGACAGTCGCGCGATCAACAATCTGCGGCATCAAAGGAACCTTAGCAACAAACGGGGTCCCGGGCTAAAAAACGACGGTCCATAAAGAAAACGACATCGCCTAGCAACAACCGTTGCCTAGCAACGACGGGCAACGGCTGTCGCGACGGCGACGCGAGCGCGCGCGAAACTGTTTCCGGTCCACGTCGCGCGCTCATTTGCATATCGCGTAGCGGGCGAGGCGAGCCGACCAATCGCGGGCGCTATCGGGCACGGCGGGGATCATCACGTGGGGCGTGCGCGACCAATGGGGACGTGGCGCGAGGTTTCTGCAACCATGGCAACGCGCGCGAGACGAGGAGCGGGCGAGCCCCTCCTCCTCCTCCTGCTCCGACGTTTTCATAAAAACCGATTCTGGTGCAGGAGCACACGGCCAGAGGCAGCAGCAGCAGCCTTTAGCCTTTGCTAAATTCACAAAGCTGCGTGTTGCTGACCGCTTGACGTGTTTTTGTTTTGTTTGGGAAGGGCCCTGCGCTCATTAACAGCGTTTTAATATCCGGCATAAGTACACGTTTAGAATTACGTGAAAGCAAGAGCTTACAGCCTGGGCCACCCACCTGACATTTCAGAGCAGGACCTGGGGTCCAGGGACCAACCAAGACCAGGACAGGGACCAGGGACCTTGACCCTAGAACCTAGCGTAGGACCCGAGAGCCGGAGCCGAGGTTTGAGACCGTAGCCTGGGACCAAGACTGATCATCTGGACAAGAACAGCACGAGAGAGAGAGAGTTCAGGACTCGGAGCTCGTCCTCGGAACAGAACCAGAGCACGACGCGAAGCAGGAGCTGAGATCCTGACGGGGGACCTGGCCCCGGGGACTGAGACCCCGGCGTGCATCCCAGGTGCTCGCACCGTCACTCATCTGGAGAGAAAATGAACCCCCTAGGCCCTCATCATAACCACTAAATGTTGATACTCCGACTGATGCTCCTGCTGCTGTTGTAGAGTGGCTCATGCAGACAGATATGGCTTGCAGGGATTTGGTGATACATGTTGTTTATGTCGTTTATTGTGAAAATTCCGTAAGTTTCAATGATCACTGTTGCATTGCTTTCATGGCTTTATTTTGGTGATTTCGAAAAGTTTTTTGGGTTTGGCCATGTTTGTTGTAGTACGGAGTTAGAATGATGGCTTTAATCTAAGTTGTCTTGTGGTTGTTGTTGTTGTTTGACTTGCATCCCACTGGGATTTGTGCACACAGCGTTGGTGTACGGTGCTTTTTCTGCAATATTTTGCTGTCTTTTCTTGGATTTTCTGTTTGCACATAGTCACATAGTCACTTTAAGATGTTTTCTTGTTCATGTTTTTGTTTTTTGTTTGTTGCGGTTGCACCCGATTCAAGAGCCGAATGGCTCACAGGGCTACACCTAATACATGAACTTGAACTATTGCGGTGACTCTAACCCCGAACCTCGAGACCCCCCGAGGAGCATTGATTCGTATCGTCTTCCGAACTCATTAACCCAAACATCACTTAACAGACATCCCTTTACCAAAACCCAGGTACCCTTAAAGCCCTCACATGAAGACCCCCTAAATGCAGCTAAACCCAGACTTACTCCAGGGACCTCCTTTCTCTAATCCAGAAATCCCAAACCAGAGCCCCCCCTCCTCCTTACCTAGAGAACCCCCTAACCATATCCTTGAAACCCCCATAACCCTAATCATAACCCATATACAGTGTCCCTGAGAGCCCACGCTGTTTGCTCGAGTCAGTGAGCAGGGTCAAGCGATAATAATTTTACTTGGAGGAATCCGATGTCCTATGAAGCTCTTTTTCACAGATGTCCAGTCAGTTTTCATAGTTTTCACACCGGACCCACATCGTATACCATAACTAGGGTTAACGCTGTGCTCTAAATATCTGGGGTACAGTTATATAAGCCTGATGCAGTACCGCCAATTAGGTTAATAGAAGCACATGAGCCAAGCCTTATGTACACAGTTGTGTGTGTTAGGTTCCAAGGTTCCTTGTGCATATGTACGCAGTGTCCTTGAGTGTTGCTCCACTCTAAAAGTGCACCAGTGGGCAGTAGTGGGCAGCCTGTACAACTTAACACGTAGGCTTTCGCGACCAATGTTATTCATAATCAACGTTTTTGGGTTTAGATCGCGTTATTTATAAATGTGTCGTAACCCTCCACCACCCGACACGGCCAATCAGTAAAAAAGTGTCACGTTGACAAAAGACAAATAGTTCACTGCTTTAGCCCACCGGTGTGTTGAAGCCACAACATTTACTATTTGAGTACGACGTTTCGCTGGTAATTGCAATCCAGCATCATCGGGCAATTCGCCAGAATGGTGAGGCTCTGCTGTGTCCACCACGTTTAGCCCCGTGTCCCACAACATCATACCCTTGATCTGCGCAGTGTTTACCCGGTGACAGTGGTATACAAGCGAGCCTTCCTCACTGCTTGTTAATCCGGGCTAATGCCTTCCTGGATAATGACAAAATAAATGAGCAGACAAATCCGCCTACTTCCCATAGCTGGGCCTCCACTCCACATTAAATTTAAACATTATTTTACACATCCCATGGGCTACGTGGTCTTCTGGGAGTGATTTTTTTTGTTCAACGCCAGCAAACTCTGGACTGGGTTTGACGTGCAGTGTTGCATCAGCAGAGTATGGCGTAACACGTTGGCTTTCGCGACCAATATTAATCATAATAAAGGTTTTTTTGGGTGAGATTGCCCAAGTATAAATGTGTCCTAACCCTCCACCACCGGACACAGCCAGTAAGGTTTGTCACGTAAACAACGCGACAATTTAGTTACAACTTCAGCGCACCGGTGTGTAAATGTTATTGTTTACTCTCCAACACACCTGTGGGCTGAAGTAGTAACTAATTGGCGCGTTGTTTACGTGACAAACATTACTGGGTGGTGGAGGGTTAAGACTCATTTATACTAGATTTGAAGCTTTCGTGACTGCAAGGATTCATAATCTTAGGTTTTTTCGGTAAAGTCACGTAGGTAAAAAATAAAAATAAATAATAAAAATAATAGAAATAATAATCACTTGATACAGTAAATTTAGCTGTGACGGTCCCACCTGATGACGGAGACTTGTGTTGCCTCCGAAACGTGATTTATTATTTTATTTCTATTATTTTTTTTACCTACGTGACTTTACCGAAAAAACCTAAGAGTATGTACTCATTTATACATACGCGATCTAACCCAAAAGCCTTTATTATGAAGACGAAGGCTTGCTTCAACAAATGCTAGTGAATATCCGGATATTATTGGCAAGGACCCCTGTCTGCTTTACATGCGTTTACAATTAAATGCCGTACCGAGAAAATTTCCACATTTAAATGAAAAGGGGGGGACGCTATTTGTTAATCGTTTTCGCTCTCATGAGAACTGATAGCTGCACAGTTATCCGATTAGCACGGTTGGCTACGTACGGTGCGAAAAAAGCTCAATACACACGGATAATTATAGGACGAGGTTACCACCACTCCCAAGTGACTCCTCTTATCCACGTAAAGTTGTGGACATTAGGACGAATTTAGTGCCTCCCCCAGAGGCCATGTCTGAGTCATTTCATAATTACAGATTTACAGTTAACAAGAATGTACAGCCCTTTGTCAATCCACTGCTACTAAAGGCCTCCACATACAATGTCACCCTTTGAGGACATTTGACCAAATCTCACCACAATAATCAGTGCATGTGATTTAGGGTAAAGGCAAATACTGTGAGAGTGTTAATTTTTTTTCACCACTGCTGTGTTACCTCTTCCTGTCCACAAATTCGTATCGGAGGAAAAAAATCTCTTTGTGATAATAGGATTTCGTCACAGATGAATTGGAGCCGTGGATAATGGACGTCTTGGGTAATAGGACCACAGATAAGAGAAGCTTAATAGAATTGGATTATCTGTTATGCACATTGAATACTCTCCGAAAAAATATCCAACCAAACTTAAGAGTCACACATTTTCTTTTTATCCAAAGGAAACGTGTTTCATTGAAATTAATGCTCTAAAAAAAGTTATTTGGGCGAGTTGGCGAATTCAAGGCATCCTCATGTGTCACGTATTTCATGACTTTTGCACAGCGGCATAACAATGTATGCGATATGCGCCTGTTGCGCTTATAATTTTCTGGTATTGGTTGTCCTCGTCATAAACGCATTGGATAAACACTTGCAATTAAACGCAACGTAGCCAGTAATGCGAGCTTACGCAACCGTCAGCAGGCATCCTCACCACTGCGATGTTTCATTTGGGCGAAGTGGCCTCCCCGGGTTACGACTCGTGTGTTACAGGCCTTTCCGGTAGTATGCTCGCGATCTCATTATTCACCTCACCTGTGATTCCATGAATTGTCATGATATTGGGTCACGATTCAATTCAAAAATGAATTATTATTAGCTGGTCCAGCAGTTCCACTGCTGGATTATATTTTTTCCGCCTGAGGACGACCGCTTGTGTTGCGATCGAAACATCGTGATTTATTTTATTTTATACCTACGTGACTTTACCGAAAGAACCAAAGAGTATGGATTCCGGCAGTCACGAAAGCTTGTATCCTGACTACGTAGCCTGTACTGTCTGCTTCGGTTGTGCTGTCACATTTTGTATTGTCTTGCTTTTTTGTGCTTTCTCATACCATTGTCTGCTGTCTCATCTGTACCAGCACTCTTGCTTGACTAGTTTTTATTTTTTGGGCCAATGTTAGCGAACCTAATTTTATGCTCAGGTTGATTATTATACGATTTTATTTATAGTAAAAAAAATACCTATCAATAATAATGCAAACGTTCTACCAGCCTGCAATGATCAATGTGGTGGAAGCATGGTCCTACAACCCCATGCCCAGCCTTTATCCAGCAGTGGATTTACAAAAGGACTGTAAATTATTATTTTAATTTTGTGAGCGCTTTGTGCTTAGAAGCATAGCGGCTCACTTGTGGAGGAATGCTCGCGGAAAATCCACATTAGAAATAGCAGAGAATTAATGGAGTGTGGGGGCAGTGACTGGGTAACTGGTTGGGTCATAAGTGGAGCACAGATAGAGTGGATAGAGCATGGGTGGAGCAGATGGAGGTGTAGGGTGATGGGCAAAGCTGAAAATCTCACTGAATATTTTCCAAGTCGCTGGTAGACGTGCCATCAGGCATCCACACACCAGCTCATCTCTCCGCTCCATCTCTACATCGGACGGGCCTACCAGGTCTGTTCCATCTCCTTGGCTGCCGCTCCAACATTATTCTCGAATATGTTCATTGGCCCTTCCGGCGACATGGCTTGCTCAATCCCACTGCTCTTAACAGTAAAAATTACGTCTTTAACTTGAGGACATGTGCAGGGAACATAGACAGGTCAAATAAAATGTTAAAGACTTGATCGTAGCCACGGTAAGTAAATCTGCACATTTGTTATCGCACACTGTTTTGAGCCTAGTCCACCACCCATGCACCACACTCATCTTTGGGCCACCACTGTTTTAAGTCTGTTGCAAAACTGGCTTAGACTCAAGGATAGATCCCAAACATGCCGGCAACTGGTTTTAGGTCTTCAAGCTGAAGACCTCAAAACTTTGCTGGCCGTATCGCACAACCATAACAATAGGAATGGAGGATGTGGTATGCAGGGTGCATAAATATCTTCCATGTCTTTGACCGCGCTGAAATATGCCCGGGAGATGGGCGATGGATGCTTGTTGATGGGTTCAGGGTAACCCTGAATCTGCTTCTCCTCTCTGTCCAGGTTGAAGCTACGAGGGGCAATGGCGTCACGCGATGAAATCACCATCACTCAGGAGGATATGCGGTGCGTGAGCAGACATCGTCATCAGCATACAATGATCAACGCCATCATCAATATCACTATGGCAGCATCATCATCAGCTATGATCAATCTACTTTTGGCTGAAGGCATCGCCATCACTTACCATCTCGCAATTGAACAATTCCGCTTCATTGCTCCATCTCCGTAGTTTGACGTCCTCTCGTGCGTGCATCCTCTGTTGGCTGCCACTCCATCATCGTTAGTCTCGACCGTTGGCCATCATCCTCTCCAGCAGTGTCCTGCCCAAGCCTGCCTAACTTATCTTGACAAAGTGATGTCTCTGACTTGAAGGCCTTCCCGAGTTATCGCCTTCTCCCACAGTCCTGCGATGTAGCGATCCATCAGGCACCTGCACACGTGCTCCTCTCATTGCTCCGTCTCTACATCAGGCGTCCTCTCCTTGGCTACCGTTCCGAAATTATTCTCGAATATGTCATTGTCCCTTCGAGCGACATGGCTTGCTCAATCTCACTTCTCTTATCAGTCAAAATGACTTGAGGACATTCGCAGAGCACATAGACAGGTCAAAGGGAATGTTATATACATCATCAACATAACATGAACAGCATTTACATCCGCTTGTCATTAACATAATCAAAATACAAATATCATCCCTTTATTAAATTATCATCATCATTATTAGCATCAAATCGGCAAAAATGTTTTTTTATGAATAAATTCCAGTATAAAGTTACAACTTCAAATTGCATTAAGTCTCTTGACATTGCAGCAAAACATAATTGGAGTTACAGCAAAAAAAAGATCAATAATTTGAAATAGACAATAAAGATTAAATTCCTGGCTTAAAGTTTCGTTATTGATGAACGCGTATACTTGTTTTGTTCATTGTGCTTGTGCACCACTGCCAACACAGCTGCAGCATCACCAAATACTTTGCTTAGTCCTGTATTGAACCGCGACCATCAGTCGCTAATCTGTGTGGTTGTGGTCACTGGGCAGGGCGCGCTACGCTCACGCGGACCGCATGGCGGACCTGGTCGCCATGTGGGAGGTCGCGCTGAGCGACGGAGTGCACAAGATCGAGTTTGAGCACGGCACCACGTCGGGCAAGCGCGTCGTGTACGTCGACGGCAAGGTGCGGTCCGCACGCCCTAGCCACGCAGACAAAGATCCCCCCTGTAGCCTTAACAGACTGTTGGGGCAAGTGCTGTAATTGAGTACCTATGAAGGTCGGCGCAGCACACATAGATAGACAGTGTCACACCCCAGCTGAACTTTGTCTCCCCAGTGCTGATGTTTACATACCACACCAGGTATCCATTTAAGGCCTAGTTTACTTAGGGGATGCCAAAGACAGGTACGGATATCGCTTATCGCTGATGTTAGCCGTGGCCGGGAAGCAAACCCGGCTCGCTGTGTTATTTGCGCTGATGTGCTAACCACTACGCCACCGCTCCCACACGCATGCACGCCTGCTCACATGCCAGAGGTCGCAATCGGGTACCCGATACCCGTACCCTACCCGATACCCAATCGGGTACCCGTACCCAGCTGGGTACGGGTACCCGTTTGCGACCCTGGTGCGGCCGGGTACGGGTAGGCCGTGAGTCACTGGTGAGTAACCGTTTGTCACTCATTTCCCAACGTCTTGTCTCTTCTCACAATTCAAGTTCCTAGAATCAACCCACCCGTGCCTGCAACATGGCTTCATCCCAGAGGTCGCAATCGGGTACCTGATACCCGTACCCTACCCGATACCCAGCCCGGTACGGGTAGCCGGGCATCGGGTAGGGTACGGGTACCCGTTTGCGACCCTGGTGCGGCCGGGTACGGGTAAGGAATCAAAACCCGTTTGTGACCTCTGTCACATGCCCACACATCAACATGTGTCCCTGCACACCCCAATGTACACACCCACCTGCACCTACCTCATGCCCATTTAGTAAAGTAAAATTAACATTCTATTCATTGTTAATCCAACAACGATGATTTGTTTTTAATGTAGCGCCCTTTGCATTCAATAAGCAATTAACATCGCATTGTCAAACATTTTAAATGAACATTCCCAGTCGCAGCTGTCCCTGTGGACATGAGATGACTCAGCGCCTGGCCGGCAATCGGATATTAATTAGTCTGCCAGAAGGGTTTGATGATTGCTACTCTGTGCGTTATTCCAAGTGAGTAATTAGTGAATAATATTTGGAAAATTCGGGTCATGACACTGGCACACAATGGCCTGCTCGTTTCAAATTACGTCAGGGGATCTCTGATCGACAAAGGGGTCTCTACACCATGCCGGTCATGGGGTTTGTCTGTTTGTTTGTTTGTTTTTACCATACTTCACCAAACTCGTCAGTGCAGATTGGTGAAGGGGCTAGAGGGCACGACAGGTTCTAATATTACTTGCCACTTGATGTTACTCACCATGGCCGGGATTCGAACTCGGGGCTTCGGGTTCATCGCGCAGCATGCTAACCATTGTACCACCGCTCCCATGCCCCTTTACGCGGACCATTTACTTAGGAGCTGATCCGCCGGGACTGGATGTTCAAGCTGGTTGGCAAGGAGACCTTCACAGTTGGCGCCACCGAGACCAAAGCCACCATCAACATTGACGCCGTGAGTGGGTGAGTGATCGATGATGCTGCTGCTGCCTTCCCATGACCCCAGCCCCCATCCGCTCCCCACCCGCCGCATCCTGGCATGAGGGTTGGAGAGTTTGAGGAAAAAGGGCCTTTCCCATGACACCTCCTGGCAGAAAGCCATCGACTTCACATGATGGCGTCAACGTGCAGCTAGTCCTGGCACAATCGATACGGTGACGTCACCTTCACTTCGTGGCGTATGGCGGCTGTTGTTGTTCGGGAGGGGTGGAGGAGGGGGGGGTGAGAGGCGTTTTGGTCTTTTCTGCTTTCGTGTCCCAAGGGAAATGATACCTAAATCCATCTGTGCTGCCACTTGAGCAGTGACTGTCCCTGTGCACTCTGGTCCTTTGCGGGTTTTCAACTCGGCGTGTGGAGTTGTGATGAGGAGCAACTTGAGCACCTGACGTGGCCCGTGCATGCCCATGTGTCCGGCTGGGTCGCAGGTTTGCGTACGAGTACACGCTTGAGATCAACGGCAAGAGCCTCAAGAAGTTCATCGAGAACCGGTCCAAGACCAGCAAGACGTGGGTGCTGCAGCTGGATGGGGTGGACATCCGCGTGGTGCTCGGTGAGGCCCCACGGATGGACTTGAATGCGGGCAGGGAGTCGAAAAGTTGGAAGGATAGATGGATGGGGACAGCAGAGGAGAATGAGCGACCCCCTACTGAGTGATGGTTGACTGGCGGCTTTGACAGGAACCCTTGTCTTCTGGAGCAGAGATAATGAGGAGGGGAGCAGGGTGAGGGGAGAGGTAGGCAAGCATTAGTCATTGGAGGATCTTTAAAACAGGGCAATCTTGAAGTTGATCCAGAATTGTATTGAGAGTCATTTTGGCTGGTCAGAGTATCAGGATAATGTGACTCCCTTTATCGGTGCAGGTGAGGACTGTAGCCACGACTACAGACTTTGTATGCTCATGTTGCGTGTGTTACTGCGTGCTTGTTTTTGGGGGAGCGGTAGTGGAGCAGTTAGCATGCTGCTCTACGAACCCGGCGACCCAAGTTCAATTCCCGCTCACGGCCATCAACATCAGTGACAATTACCTGAACTGGTCCTGGGGCTCCCCTAGGTCGACTCAGCCGCAAATGAGTACCTGGTGCCATGTGTAAACATCACCACTGGGGAGACAAAGGCGGCCGGGCGTGGTGCTGGCCACCCACCCCCTCGTGTGCCATAGTTGGTTGAGGCTATATGGGTTATCTTTGTCGTCGTGTGCCCTATTCTACAGAGAAGGACACCATGGACATTTGGTGCAATGGAGACAAGATGGAGACTGCGGTGAGTGTTGCCGCCTCTTGCTCCGCGGAGCGGTACGTGCCGTTCAGCTGTGCCCGCCAATGTCGGCTGTACGCAACGTTCCCGTATTCATCGCCACAGCTCTTCTATTGGGGCTCATAAAAGGGTCTCTTTTTTGATATGAAAACACAGCTTTCAATTGGTGTTGTACAAAAGACAGCCTTCAATGGGGTTGTACAAAACAAACAACTCCAGTCGATTACGTGCGGAAAGAATAATGTGATGCGTTTCCTTGACAATCATAAATGTGCAAATGAGCATGTTGTAAGGTTGCCTGATTGAAATGCTGAGAGCCAGCACTATTCGCCAGAAAGCACAAGGACATTGATTATTTTTATTTATAACCTACACTGTATAGATGGATGATGTGATTAGTTTATTTATTTACAAGGGAAACCTTGAAAGAGAGCCTTGAGACTCAATGAGCCTGTCCTTGCTGCTATATGAATGACCTTATTTTCATTTTTCTTTTTAAGTGGCACAGTGTGTTTCATTGCATGGTGATGTGAACCCAGGGGCTTACGCATGATTCCCAGCAATGGTCAACATCTGTGGAGAGCGATATGTGATTGTTTTCAACTTGTAAAGAGCCGCACGGTATCCACTCGCTCTCGAAGACAGAGGCCGACTTAGAGGCACCCGGAGGAGCCGCTGACAAACGGGAGGCGGTGAGCCGGTGCCAACAATTGCCCAAGCTCTGTGATCCCCTATAAAATAAGATGTGTTCAGTCAGTTAATGAGTTTACATGCGAGAGGAAATCTGAGAAAGCCCACGCATAGGAGGGGGAAACACTCTATCCCATATTGAAGGAACAGGTGGAGTCCACATTATTGCCTGGATGCCCATGGGTAAGGAAGTTTCACAACATTTATATTATCCACCAATCCTCGCTGCCTCCCCAGTACTGGATTACAGGCGTGGACCACCGCCACTCGGCTATCTGAACCAACCCTGAGCTCCCTTCAACCCACACTGACCAGCGCGGTGAAGTACGGTCAAATAAGCGCTATGGCCAACACGGAGTGGGGCGGCCTTCATCCAGGAGGGGATTGAAAATAAGTAGTTCATAATTACGGTTTAATGTGCCGCTTAATTTAATGATCTGTTCACCTTCGATCAGCTGGGATGGAGCCACAAGCCTTCCTTTTCTGCCCACGCTGTGACCTGAAACCCAGCCTCTCCGTGCTTGCTTTAATGATGTGGAATTTAAATGTGTCCTTGTAATGTAATTCAACCATGAAAGCCTTACCGAGCTTCAACTCTCGTTGCGGAACGCTGCTTGCATTGGAATGTTTTGTCACTTGCATTTTGCAGTCAGCCTTTTACACGACACCCATGCCGTACTTGTAACACCACACGACACACATGTACGATGGAACCTTTGTGAATGCGCTGCTGGATGAGGGCCTCCCCAACCCATGTAGACCATGGGGGTTATTTAACCATACTTTACAGCCACTGGTCCGTGGTGAATCTGGGGAGGCAGAGGCGTGGAAGCAGAAACGTAGTGTGCAACAGATTTTACTGCACTGCCCTCTGCTGCCCACCACTGCCCTCTGCTGCCCACAACGTGGCCCCGCACAATGACAACACCCGGTGTGACTTCTAGGGGGCCATGGGTGTGTGTTTATCGTGTGGCAGGAAACCAGAGTACCCAGGGAAAACTCGCTTATATGGTGGGGATAACACTCAAAGGTCCACACACACACAGGGTCACAACACATTTTCTGTACCACCACCTCCTGGTCACCTCGCAGCGCCAGTGGGTTTTAGCAATTTTTTGCGAACTACCAACCCCTCACGTTCAAAGCACTGGATATCACAGGCATGTGCCACAACCAAAGACAAAGATCCCCCATATAGCTTTACCAAACTGTTTGAGCAAGTGCTGTTGACGGGCACCTCTGAAGGCAGGCACGGCACACAGGGGGGTAGTATGGCCAACGCCAGGTCCGGCCGCCTTTGTCACCCCAGTGCTGATGTTTTCGCATCGCACCAAGTACTCATTTAAGGCTAAGTCGACTTAGGGAAGGCCCAGGACCGATTCAGATCATGAATCATCACTTATGTTGATGGCCGTGAACGGGAATGGAACTCGGGTCGCCGGGTGCATAGCGCATCGTGCTAACCGCTGCACCACCACCACCAGCGTTTTACCCACCCACGTGGCCCTTTCTCTGCTGCTGAACGAACGGTGGCAGGGCGAGTTTGTGGAGGAGGGCACTGAGACGCACTTCACGCTGCTGGACCGGCACGAGTGCTGCATCAAGGCGGTGAGCAGCGGGCGCCGGCGCGAGGGCATCGTGCACAGCCTCATCCTCAACGGGGTGGAAGTGCCCGAGGTGCTCGAGTGACGGCCGTGCCTGCACGGGCGCCGGCGGCACCCTCAGCACGGCCGGACAGACGGAGCGGCGGGGCGCACTCGCTGCGTGTGACCAACGATCATCAGAGATTTAAAATTATTATCATATTTGAATAGAGATGAGATTTGCTATTATTTTTATGAGAGAATACATTGCTTAAATGAACAGGCTGTGGGTGCGGCAATCCCTGCCGACTCGTGGCCACCGGAAATTCTAGGACACGGTAAGACGGGGAGCCCCAAGTTGGGAGCCACTTCATTGTCCGGGGGTAGTAAAACCCTACGAGTGGGATGAGACTGTAAGAGCAGACCTCGGGGGTCTCGGGTGTGGACTGTGGAATCTGGCAAAAGGTGATGGGCGAGGTGCGGTGACATCAACAGCACTGGACGTGATGACCACCTCTTCAACCTCGACTTCAGTGACGCCCGACCACTCAATTCCCATCCACTCGATGCCACTCCATTGCAGGGGGCATACGGGAGGCAATGCTATTAGGAAGGCATGCCCACCTCCCGCCCCCCCCCCCCCCCCACAGAATCACCACTACCGGTGACATCAGCACACAACGTCATCTGGATTGCTATGAAAAAAATACGTTTGCGTGTGACCTCCGCAGGTTAACATGTGACCAACACTTCGGTTCACAGCTCAAGATCCCATCCATTAGCATCTCAAGGGCAGCTGCCGCGAACCAACACCATGATCCTTATTCTCCCACGCAATTGTAATTGTGGTTCCTGGTTCTAATATCTGTGTCGTGTGTGTGTGTCAAGATTTTGCAATTATGTCCACATTGTTTCAAGATTTTCTCTGCGCCTGCTATGAAACACTTCTGTAGATGGACGTTGCTGGGCAATGAGTGAGGCCCGGCGGATAATTCATTGAGCAGTAGTCGCCACATCCCACGAATGTGAAAGATGAGCTGCCTGCTTGAAGCCTCGCGTCCGGCCGCTGCTCATACATAGAGAGTGCCCGACGGCCGCAACGCACAAGTGGGCTCCGATGCTGCGACGACCGTGGGGGTGCTGCGAATGCGAGTGGCGTTTTGGCGTTAACTACCGTGGGTGCAATTCGCTTCGTTTGTCATTTAATTCGGGTGTAAGTAAAGCGGGTGAAAAAACGTTAATTGTGTTTTATGCATCCTACCAGAGAAATGAAAAGCAGCCAAAAACTGAAAAGGCCATACACTGCAATAGAGAGGAGGGGCATGCAGTTTGGGATACAGAACACTCACCAACCAAATGATAGCCCTACCCTTAACTAACCAGCCACTAGTACTAGCTCTCCCTCTGACTAAACCGTAACCACACTCGCCAACCAAACACTACCTCTGTCAAGAAACCACTCGTACGACAAGCCATTCCATTGATCCGAACCCCAAAAACTACACCAGCCAGTCTCACTATCCCCTCCCTCGAACTCGCCAACCAACCAACACCACTAAACAACCAGCCACTCATACTAGTCATTTGACTGATCATAATACGAGCCGACTATTCAAGCAGCCAATAGTATTCACCCTCCCTCTAAACCCTCACCATACCGACTTAACACTTCCCCGAATCAACTAACCAACCAGCCGCTAGTACTTGCCCTACCTCTCGCTAAACCATAACTACGCTAGCCAACCAATCACTACCCTCAAACCTAACCAAGAAGCTACCAGCCACTAATATTACTCCCACTGACCTTAACCGTGCCACCTATGGCTCTTTGTCAAAGCCCCTTTTCCACGATTGGGTCACTTTTCAGTGTTGGTGTTCACAGTACCCATGACACTGGCAGCGAGGAGTCCAAAGGAGGCATGAACGATTGGTCCTCACGAACCCGAGTTAATTCAGTGCAAGGCACCTGTGGAAATCGCTTCCTTGCTCCACACGTAGTCAATTACGATCTTAGCCAAAAAAAAAGCTGTTGACCTTGTAAGCCTCTGGCTCATGTTATGCGTTAAGTCTCCGATATTGTGTTCCTTTCGTGGTTCTTGTGCGGTGTTTTGTGTATGATTCTAGGTTGATGTGATTGCGTGTCCATAATCTTCCTGTTGGCGACATCACTCGTGCTGATCATGGGTGCTTAATGCAAATTGCGGATTTACGATTCGCAGCGTGGTCAGATTGTGAGGGTCGATTCGCATCTGTGATCATCCGAGTTGCTTCAACAGTAAAGTGGCGCCGGCTGCTGTCCGCGAGCTGCGACCGCGTGCCCACGCGGATCGGGGTTCTCTTCTCGCGTGCAGCTCACGCCCCGAGGGTTCGGTGAGAGTGGAAGACACAATAAACCGCCTGGGCCCATGCTCGTCACAGCCTGGCGTGACCGCGTGATCATTCGGGTGGAGAGACGATGAAAGCTTTGAGAGATGGGTTGAGGATGCCTTCATCCAGTGGTAGATTGATCGTGGACGATGAAGAGACTGGTTGGTGCTTTGATTGGACACTGCCTTGGAATTCCAGGTTTTGGAAAGGCTTTGGTTGCGAGGTGGCTAGGAGATGGCAGCACATCATTTGATCCATCTGTGTGGAATTTGAGTGTGAATCCCTCTTATCTGTAGCTTTCCTTCCTGGCCACAGCAAACATCAGCAGCAAGTGATATCAGAACTGGTCCTGGGCTGTCCATCATCCCCTTCAACCTGCACTGACCAACCAGCCTGGTGAAGGAAATTCAAAAGACTCCCAGCATCGGCCACCCTTCATGCAGCAGTGGGCTGGCTGTAAATTATAGTTTGACTCCGCATGAATGAGAAAACCCAGACTCAGGTGTATATGGTTAAACATGCAACAACATCGCTCGCCACGTCACTGCGTGCTATAACCTATGAACGTAGCATCTCCATCCTGCTTGTCATCTCCACTAAGATCTTCTAATCCCCCTTGCTTGATCCAGTGTAGCCAGTTTCCAGCTCTTGTCTCTATGGCACGCATGACACGTGCGCATTAATCCATCTGTGAGCTCCACTCATCCTCAACGCCCATTATATTGACTCATCCCCATCACCCTCACTCAGCATCATCATCATCACCCCTTGCAAGACGACTTTGACCAGCATGGAAGAGTAGGCCAAATATTCTCTCTAGGAGATCTCTAGAGCGACCTCTTGTCAAGGCCCTTCTTTCAGCAGTGGCGTGAGCAAGAAATTGCAGGGATGAACCTTTACCTTTCGATTTAAAGCTTTCGTGACTGCAGGGATTCATCTTCTTGGTTCTTTCGGTAAAGTCACGTAGAAGGGAAGTAATAAAATAATAAAAATAAAACATTATTATTTTATTACTTCCCTTCTACGTGACTTTACCGAAAGAACCAAGAAGATGAACCTTTACCTTTTAGTCAAAGTGAGCATCCGAGCAGGTGGCTCAACGGCTCGAAATCAGAAGGTTGGCAGTTCAAAATCCTGGTTGGGGTTGCATAAACCCATCATCCCACGTGGGGTCGATAAAATATGTATAACTTTGTGGGGGAGTCAACGGTGGTTGTCCAATGGAGATAATCGCGGAGAGGCTTCCCGAGTCATGGGAATGTGTCGTTTCCACCACTGACTCATCAGGTTGCCATTGTGAGTGTTTCTGCCGGGCACGCGCACACACGCGCACACCGAGAGCCAACAGCGTCCCTTCTCTCGGCGTGCGATGATCGTGGCGCGCAGAAAGAGATGCGTTATCGGCTATCGATTCTGGCCGCTCTCCCCGCTCCGCGTTTCCTTTCGGGTTACGGGAACATCCATTACTGGCACTCGTGACCCGTCCCAGGGCGGCTCGGAGAGCGAATGAATGAGCCGATTAATCAATGCGCTAATGAATGAAGTGAGCGAGTGAATGAATGAGCGAAGAGGCTTGTGAGTAAGAGGCCCCGTGCTCTCGGCTCTTTGGGAGATCAGGTGAGGGTGGAGACGATGGCGACGAGGAGGATATTTTATTGGTGATGTGCGTGTGATGTGTGAGTAATGGATACCACGGGTGTGCACATTAACATAATGCTGCTTGGATAATTGATGATCTACCGGTGATGACATACGGATGATGATGTGTGCATGATTATGTGAAAGTGTAGATTCCGGTGATTTGATGATGCAATGTGATGGCGATGATAATGTTGAAGTTATATTTTGTGAATGTACAAATGATGATGAATGAGTGATGATCATGATGCATGGATAGAGATATATGGACGGCGAAGATGCTGATGTGAAAATTATAATAGAGATGATGATGACGATGATGTTGTTGATGATGGTGATGATCAGTGGTGATATACAAATCACTCTTGTGTATCAAAGATGACGATTACCACCGCCATCATCAGCAGCATCACCTGCTTCAAGGCGTATGGATATAAACATATGGATGATGACAGTGATCGACTGACGATGTACACCTGAAGATGTGCGGACAAAAGTACGTGGTGGATGATGCGGTACAAACGACGATGACGACGACGATGATGACGACGGCTGCTACCGCCGGGGCGGTTAGATGCTCCGGGGCTGCTTCGTGACAATAATCCGGCAACTCGAGCCCTCGGCATTGATTACAACAGGAAGCTTTTACATGTTCCATCCGAGATGCGACCATCGCTCCTCCAACACCACCACCCCGCGAGACGGTGGGGGGAGGGGGGTGTGTGGCGGAGTGGTGGGAGAGGGGTCACGCAGAGGGTGGGAGAAGGACCAAGGTCTGGGGAGGGTGTACATGTGCATGGGGATCGAGAGGGGTCCGGGGAAACGAGGGGTCCGGCATGGGCGTGTGGGAGACAGATTTGAGTGTGGGGTTGAGTTGGTTGGTCGGGGATTCATGGGCAGGGCGTGCGGGGGGGGGGGGTATGATAATGACGATGCCACTGATTATGATGAGTGCATGGATATGTATTATAACGGAAAGATAATGTGATGATGAATGGATTAATTGTGATAACATAGATAATGCGATGATGTACATATAACGATGTGTAGATAATGCGATGATGAATGGATTAATTGTGATAACATAGATAATGCGATGATGCACATATAACGATGTGTCGATAATGCGACGATGAATGGATTAATTGTGATAGCATAGATGGTGCGATGATGCACATATAACGATGTGTCGATAATGCGACGATGAATGGATCATGTCGAGACAGCGACGATGATGATGATGATGATGTATGGTTGCCTGGTAGGGTGTGAGGCTTGTGTTGGTAGTTGGGTGATCTGCTCGTGTTAGCTCTACGTGTGTGTGACGGGGTAATGTGGTGTACGAGGTGTGCTCAAACGGAACGTGATACTGGTAGGAACCTCCTGGTTACACCAGCCCACAGGGGATTGTTGTGTCCGTCGTGCAGGGAGGGGCTGGGTGGGGAGGGAGGGGCTGGGTGGGGAAGGGAGGGTGGGGAGGGGCTGGGTGGGGAGGGTGGGGCTGAGTGGGGAGGGCTGGTCACCTCGTGGTGCCCTTATAAAACTCAACGTTTAACCTACTCACTGCCGGCTTGTGCCCGCCCTCACAGTCGGCCATATTTGCGGAATACACCACGCCGCCGTTGACCCTGGCCATTGACCGAGCAACCCAACGTTCCTACCAGCTCCCTCCGCAGCTCACGCTGCTGCAGGTGGCTACCAGTCATCATCAGCACTGTGGAGGCAGCAGCGAGGGTTTGCGGATCACACACATGTTGTGAAACTCCCTTCCCGTGGGCGTCGAAGTGCCATGCCCCGTTGTCATCTGCACGGGGATAGAGTGTTGCCCCCTTGACGCATGTGGGTTTCCTCCCACTTGTGTAATAAACAACTCATCGTTAAATGGACGAAAACATCTTAAACGTAGCAGCGCCATCCTGACGAGGTTGTCCTGGATAGAGAAGTACATCTCTCAATTTGGAACGCACTCACGTCTGCACATGGAGGCGGAAGGGAACCAGAGACGAGTGGCCCCGAGGCAGCCAGAGGCCGGCGCTACGAACAGTTGGTCCAAGCTCCAGTGGTCTGCCAGTAGGGTGCAATGATTGTGATGAATTCTCGCAATGCGCAATCTTGGAAACTGACGCCGGTACACGATGGCGTAGTCGTTTCAAACGGTGTCACGGGATCTTTAACGTCCACTGTGAAGCAGAGGCCGCGAAGTATTTTTTTAAAATCCTTTATATTAAGTTCACTTGCTTGCTTGCTTGCGCGCTTATGACCGTGCAAATCTTTCGGTCGTTTTTTAACCCACTTCCCGTGATCCAATCGAGCTGATATTTTGCACACAGTCTCGTTGTGCGTGACAATTTATTTTCGTGAAAACTTTTTTCCATAACTTTACACTTTTTAGGAAATTTTTTTTATATTTAATTACCAATTGCTTAATGGTGGCAGGCAATCATCTGACCCATAGGTGGCAGCCATCTCAAGCCAGAGGACGAGAGGACTCTAGCCGCCACGCATATAAAGGATTTATAGTGAAAAACTTTGTTTTTACGGGTTAATTTTTTACTCATAATCAAGGTTTTTGGGTCAGATCGCGTTATTTTTAAATGTGTCGTAACCCTCCACCACCCGACACGGCCAAACAGTAAAAAATATGTCACGTTTTCAAAGGACAAAATAATTTACTTCTTTAGCCCACCGGTGTGCTGAAGAGAGAATCAACAGCATTTTTAAAATTTGAGTAGTCCGACGTTTCGCTGATAATTACAATCAGCTTCATCGGGCAAGAATGGTGAAGCTCTCCTGTTGCTTCCGGTCTTAAATAGAGCAGCAGCATCAGGGTGACGTCATCATTTAATTCAATTCAATCTGGTGCAGTGATTCGAGGCAAGGAGGGGGGGGGGGTATTGTAATTATATAGATTGGTAATCATTCAATTGTAAATAACGCGATCTGACCCAAACCCCTATATTATGAATAATATTGGTCGCGAAAGCCTACGTGTTATTTTTTTTACGGTTAATACGCACACCCGCAGTATTAACCAGGGCGGCCGCCGGGTCTCGAACCGCGAAATCACTGCAACGAGCGGTGTACACTCTGCCACTGGACCGGTGTCACCACCACCTCAGCACTCACCAGCCCAGCGCTGTGAATGCCGAGAGTTAGACTCTCAAGCGCGGTGTCCTGCGAGGAGTCCAGGAGATGTCAGCACCCAAGCAAGTCGATTCATGAACCCATCTGTGCGGACATTTGAATGCCAACTTCTCCTCTTCTTACCATATGAAGCCAAACACTTCGTGTTAAGAAATATAAGAAATATGGAATCGGCCAAACATCCCAATGCGGCACCCTCCTGTACACAAGTCGCGAGACTCAGTGAGGCTTCAATTGATAAAATATTCAGTGATACCAGCCAGGCTATTGATCTGAGTGATCACCAGCCAGGCTATTGATCTGAGTGATCACCAGCCAGGCTATTGATCTGATTAATCACCAGCGAGGCTTTACTTTCTCCGCGTCCCACGGCCGTGCTCTGGCGAGCAGCGCACGGGTTAAAGCGCCGCCTGCGCCGCGTAACCCCCGCGCCGCGCTGCGGGTACCGGGGTCCGGGCGGGGCATCGTCAAGGGGACCCCGGGATGCCGACCGCTCCCAGTGCGGCCCCTGGGAGCCGTCGCGACGGCTGCTGGGGTCTGTGGGACGCGGCGGGGTTCTGGGGTGACGTGGATGAGAGACGGAGTGAGGGGCCTGGGGGATTTGAGGGATCCGGGATGCAAGGGAAGGGGTGCCGTGACGCATTGGTGCTCGGGGTCCCGGGACGAGGAGCTTCGTGGAGGGTTTGGGGAAGGGTTTTGAGGGTCGCGGTTCAAGGGGTCCGGGTTCAGGGGTCCGGGAATTGGGGTTCGGAAGATGCGATAATAGGGGGGACTGGGGTCCGGTGAGATTGGGAGACTTGGGGTCGTGGGGTGCCGGTGTAAGGACAGAGGCTATAGTATCTGCGGTGCCGGTGTAGGGACAGGGGCTATAGTATCTGCGGTTATAGTATCTGCGGTGCCGGTGTTAGGGGACCCGGGGTCCGCAGAGACTCGGGGTGCCGAGGTCCGGACGGACTCGGTGTGCCGCACATCGCTCATCACGTGGCGAGCGCAGCTGGCAGCAGTGCAGGTGCGTGTTAACGCGTGTGTGTGTGTTCACGTGTGTGTGTGTGTGTTCACGTGTGTGTGTTCACGCGTGTGTGTGTGTTCACGTGTGTGTGTGTTAACGTGTGTGTTCACGCGTGTGTGTGTGTTCACGTGTGTGTATGTGTTCACGTGTGTTCGTTCACGTGTGTGTTAACGTGTGTGTTCACGCGTGTGTGTGTGTGTTTACGTGTGTGTGTGTGTTCACGTGTGTGTGTTCACGTGTGTGTGTTAACGCGTGTGTGTGTGTTCACGCGTGTGTATGTGTTCACGCGTGTGTGTGTGTTTCACGTGTGTGTGTTCACGCGCGTGTGTGTTCACGTGTGTGTGTGTTCACGTGTGTGTGTGTTCACGTGTGTGTTCACGCGTGTGTGTGTGTTTGCGTGTGTGTGTGTTAACGTGTGTGTGTGTTCACGTGTATGTGTGTTCACGTGTGTGTGTGTTCACGTGTGTGTGTGTTCACGTGCGTGTGTGCTCACGTGCGTGTGTGTGTTCACGTGTGTGTTTTCACGTGTGTGTGTGTTCACGTGCGTGTGTGCTCACGTGTGTGTTCACGTGTGTGTGTTCACGTGTGTGTGTGTTCACGTGCGTGTGTGCTCACGTGCGTGTGTGTTCACGTGTGTGTGTTCACGTGTGTGTGTTCACGTGCGTGTGTGCTCACGCGTGTGTGTGTTCACGTGTGTGTGTGTTCACGTGTGTGTGTTCACGTGTGTGTGCTCACGCGTGTGTGTGTTCACGTGTGTGTGTTCACGCGTGTTAACGTGTGTGTGTGTTCTTGTGCGTGTGTGCTCACGCATGTGTGTGTGTTCACGTGTGTGTGTTCACGTGTGTGTGTGCTCACGCGTGTGTGTGTTCACGTGTGTGTTCACGCGTGTTAACGTGTGTGTGTTCACGTGTGTGTGTGTGTTCTTGTGCGTGTGTGCTCACGCATGTGTGTGTGTTCACGTGTGTGTGTGTTCACGCGTGTTAACGTGTGTGTTCACGTGTGTGTGTGCTCACGCGTGTTAACGCGTATGTGTTAACGCGTGTGTGTGTTTACGTGTGTTAACGTGTGTGTTCACGTGTATGTGTGTGCTCACGTGTGTTAACGTGTGTGTGTTCACGCGTGTGTGTTAACGTGTGTGGTCGCGCGTGCGTGTTAACCTGTGTGTGTTAACGCGTGTGTGTTCACGCGTGTTAACGTGTGTGTGTGTTCACGCGTGTTAACATGTGTACGTGGGGAGCTGTAGCGTAGCGGTTTGCAAACCGTGCGACCCGAGTTCGATTCCCGTTCACGGCCAACACCGATGACGATTATCTGATCGGTCCTGGGCCTCCCCTAGGTCGAGTCAGCCTCAAATGAGTACCTGGCGCGGTGTGTGAACATCGCCACTGGGGAGACAAAGGCGGTCGGGCGTGGTGCTCGCCACCCATTCCCTTCATGTGCCGTGCCGGCCTTCATAGGTGCTGCTACTCGCTAACAGCGCTTGCCCCAACAGTCTGTTAAGGCGATATTGTGTGCACACTCACACACACGTGTGTAACACACTCACACACGTGTAACACTCACACACACACACTGAGTGAGATAAGAGGGGAGAGGTAGGAGAGTGTGTGGAGGGGAGTAGAGTGAGATGAGAGGGGAGGGGTAGGAGAGTGCGTGAAGGGGAGTAGAGATGAGGGGGGAGAGGTAGGAGAGTGTGTAGAGGGGAGTAGAGTGAGATGAGAGGGGAGAGGTAGGAGAGTGTGTGGAGGGGAAGTGAGATAAGATGAGAGAGGTAGGAGAGTGCGTGGAGGGAAGTATAGTGAGATGAGTGGGGAGGGGTAGGAGAGTGCGTGGAGGGGAGTAGAGTGAGATGAGCGGGGAGAGGTAGGAGAGTGCGTGGAGGGGAGTGGAGTGAGATGAGAGGGGAGAGGCAGGAGAGTGCGTGGAGGGGAGTGGAGTGAGATGAGCGGGGAGAGGTAGGAGAGTGCGTGGAGGGGAGTGGAGTGAGATGAGAGGGGAGGGGTAGGAGAGTGCGTGGAGGGAAGTATAGTGAGATGAGTGGGGAGGGGTAGGAGAGTGCGTGGAGGGGAGTAGAGTGAGATGAGCGGGGAGAGGTAGGAGAGTGGGTGGAGGGGAGTGGAGTGAGATGAGAGGGGAGAGGTAGGAGAGTGCGTGGAGGGGAGTGGAGTGAGATGAGAGGGGAGAGGTAGGAGAGTGCGTGGAGGGGAGTGGAGTGAGATGAGAGGGGAGAGGTAGGAGAGTGCGTGGAGGGGACTAGAGTGAGATGAGAGGGGAGAGGTAGGAGAGTGCGTGGAGGGGAGTGGAGTGAGATGAGCGGGGAGAGGTAGGAGAGTGCGTGGAGGGGAGTGGAGTGAGATGAGAGGGGAGAGGTAGGAGAGTGCGTGGAGGGGAGTGGAGTGAGATGAGCGGGGAGAGGTAGGAGAGTGCGTGGAGGGGAGTGGAGTGAGATGAGAGGGGAGGGGTAGGAGAGTGCGTGGAGGGGACTAGAGTGAGATGAGAGGGGAGAGGTGGGAGAGTGCGTGGAGGGGAGTACAGTGAGATGAGATGGGAGAGGTAATCAAGCATTAGTCCTTGAAAGGTTTTGAAAACAGGGCGATCTTGAAGTTTATCCAGAATTGTATTGAGAGTCATTTTGGCTGGTCGGAGTATCGGGATACTGTGGCTCCTTTTACCGGTGCAGGTGAGGATTATAGCCTCCACAACAGCCTTTGTGTGTGTGTTTGTGTGTGTGTTTGTGTGTGTGTGTTTGTGTGTGTGTGTGTTTATGTTTGCGTGTGTGTTTGTGTGTGTGTTTGTGTGTGTGTTAGTATGCGTGTGTTTGTGTGTGTGTTTGTGTGTGTGTTTATGTTTGTGTGTGTGTGTTTGTGTGCGTGTATTTATGTTTGTGTGCGTGTGTTTATGTGTGTGTGCGCGTGTGTTTATGTGTGTGTGTTTGTGTGTGTGTTGTGTGTTGTGTGTGTGTTTATGTTTGTGTGCGTGTGTGTTTGTGTGCGTGTGTGTTTATGTGTGTGTTTGTGTGCGTGTGTGTTTATGTGTTTGTTTATGTGCGTGTGTGTTTATGTGTGTGTTTGTGTGCGTGTGTGCTGTATAGCGCGCACCGCTGACGGGCTGCCGCATCAACCAGAAATCCGCGGAAGTTCGCGACTTGTGGTGGTGGTGGTGGACAAGGCAACCGCTGAAGAAGAAGAAGAACGGCGTAGGGGGGAGGGGAGGGGTGGGGTGGGGAGGGGAGGGGTGGGGAGGGGTGGGGTGGGAAGGGGTGGGAAGGGGAGGGGAGGGGTGGGTGGGGTGGGGAGGGGTGGGGAGGGGTGGGGAGGGGTCGAGAGGGGTGGGGAGGGGTGGGAAGGGGAGGGGTGGGGAGGGGTGGGGAGGGGTGGGGAGGGGTCGAGAGGGGTGGGGAGGGGTGGGAAGGGGAGGGGAGGGGTGGGGAGGGGTGGGGAGGGGTGGGGAGGGGTGGGGAGGGGTCGAGAGGGGTGGGGAGGGGTGGGAAGGGGAGGGGAGGGGTGGGGAGGGGTGGGGAGGGGTGGGGAGGGGTATTCCCCGGTCCCTGACGTCACGCGCGAGGAATCCCCCCTGGTACCAATGCGCGTGACGGAGCAGTTTAAGCCGTTGCCATGGACGCGATCAGCTGGGGGAGGGGATGTCGCTGGGAGCTTACGCCGGGGTCCGCTGGGGTCCTGAAGACGCAGAGGGGACCCTGAGGGCGCAGCTGGAGGAGTCTTGAGAAATCCCCTTGGAACCCCCCCCTCACCCCCCGAACCATGAGCTGCCGCGGGGTGGAGGAACCCAGCGAGGGGGACCGGAGCCGCCAGGATGCGGGGTCGTTGGGGACGGGGTCTAGGACCCCCCCGATCTGCAGGATTTGCTTCCAGGGGCCCGAACAGGTGGAGTCTTCTCGGTCTGCAGTCTCCCCCCCCTCCCCCCCACGTCCCCCCGCTCTGATCATATCTAAACAAAATACGCAATCTCTTTCGTGAATCTGTACCTCTCGTCAAACAAGGACCACTATGTTGAAGTGATGGACGTTCATCTTCTTGGTTCTTTCGGTAAAGTCACGTAGAAGGGAAGTAATAAAAATAAAACATAATAAAATAATTCTCACGACGTTTCGGCCACAACGCAAGCAGCCGTCCTCAGGTGAAGAGCAGGTCTGTCGGGGAGACAACCTGTTCTTCAGACGCTGTCTCCCCGACAGACCTGGTCTTCACCTGAGGACGGCTGCTTGCGTTGTGGCCGAAACGTCGTGAGAATTATTTTATTATGTTTTCTTTTTATTATTTTATTATTTCCTTTCTACGTTACTTTACCGAAAGAACCAAGAAGATGAATCCCTGCAGTCACGAAAGCTTTAAATCGTGATGGCCGTTGCCTATAACAGTTGGCAGTTCACCAGCTGACTACTGATGAGGTATTGAATGCCGAAACCCGTTCAGAAGATTTCCACGGATTGAACCGATGCTGCTGAAATTATGCACTCCGCGTGCTGCTGATGGGATGTGAAACAAAGATAAATACTTGTATATTTTACATGATGTTACAGATACTGGACTTGAAGGATACGTATCATGTGCTCCCTGTATATTCACTGCCACGGCGTCGACTGCGCGGCCGCTGCCGGGTAACGGCGTGAAGCCAGAGAGTCGTGGTACACTGTGTAACAACATTTTTGTTAAAATTGTTTTATTCCTGGGTAATAAGTGTTATTTCCAATTGCTTGTGCCTCAAAAGTACAAAAATGGCTATTATTCCCCACAAACTTTGCTTTTGTGACCAGGACAGTGATATTTTGAAATTGAACTATTTTCAATGGGAAAACGTGTGCATTTGTGTTATTCCTTCACGTAAAGTCCGGTTCACAAAAGCAAAGTTTGTGGGGAATTATATCTCTAGATTTGAAGCTTTCGTGACTGCAAGGATTCATACTCTTAGGTTTTTTTCGGTAAAGTCACGTAGGTAAAAAAACATAGAAATAAAGTGGGAATAATATCCATTTTCTAATCTTTTGAGGCATAAGCGATTAGAAAATAAAACTTAGTATCCCAGGAACAAAAATCGTGTGACATAGTGACGTATCATTAACGGCCTTGCCCGTGATGACCCCTTGGCCTCAGAGCTTGGAGATGGGGGTGGTGGGGGGGGGTCCTGAGAGTCATAGCAGTAGTTATTGTTCATTTTGCGTGACCAGGTGAGATTCTCAAGAGATACCGGGGTAGAGGCTCATGTGCAAGAGTGACCTTGGGGCATCGGTCTGCCTGTAAGAGGCGATGATGGCGATTGTGTCTACCAACCACGGTGCTGTTGTGAGTACAATCCAAATTGAGTCACTCGCGGTGTCATTTTTCGAATTTGGCAAAATTGTACCGTAAAGCTGGCACACAATCGCCTACTCTTGCGAAATATGCCATGGGATCTTACACGTCCACTGAAGCAGACGGTGCGTGGTAGTAGCAGTAGTATTATTGCTGTTACACCGGCAGTATTAATCGGGGTGGCTGCTGGATTCGAACTGTGAATTTTTGCAATGAGCGGCAGTGACGCGCTACCGCTGGGCCGTGTCACTGCCCAGAGCGAACTGCGTTGAGCACAAGGCCGAGTTCGAATCCGGACCACGGTTCACATTGGTGGCGAATTATATCTGAACTGATCCTGGATGCACCCTTCACAAACCCGCACTTACCAGCGTGGCCGAGGTTATGGTTGAACAACTCCCATGATCGATATCGTGTGGAGAGGCCTTTATCCAGCAGTGGCTTGAAAAAAGGCCTGTAATTGATTGTAACTGTGTTATTATTCGTATCTAAATAACGCTGTGCATAATTAACGTACAAACTACACACGAACTTTGAATCTATATACGGTACACGCACATCTTTATCACCCTGCTATCGCTACTACTTCCATGGGCACTGCTCAAGCAGACACTCACTGTGTTGTGTCATCGATCATCGCTACTCCTGTGTTCAACCACGACGCTGCAGGTTACACCAACAACAACAACCGCCATCCGCCACTAAGTGGCAGGGACATCACCACGAGGCTTGTGCCAGGCCAGGTGCACTTTAAGCGTGAAGTGTCGAACGCCCGCCGGCAGGAGGTCACGAGACAGAGCCGGTTGCCATGGGTTGATTGCTTTAGATGTCTGCCCCGATGCACCAGTCACCCACTCAACCTCCCACTCAATCACCCACTCACCACCCTACCAGACGGACCGTTTCATCTCACCCGGACCGTATTCAACCACCACCGCACAGCAGGTCACTGCATCTGCGTCTTCCCTTCGACTGCTCCACTTTCAAATTCCATCCCACCGCCACCACCACCATCTCTTATACTACTACTACAGTATCGATACTAATAATAACCATGTTCACGATCCATAAACGCCGTTATCTATTTACAGCCTGGATAGTGCTGCTTGTCGCTGGCCGCTCGTCGCTGGCCGCTCGCCGGTCCGTCGGGGCTGTTCTCAGCAGCTGTACGAACTAACAAACTCACAGAAGAAGAGCGCTTAGGGGCCGTCCATAAATGACGTCACGCACCTGGGCGGGGGGGGGGGTCAGACATCTGTGACGATGTGTGACGAGGGGGGGGGGGGTGAGAAATGTGACGTCACATCAAAATGCGCAACTTTAAATAAACATAGACAACACGTTCTGCTTAATAGACTTTTTTAATAAATGTTTTCTCCTACAACGTCAGAGTGCAGCGCCACATTAAATACGCACTACAATGACAATAGTTTAAAGCGATTTGAAGCATGTTTTATTTTTTTGTGGGGGGGGGGGGGGCAGAGCTCTGTGACGTCATATTTGAGAGGGGGGGGTCTGACTTTTTGTGACGCCGTGCGACGATGGGGGGGGGGGGGGGGTCAAAAATCGTCCAAAATCGCGTGAACGTCATTTATGGACGGCCCCTTACTCACGGAATGCCGGTGCCCGTCTGCCCTGTGGCCCTGGCTGCCCCGCTAACCCGTGCCCCCCCCCCCCCAGGGGCTGCTGCTGAGCCCATGCCGCTGCGCGGGGTCGGTGCGCTTCTCGCACCAGCGCTGCCTGCTGCAGTGGACGAGCGAGCGCGGCTCGTGGAGCTGCGAGCTGTGCGGCAGCCGCTACCGAGCGCTGCCCGCGCGCCTCAAGGGGCCCCTGCAGGTGCGATCGAGAACCTCCCCCCCCCCTTCCCCTTCAACACTAACCCTAACCGCTAGACCCTAATCACTAACCATTCACCAAAAACCCGAACCGCTAACCCTAACTACTAACCCTAACCACTAACCCTAACCACTAACCCTAACCACTAAACACTAACCGCTAGACCCTAACCGCTAAACCCGAACCGCTAGACCCTAACCGCTAGACCCTAACCACTGAACTCTAACCACTAAACCCTAACCGCTAAACCCTAACCGCTAAACCCTAACCGCTAGACCCTAACCGCTAAACCCTAACCGCTAAACCCTAACCACTAAACCCTAACTGCTAAACCCTAACGGCTAAACCCTAACCACTAGACCCTAACCACTAAACTCTAACCACTAAACCCTAACCGCTAAACCCTAACCGCTAAACCCTAACCGCTAGACCCTAACCGTTCAACCCTAACCGCTAAACCCTAACCACTAAACCCTAACTGCTAAACCCTAACTGCTAAACCCTAACCACTAGACCCTAACCACTAAACTCTAACCACTAACCCTAATCGCTAACCCTAACCGCTAAACCCTAACCGCTAGACCCTAACCGCTAAACCATAACCACTAAACCCTAACCGCTAGACCCTAACCACTAAACTTTAACCACTAACCCTAATCGCTAACCCTAACCGCTAAACTCTAACCGCTAAACTCTAACCACTAAACCCTAACTGCTAAATCATAACCACTAAACCCTAATCGCTAGACCCTAACCACTAACCCTAACCGCTAGACCCTAACCACTAATCCTAACCGCTAGACCCTAACCACTAACCCTAACCACTAGACCCTAACCACTAGACCCTAACCACTAAACCCTAACTGCTAAACCATAACCACTAAACCCTAATCGCTAGACCCTAACCACTAACCCTAACCGCTAGACCCTAACCACTAACCCTAACCACTAGACCCTAACCACTAACCCTAACCACTAACCGTAACCACTAACCCTAACCGCTAGACCCTAACCACTAACCCTAACCACTAGACCCTAACCGCTAGACCCTAACCACTAAACCCTAACCACTAGACCCTAACCACTAGACCCTAACCACTAACCCTAACCACTAACCCTAACCGCTAGACCCTAACCACTAACCCTAACCACAAGACCCTAACCGCTAGACCCTAACCACTAACCCTAACCACTAGACCCTAACCACTAAAACCTAACCACTAAACCCTAACCGCTAGACCCTAACCACTAAACCCTAACCGCTAGACCCTAACCGCTAGACCCTAACCGCTAGACCCTAACCGCTAGACCCTAACCACTAAACTCTAACCACTAAACCCTAACCGCTAGACCCTAACCGCTAGACCCTAACCGCTAGACCCTAACCGCTAGACCCTTACCACTAACCCTAACCGCTAGACCCTAACCACTAACCCTAACCACTAAACTCTAACCACTAACCCTAACCGCTAGACCCTAACCACTAACCCTAACCACTAACCCTAACCACTAAACTCTAACCACTAACCCTAACCGCTAGACCCTAACCACTAGACCCTAACCGCTAGACCCTAACCACTAAACTCTAACCACTAACCCTAACCACTAAACTCTAACCACTAACCCTAACCGTTAACCCTAACCACTAGACCCTAACCACTAAACCCTAACCACTAACCCTAACCGCTAACCCTAACCGCTAAACCCTAACCGCTAGACCCTAACCGCTAGACCCTAACCATAACCACTAACCATAACCACTAAACCCTAACCACTAACCCTAACTACTAACCCTTCACCACTAAACCCTAACCACTAACCCTAACCACTAACCCTAACCACTAAACACTAACCACTAAACTCTAACCACTAACCCTAACCGCTAAACCCTAACCACTAAACCCTAACCACTAACCCTAACCACTAAACCCTAACCACTAAACCCTAACCACTAACTCTAACCACTAACCCTAACCACTAAACACTAAGCACTAAACTCTAACCACTAACCCTAACCACTAACCCTAACCACTAAACCCTAACCACTAACCCTAACCACTAAACACTAACCACTAAACTCTAACCACTAACCCTAACCGCTAACCCTAACCACTAAACCCTAACCACTAAACCCTAACCACTAACCCTAACCACTAAACTCTAACCACTATCCCTAACCGCTAAACCCTAACCACCAACCCTAACCCCGACCGCCAGAGCCCACGAGGTCCCAATGGGATCACTCTAAATACCCTTTGACGATTGGTGATTTGTTCGTTTCCAGTTTGAGCAAAAAAGACACCGCTACTTGAGAATATAATTCGTGCACGCACTCGGTCAGCGTTAATGTATCCAGGAGACAAAAAATAACGAAATGTTCAGCGTTGGCAATATGTCTGATTCATCTGTTTGAGTAGCAAGATTCTCTCGTTATGGGGAACCTTGACAATGACAAGGTCGCACAAATGTTGGCATCCATCCTTGTGGATGTATCTGTGATAGCGGCTCCGTAGGCAGTAGGTGCGTGCGTGTTTGCATGTGTGCGTGTGTGTCCGTGTGTGCGGAGTGGTGGTGTAGTGGTTAGCGCGCCGCACGATGAACCTGGCGACCCAAGTTCGATTTGCAGTCACGGCCAACACCAGTGGCGATTATCTGAACCGGTCATGGGCCTCCCCTAGGTCGACTCAACCTCAAATGAGTACCTGGTGCGGTTTATAAACATCGCCACTGGGGAGACAAAGGTGGTCGGGCGTAGTGCTGGCCACCCACTTTTAACGGCGCTCCTCGCTAACAGCACTTGCCCCAACAGTCTGTTGAGGCTGCACGGGGGATCTTTGTCTGTTGTGCGTGCGTGCGCAGTGGCGCGCCGTGTCTCTATCGGTGGTGGAGCGCGTGCAGGTGTCGGCCGTGGTGCTGGGCGCGGTGTTCCTCTGCGCCAGCCTGGCGTGGCTGCTCTGGTCGGCGTTCAGCCCCGCCGCGCGCTGGCAGCGTATGGACCCGCTGTTCCGCGTGTGCTACGCCATGTACGCCTGCATGGACCTCGTGTGCATCGGTAGGCGCGGCGCACGGCCAATAAATGGAAGTCGCGTGAACGAGCGGGTCGATTTATGACCGATTGAGCGGCACCGGTGTTGCTGTAGACTGGTCTCGCAGTTGCAACTCCCTGATGATGCCGGTCACGACGATCAGCAGAATGTCGTTACCCCTTTGAATGTTCGCCAGTCACAGCACCGGTGGTGCTGGTGAAGCAGGAATAGACTGGGCACGTTGGCTCGCGTGACAACTTTATTAATGATCAATTCAAATGGTCCCCACCCTCCCCAATCGACAGCCACCATGTGTGGGCACATGATGGCTCAGCAGCTGGCCTGTTATCGGGCATTTGTCTGCTGGCAGGAGGCGATGGATACTTCTGCTGTGTGAAATCCCAAATGAGCGATTGACGGTGTCACTTTTCTAATTTGGCAAATTTAGCATGGGCGGAAAAAACCCGATTTTTCCAGCGGCAGGCATCGGGTTTTTTCTTTAATACAATTAAACCCGATTTCGGGGAATTAAAACCTGGTTTAATGAATACGAAACTCTGATCCAAGGCTTAGGCTGCTTCCTCGTCGGTGCTGCTATTGTACTCGGGGCCGTCGGGCACGGGGTAGTCGTAGAATGCGGCGGGCAGGTTGGTCTTGATGAACACGAGCTTCTCCTCCACAATCGTGGGCGCCAGTGAGTTCCTTAGCTTGGAATGGATGAAGCCCATCGTTGAGAAGTTGGCGAAGTGCGGTTCTGCAATTAGAACCAATTATACCGGATTTCTCCCAATCTCAGATGATCGGGTTTAATATAAAAAGACAATTATACCCGATTGTAAAAAACCCGACTGTGCCACTCTTGAAATTTAGACTGTAGCGCCAGCACACAATGGCCCGCCCTCTTCGTATGGCGTCAGGGATCTCTAACGTCCACTGTGAATGAGACGGCGCGGGATGTCTCGTTATTACACACCCCAGCGTTAACCAGGGTGGCCTGCCGGATTCGACACGCGAACCCCTGCAAAAAGCAGCGAACATGTCACCACTGGGTCGCGTCTCTGCCCCATAGCCACCCTGACTTTGTCCCAAGTTTAAAATGTTTCGGCCTCATGCTCATATGCGCCACGGTGGCGAGACGTTTACTACCTCGACTGGTATGCAGGTTGTGGCTAAGATCCCACACCTGACGCCTGTATATTTGGAGTTTGCACGTCTCTTTTCCGTGGTTGTGTGGGATTTTTCTCCGGGCACTCCGGTTTTTCCGTCCACAATTTATAAACACGCGTTGAGAGTATTTCGCTGCTATACATTTCCACATGATAAGCCACTTCGTTGAGCGATCATTTGTGGCCACGTTGATTCTGAAAAAGAGATATATACTGAAGCTCAATGGGCCTTACCTCACACCACAGTGAGATGTTTATCCAGTATCGGGCACTTGTTTGATGACGACGACGAACATGACGATGATGTGGCCCGGTCTGTCGCCCTGACGAATTCCTCCACGGTGCATGGCTCCTAGAGGAGTTGACAGACCAACAAGCAGATGCTCCGTCGTCCGCCACCACATGAGATGATCAACTTGTGAGACTTGCAAAGGGCGGGGCTACTTGAGTAAGTGGTCGGGGCTAATATGAGAGACAGCGAATCGGATTCCTCCGTGCGGGTTGGGATAGCGATGGAATGGGTGGGGTTATAAAGCGGGCGGGGCTGACCGCAGGAACCTCCCGATAATATGGTAGCTTTACGCTAACCGCATTAAATTTCGATTTAAAGCTTTTGTGACTGCAGGGATTCATCTTCTTGGTTCTTTCGGTAAAGTCACGTAGAATGGAAATAATAAAATAATAAAAATAAAACATTAAATAATTCTCACGACGTTTTGGCCACAACGCAAGCAGCCGTCCTCAGGTGGAGAACAGGTCTGTCGAGAAGACAGGTCTGTCGAGAAGACAGAGTCTGTCGAGAAGACAGAGTCTGTCTTCCCGACAGACCTGTTCTCCACCTGAGGACGGCTGCTTGCGTTGTGGCCGAAACGTCGTGAGAATTATTTTATTATGTTTTATTTTTATTATTTTATTATTTCCATTCTACGTGACTTTACCGAAAGAACCAAGAAGGCTAACCGCATTGTTTGTGGAACACGGTGACGTGAGCCCACTGCTCTGCTACTGTTCCTGGGCCATTCCTGGGCTGGTAGCGAACTGTTTTCATGAAACCAAATCTGTAAATGACAGGGAAAAGCCCAGCATAGCGGAGACCGGCTCTCAGTGGTCGTGGAAATGAGTCACAGGGGGCTTTACCCACCCAAACGAGTTGGTGTTGCACACTCGAGATGAAAGACGTGGGCAGGTGCTCCAAATCGAGGGCAAGCACATTTATTTATTGTGGTTCATATGAATCTTAGGAAGAACAGCACCGTCACTCTGTAAAATGCAACAGCGCGTGTTACACGCAGCAATCCTTCCGAGACGCCATTAACCATGTTGTTGGTTTACACGTGCGGTTATTCATTAACCCTGCCAGCCACCTACAGGCCCGACTCAGACATTACATGCTGCTGTACACACATGCATTGATGCATTGCACAGCACATCAGGACTTTCACAGAACCACACTCCCTTGCTGCACAAGGACACACTTAAAAGAGTGATCCATTCCTAATGTGCCACATTGGGCATGTGTGCCCAACCACGGCTGGATGACGAGGGCCTTCCTCACCACAGTACGCATCGTGGGGGTTTTTTGACCGCATCTCACGATGCTGCTGAGTGCAGGTTTTGTGAAGAGGGGAGGATAAAACACATTCCTGCGGAGGGAGCTGGTAGGAACGTTGGGTTGCTCGGTCAATGGCCAGGGTCAACGGCGGCGTGGTGTATTCCGCAAATATGCCTGACTGTGAGGGTGGGAACAAGCCGGCGTGAGTAGGTTAAACGTTGAGTTTTATAAGGGCACCACGGGGTGACCAGCCCCTCCCCACCCAGCCCCACCCCTCCCACCCAGCCCCACCCTCCCCACCGAGCCCCTCCCCACCCTCCCCTCCCCACCCAGCCCCTCCCTCCCCACCTAGCCCCTCCCTGCACGACGGACGGACACAGTAATCCCCTGTGGGCTGGTGTAACCAGGAGGTTCCTACCAGTATAATATATGTTACTGCACTGGGCCCTGCTGCTCACAGATATCGCCACGTGCTATACCGTGAGCAGGCAGCACGGGGCGCTGCCATGAAAGCAATGACACGAGGAAGTCTCCCTTGGCCCCGTTAAGAGATCAGGGATGAGGTTTGGGTCGGTGCTTAGGGTTACAAACGTGTTCATTGGGATGAAACTATGCAACGTTTTTGCCTCGTATCACCTGAATTCGTTTGCGTGAATTAATATGTATTAGTCAATAATTCCCATCAAATAATAGCTTATGAATGGTCATTATTCCAAAAACGATGCCCCACCCCCCCCCCCCAAGCTGAGAGATGTCGATATAGGAAAAGTCTAGAGTTCCCGAAATGAATACCCTCGCCAATAATGAGGTTCAGCAAGCAGCATCCGGACGCGGCTTCGATGTTTCCTCAAACTCGCAGAACACCCCAGTGGCCACAACAAATCAATTTGTCTTCAGATCATTTATGAAAGAAGTCGTGCAACACGGGAGGGCAGTGACTCGGTCATGGGGCTTGGCTCCGCGCCTCTGAGTTGCGGCCGGCCGTTACGTCCGCAAATTTGTGCGCGTTATAATTTGCATTATTATTATAAACCACAGGAGCTCCGATTTTGATGAAAACAATAATTGTTCTGTGAGTGTTCAGGGGATCATTAACAGTCAAATATACCCCCAAAAATACCTTAACACACTCGTCGGTATCACCGTGTGGGCCTTAAGATAAAAAAACACATAATCGGTGACGTTTCAGGCAATGACCCTTTTGCATTCGTAAATGACACCGCGGATGCAAGCAACAGAAATGGCACTTCAATAGAATCTACGATGATCCTGCAGTGACGTAAGACTAATCACGGCTGAAAAATATATGTGGTCAATGCTATATTAAATGGAAATAATGCACTTGTAATACCTTCGAATAATACGTACTGGCTCGCCTGCGTGGCAAGAGAGAACCGCTGCTCGCAGTATCTCTTTAGGGTGGAGTAAGGGCACCGAGGCTGCCACTTTTATGCCCCGGCTAAATTACTCAGGGAAGTGGGCCAAGCACGCCCTGTCCCCAGGGACTGGATGCTGATTGGCACTTAACAGAGTCCGAGTTTTTCACCCAACCTTACGCACGAATTTCAAAATACGTACGCAATGCTTGAGTCTACATGGGCGAGCGATGCTAATTCACGAGGCTTCACAATCCAGACCGACGTTAGATGTGTTACCCCCCTTCCCTCCCGAGATATTTCTGCGATGTCCGTTTGTAGCGCAACAAGTGGCTGTTAGATGATCATTATAAATCCGTGGAAGCTCCACAAGTGTCTCTCTCTCTCCCTTTAATACTCATCAACCCACTGTAACAATTTTATAACTTTGAATATATCGCTGCCAGTGAGGAAGCCGTTGGGTTATCACATAACAGTAGTTGATTTTGATTTGCTTGATCAAGAGCTCAGAGGTGGTATAGCCCAGTAGTTTCAATCCGGCTGGTGGTGTGGAGCTTTGGTCCATTGCTCTTCGCAAAACGATGTCCGGGTGCGGTCAAAGTGACGGCCCGGGGCACCAATATCAGCCGAGTGAGCGCTGAGCGTTAACGTCGGTCTTAGGTATTTGCTGAGTGTACGCGAGCACAGTCTACTCATGACGTTATGAAGCAATAGCTGGGCAGGCGGGTGGGACAGACTCAGGTTGTAGATGATGACACCAGACAACAGCAAAGACAACGATCTCCTCTATAAATAGCCTTAATAGACTTTTGGGGCGAGTGCTGTGAGCGAGCACCTTTGAAGGCCGGCACGGCGCACGATGAGATGGGTGGCCAAACACCATCATCTCCCCAATGCTGATGTTTACACACCGCACTGGGTACTCATTTAAGGCTGAGTCTACCTAGGGGAGGCCCAGGACTGGTTCGGATAATCGTCACTGGCGTTGGTGGCCATGAGCGGGAATCGAACTGGGGTCGCCGGGTTTGTAGCGCAGTGTGCTAACTGTTGCGCCATCGCTCATAATGGAACGCACAGGCACCAGCGGTCGTGATAAGCGCCATCATTACCATCGAGCGCTCGTGACACACAGGGCCCTGGAGGCAGCAGCTGTGAGTCGGTCAAGTCTGGCTACTCTCACAGATGCATTACTTTTAGATAAACCTGTTTTGCTCGTTGCATTATGAGAAAAGCAGGTTAATCTATAAGCGAATGCCAGCATTCCTCTCTGCGAGAGTTATGCATTCATACTTTTTATAAAGTGACACCGTCAGACCAGCAAACACATGGCCCATAGGTTTTCACAGCCAATGTTATGATTCATGACATATATATTTGGGTTGTACCACGTAAGGATTTGTCCAAATCTCTGCCATTAGGAATCCTCCAACACCCGACACAGCCAAATTATGTCATGAGTACAAGTACAAACGTTAAATGTGACAACAATCATCGCTACCAAATGTAGCAATTATGTACAATATGTATGTATAGTATCAAATTGCTACATTTTGTTAAGAGGATTGTACATTTCGATATTGTCTCATTGATAAATGATCATTCTTAAACTTATTGCAAAGCTAAAACAATAAATAAGTGGCGTGTTAAACGCTTGTACGCATGCTCATTAATTAATTTGGCCGTGTTGGGTGGTCGAGAGTTCCTCACAATAATATTTAGTCAGATCATTACGTAGCCTAAACCAAAACTCAAATATTAATCACCAGCATACACAATTTCAATACAATTGAAAAACTCGAAATATATAACAATTCAATACAGGGGACCATTTTTTTCTATATATACTGTATTTATTTGTTTTAAAAACATTGCCAAAAAATTGAAAATCATCATTATCAGACAATAATTAATTATCCAGCGATGGGTGAAGGTCTCCCTGTGTTGTGGTGTCACGATGCCAGGATCCACCTTACTCGTGTAAACGAACCGATCTCATTGCCACCTCTGTCGTGGTCATCCTCTGAGCCACAAACGGACATTTCTTTAGCTCATGCCCTGATGCCAAAAACAGTTGGAATACAAATTGTGAAAGGTTCAATGAGGACGATGAGATCACAAAGAGTCTGCTCTATGTATTTCACACCCACGTACGGCAGGCCTCATTGTGCACGAGGGCCCGTCGGTACGCCGGGTGGTGCGCCGCTGGCTCGCCGTGAATCAGCACTGGCGTCTGCTCGACTACGACAAGGCGCGTGCCGTGGAGGACGAGAACCCCATTACGGGACCCCCCGCCCGGCCTCCGGCCCTCCCGGGCCCGATCGGGGCCGTGCGAAGCCCCGAGGTCAGCGCGGTGGTCGGATCGCCGTCCCGCGCGTCGCCGTGCGCTTTCGCCTGCGGTTGCCTCGGCGGACGCGTGTGCGGCCAGCACGGGCAGGAGGCGGAGGAGCGCGGTGCCACCACCACCACCTCAGATGTGTGATGGGACGGGCCTACGGCCGCCGATTGTCGTCACTACTGTGACCGCTGCTGGAATGTATCTATGCAAATAATCATACACGTGGGACACGGAGCGGTGACAATCAAAAGAGAAAGCCAAGACAGAAACTGCTGGCTCACGCAGCAAAAGGAACTTCACATGGTGAACAGGAGCACTGTGACACGACAGATGCGTTTTCGCAGGGGGACACGCGAACATTCTTTGTTTCGCCTGTGGCTTAAGGTATAAATGATGCATACATTCTTAATGATTGTCCAACACTTCCCCATTCCTCTGGACTCCCCATTGCGAAATGTCCACTGCACCCATTGAATCTTCATGGTGTTCAAACGAGGAAGTGGCATTGGAATTTAGCAAGGTCAGACTTCTCATAAAACCCCAACAAATTCCTCGTGCTCAGGCTACACGCAGGAACGCGGGCCATTTTGGGTGATGGTGGAGACCAATTGCATCTGGCGAAACGCACTTGACAGACGGCCAGCGTTTCATTCGCCCGTAGACTGGTCTGTGTGCAGGGTGCTGTGAAGACCAACACTGAAACGCGAAACAACAAATTGAAAAATAACTGCATTGCAAATTGGTGAGTACAGCTCATAAGACAATCAAATGCTAATCCTCCCCTTAACCCTTACCAACTATCCAACCAAACATTAGAACCAGCCAGGGTTGGTTATTGACAGGCACTGCAACACCGATGCATAATAATCATTTGGTATTTTACCCTATATTCCTATAATTCTATACACAGGTTTATAAAAATATATATATGAGGACTAAACAAGGCGAGATGGAGACGGCGCGCCAAAGGAGCAGTTTTGCCGGCCTACTCCAGCTAAAATTGAGCACCCGTACCAGGACGACAGACGTGTACCCCACCCCAAAGCAACAAGCAGCGAGTCTTCCTCTACATTTCAATGACCTTACCCCACACATTTACCTCTGGCACTTCTCTAGGCTCGGGGGTTCCTCCTTCAACTCTCTCGTTCGCTTTTCGGTTTCGTTGTTGACAGCGTCTTGGCCAGTAATGAGTTCGGCCCCTCGGAATGCCACTCACCCCTCCGACTCGACGCTTCTCACGAACGACTCATCTAGCCAGGAACCGGTGCTGTGACTTGTCAGGAGGGGTCTGATGCTGCTGCTATGGTGAAATTCTAAAGTTTTGTTTAGGAGTCATCTTACATTTTTCAGCTTGAGCCAAATGATTTCTAATATTTTACCACCGATAGAATGCTGCTGCTGCTACTCTTAAACGATAAATACAATAAAGCTGGGTTGCTATTTATTCCATGCATTTGTATTTTCTTATGAGTAAAGATTCTGTTTTTTGCAGGTTGGGTTTTTGATCGACATAAATATATTTTTTTTTCATGGAGAAGGGAAAAATTCATCAATAAGTTATTGAAGCAAATGTAAAGAGGCAGGCCTGCAACATATTGCTCATGCCCCTGCTGGCAGAAGAGCCTCCACGAGATGGAAGCTTCTACATATCCTCTTAAAAGGCTAGTTGGCCTACTCTTCCACGCTAGGCAGACTTCTTTGGAAGAGGTGGGAGTACGGCCGAAGGTGACCTGCCTGTTGACTACGGTGTAACCATTACGCCACCGCAGAGGAATGCCGATTAAGTTAATGTTGAACGGGTCATTTACACAATTAGAATGTGGCTTTATGAGATGTGTAAATGCAAGACGTGTGTATCTTATGGGCTTGACATAATCAGTTCCCCCGTTCTCAATGTGTGTTGTTTAAAGTTTGTGTACCATTGACTGTGGTGCCGACCCATACACTTCAACGGGGTCACTGCGTTTATGTTAAATGTTGGTGGTGCGTCGTTCCATTTCAACCCGTGAGCGTAGAGGGGGCCGCGTGGGGTCTGGTGGGATCAAGAGTCAGACAAGATGAAGTGGGGGAGCAGGTGGCGTCTAGTTGGGGTCCGGTGGGGTCAAGTAGAGATCAGATGGAGTAAAGTGGCAGGCGGTTTGGGTCAAGTTAGGGTCAGGTCCGGTCAAGCGGATGGTGAGTTGGGGTCAGGTTCGGGTAAGTTGGGGTCATGTGAAGTGGGGATCAGGTGAAGTGGGGGTCATGTGGGGATTGGGTCGTGGCGGGGTGTTCTTGCCGTCGCCCCGGTCCTCAGACGGATGGCGGGGTACCTGGGGTGAGTGCACAGTACCCACACGACCCACACGACAAAGATCCCCCGTTTAGCCTTAACAGACTGTAGGGGTAAGTGCTGTTAGCGAGCACCTATGAAGGCCGGCACGGCACACGAGGGGGTGGGTGGCCAACACCACGCTCGGCCGTCTTTGTTTCCCCAGTGGCGATGCTTACACACCGCACCAGGTACTCATTTGAGGCTGAGTCGACCTAGGAGAGGCCCAGATAATCGTCACTAAATGTTGGCCGTGAGCGGGAATCGAACCCGGGTCGCCAGGTTCATAGCTCAGCGCGTTAACCGCTACACTACCGCTCCCCACACACAGACACAACACACACGACACACACACACGACACTCACACACGACACACACAGTGACACACACACAGACACACACACAGCCACACACACAGACACACACACACAGACACACACTCACACGACACACACATACAACACACACGACACAGACACACACGACACACATGCTGCCTGCCATCACAACCTCCCTGGCCTCCACAGATTCCTCGTTTGTTCCCCTCTTGCCGAACGGACGCGATCGGAGCCACGTGACTCGCATAAACAATGCCTGTGATTGGTCCAAATGCGGGCGCTTAGTAGGGGCGGGGCTGAGGCCTCGACCAATCAGTGTCAAAGACAATGTCCATATAATTATCATTCATTTTAATTGTATTTTTTCACCCACGTGATTTTACCGAAAGAACCAAAGAATATGGATCCTTGCAGTCACGAACATTTCAAATCTAGAAAGAAATAAGTTTGCATGTTTATCACAAGCACTATGTGTGGTTAATGTAGCACTGGATTCCTTACAAAGGGTTTCTCTTTGGTGTTGAACATCTTAACACCGCCTGTTTTATTGCCAGAAAGGGTTAAAAAAAAACTTCTTATTTTTCATACAGCGAGTTTCCGGTCAAAGGGTCGGGGGCGAGGAGGGGTCGAGGAGGGGGCGAGAAGGGGGCGTTTCCGATTGATAGGGGGCGGAGTCGTTCACAGATCCCTCCCCTTGTGACCCCCCCCCCCTCCCCCGTCGTGACCCCCACTCCCTGCGTGCAATCTGTTTTCGACGTTCATTCTAGATTTGAAGCTTTCGTGACTGCAAGGATTCATACTCTTAGGTTTTTTCGGTAAAGTCACGTAGGTAAAAATAAATAAATAATAATAAAATCTCATATAAATAATAATAGAAATAAAATAATAAATCACGACGTTTCGGAGGCAACACAAGCTTCGTTTATCAGGTGTAAAAAGGCACAGCAAAATAACTGTACTAACTGATGAAGGAAGCTTGTTTTGCCTCCGAAACGTCGTGATTTATTATTTTATTTCTATTACTATTTCTATGATAGCAATTAGAATTTTTATTATTTATTTTCTCCTACGTGACTTTACCGAAAAAAACCTAAGAGTATATTTCTACGTTCACTTCGTTGAACACGCAGTCGGCTTTCGCGACCAATATTGTCCGTAATAGAGGGGGGTTTGCGTTAGATCGCGTAAATAATAGTGTGTCGTTATACCCGCCCACCAGCAAGGCTTGTCACGTAATACAAAACGTGCCAATTCGTTACTCGTTCTGCCGGCCGGTGTGTTGGAGAGTAAACTCACATTTACAATTCGAGTCCGACGTTTCGCCGGTAATTACAACGAACCTCATTCGGCGACAACTCTGGCTGTCGCCTAGTGAGGCTGGTTGTAATTGACAAACCTTACTAATTGGCTGTCGGGTGGTGGCAGGTTTAACGACACATTTATATGCGATCTAACCCAAAAATAAAAAACCTCAGGATTAATTTTGTCCTTTCATAAATGAGATATATAACACAAGGCCATAGTGCCATTGTGAACATGCAACCCAAGCAATGGCTCGGATAGGACGGCCATAGAGACACAGAGACATTATAATAGATACGTAAGATCTTGATTTGAAGCTTTCGTGACTGCAGAAATCCATACTCTTTGGTTCTTTCGGTAAAGTCACGTAGGTAGAAAAATAATTATTTTTTATTAAATTTTTCTACCTACGTGACTTTACAAATAATTAAAAAAAATAATTATGTTTTATTTTATTTTTCTACCTACGTGACTTTACCGAAAGAACTAAAGAGAAAATATACGTAAGATGCCTATAGAGATACATTCAAGATAAGCCACAGTGTAGCCCAAACTATGGACCAGATAGTAAACCACTGAATCTGCGCTCCTTTAGAGGAGGAACAGCATCACCAAACGAACTCTCTCCTGAAGCCTTCTCGGGACTTGCAGACCTCGACATGTGCCATACGCAAGAATGCTATAAATTGGCCATAACGTCTATCATAGTTTTTGCTTTAAAGGCAGTGTTGTAAACCATTGTGTAGGAACATTTTTAGGTTTTCTTTCGTTACAGTATCAAGTTTAGCTTTGCAGAAGCACTATTTAATATTTTTAGGGCCCAGTCCACCTTCAAAAATTGTCCTTGTAAGCATACCCACTGTACTCTGTTATGTGTTCCAGTTGTGTCCAGCCGATGCACAATAAAATGACCACCATAACGTTGTAGTAATGAATGAATAACGTAGCCGCACAAGTAGTAAAAATACAGCACCCGTGACAATGTGTGGTGTTCCTTGTTTTCCTTGCCTGTCTCCCTGTATTAAATATGCTCACCGTGTCTGTGCGCGAGATGCGGTAGCATTTAGACGCCGCATAAACCCACGTTTAAGTAACCCATCTTCTCTCATTCTACGTGGTATCTAAAAAAAAATTGCATCCCTGAAATGACTTGCTCAATCCACTGCTAATGGGTGGGCTACTAACAGCATGGGGAGCTCCGCAGAGCCGTCTCTGGTGGTTGTTTTTGTTGCAGATCCCTCCATGGGGCCAGGCGCCCTGGACAAGCAGGCATGAGTGTCCCACACTTTACAACTCCACCACAGACAAAGACGGGAGACAGTCCACCCCGGTCTGTCTCCACGAGTCCACCGTTTTCCAGCGGTTCCCTCCTTTTATTGATTTATTTACACGCTTTTATTTAACTCACTCTTGTTTGTTTTCGTATCCTCAAATCTTGTAACTCAATTTTAACCCACTTCCCCAATGTGGTATCGACTGCAAACTTGGTATACGTATGTCATACTGATGACAATACTATTCTATCATAAAAATAAAATATATTTTTCAACAATCTTTTTTATATGTTATGTTTTGGCTTGGGTCTAATTGTCCACGCTCAACTCACGTTGGCTGTAATTGGCCACGGCCCCGTACGTTGTGGCAAGCCTCGGGGCCACTTCCTGGAGTCGTGGAGTTCTGCCATTACTCGTACGGTTCATTTCATTAAAGCGTGTTTTTAAAAAAGTATTTTTAAATATTACTTATTTTTGTCTCCTTCATTCCCCGCCCCCACCCCACCTTCCGATCAACCGTGGGGTTATCATCCGTGTGTTTGTTACAGCACGTTACTGCTGAGTGGACAGGCAGGTGGGATTTGAGAACGTTGAATGTTGTAACTACGGCGCCGGGAGATCGACGTAGCATCGAAGGTCTCGCATTCTCTCTCCCCTGCCTCCTTGCGTCTCCTCTCCGTACAGAGTCTCCTGTCCCCTCGACTGTCTCCACCTCCTTCTCAGTCACCTCCTGTCTCCTCCTCCATCTCCTCCCCTTCCTCCTCTCTCCCCTCCTCCTCCTGTTTCCACCCTCCTCCTCCCCCAGTGTGTCTCCTCCTCTTCCTGCTGCCCCCACCTCCTCCTGCTGCCCCCACCTCCTCCTGCCCCCACCTCCTCCTCCTCTTCCCCCAGTGTGTCTCCTCCTCCTGGCCCCCACCTCCTCCTGCCCCCACCTCCTCCTGGCCCCCACCTCCTGCTGGCCCCCACCTCCTCCTGCCCCCACCTCCTCCTGGCCCCCACCTCCTCCTGGCCCCCACCTCCTCCTCCTCCCCCAATGTGTCTCCCTCCTCCCTGCCCCCACCCCCACCTCCTCCTGCCCCCACCTCCTCCTGGCCCCCACCTCCTCCTCCTCCCCCAATGTGTCTCCTCCTCCTCCTGCCCCCCCACCTCCTCCTGCCCCCACCTCCTCCTGGCCCCCACCTCCTCCTCCTCCCCCAATGTGTCTCCTCCTCCTGCCCCCAC